CCCTTCTAAGGGCACTGGTAACCATCAGAAGACCATGTCTTCCCTGCCATCAATGAAGCTCAAGCGGCAAGATTTCAGGCACTCTACAGTAAGCAGGAAGTTATCTGGGGCACAGTTCTTTCTGATACATAAGTCCCTGTTAATAAAAGGAAAAACACTGGACTAGGACCTCTAAATTCTAGCTCTCCCACTAACTCACTTCAGCAAACTATTCCCTCTCCAGCCTCAGCTGTTCTACCTGTATATATGATGTCATCTCAAATGCCCTGGGATACCCTCAGTGGCTTGCTGACTCCTGCCATGGCTGCTTATGGTTCAAAAGTTTTACTTCTAGGCATTCAGAAGCATCAGTAGCAAGGTCTACTCTGGCTCCCCAGCGGCCTTGGTAACTGGAGAGACAGGATAGGATGCCCTCTAGAAACACTCAAAGCAACCAAAACCTTGTCAGAGACAGAGGTGAGAGAGAAGAAAAGTAAGGAGAAAGAGACTTTTTCAAGAAGTTTTCCTTCCTGAAAGCCAGAAGGACTCCTGGGAGCCCAGATGACCTTGGGGTCATTTTGGCCTTTCTCATAGTGCTTATCCCAAGAGGGGAGTGTGGTGGGGATAAAGGAGCCACTTGCTCACCTTCCAGTGATCCTGAAGACAAAAACACTTGGAATGTTTCTAGAGGGGTTTGGGCCGGCTTCTCAGACCAGCAAACTGGAAACTGTCAGGGCCCAAGCATGAGTCCATCCTGCAGGGTCAAGAAAGGGCAGCGAGCTTGGAGGTGAGGGTAGCATCTGCCAGAATGTGCACTGGGACCCATGTGAGAAGAAAATGATGCCTGGTGCTCGCTGAGCCTCCTGAAGCGTCCTCTTCCTCTAGCCCCTGCTTTAGATTTTGTGGGGCTCCATGGAACCTAAGAACCCCTGTGGCCCTGTCCACCTGTCCTTTCTTAGAGAATACATGCTGGGTGAGTGCTAGCCAGCCCTTCCTCCTTCCTGTCTGGTTCCCTATTGCTGAGGCTTCTGTCTCTTGCTGGGGATATCAGTTACTTTGTTCTGGGGCCCTCCTCCAGAAACACCCCTCTCTCAGACTGATCACATCTCCTCAATCCAGGCAGACTCCTTTACACGGACACTACCCCTACACAGCCTGCTAGTCCTCTGCAGTCGGTTCCTTGCTGAGTGTCTTGGCCTTTTTCCTGGTGGAACAGCAAAGGTCTTGCAGGGTGACCAGAGCGGGGCCAGCTGGGCTGGAGTGAAGCAGGTTTGGGAATATTTCCTGGAGGAGGAAAGCCTGGAAGAAGAACCAGCTGGGTATCAAGGTATCAAGTGTTTGAGGCAGCTCTTGCCGAGGAACAGAGGCTTGGAGCAGATTTGCCTCCTTCCTGCCATCCTTTTGCCTGGCTGCTGGCTTGGCCAAAGATCCTTCTCATACACCTCATCACCAGATGGCCCTGCAAAGAATGGCATCCGTTTGGAGAGGCACTGTCCAACACAGTCCCTGTTGGCCACACAGGGCTCTTGAACATTGGATCTCAATGGCCTACTACCAAAAATAATGTTAACTATCAATGTTTTTTATATGGATGACCTATTCACATGGATATGTTCCTGGTCTAATTGTGTTTAATAAAACATGGTATTAAAATGACTTATTTATCATTTGCTTAGCATGCATGAGGCTCTGAGTTCAATCCCCCATAACAAAAGACTTCCTTTTTTTTCAAGTGCAGGAGATTGATCCAAACAGAGCTAAGCTCATTCCAAGCCCTTTTTATTATTTTTTATTCTGAGACAGTCTCACTAAGTTGCCCACGGCGGGCGGCCTTGAACTTTTTGGTCTCCTGCCTCAGCCTCCCAAGTAGCTGAGATTATAGGAATGAGCAATTTTACATTTTTTATACAGTTACTAGAGAATTCTTAACTATAAAAGTTCCTCATATTGTCATTTCAATTTTATGGAGAACCTAAGGAACATATTTAGAAATGTCTGCCCTAGGGTTATTGACAGGTAAGTCTCTAAAAGTGATGCTTTCCTGGTTTCTGGCTCTAGCTGGGGGCAAATATCAGATTGTTCCATGCTAGCATCACTCCTCTCCTTCTCCCTAAACTTTGACTAACCAGCAGGACATTTTGCCTTTGAGGGTGGCCTCTGAGTTGGAGCTGAGACTTATGGATGTGGGAAGCTCCTCAAGATCCCCAGACTGGACAGGTAGGTAATGCTGTTCCCTCCCTCACCACCCCCATGCCAGCTCTAGCTCCAGCCAAGGAAACTCTGCCCTGCTCCAGCCCCACCACTGGGATATCAGCTACAGTGCCTCTTAAGGTAGCACCTCAGTCAACACTTTGCTACTGTTCCCTAGATCACACTCTCTAGGGTGCGTCCACAGACAGCCAATTGGGAACATTCCTAGGCCTCTGTAGGAGCAAGAAGCAAGTCCTCTGTAGAAGGAACTATAGCAGGAGCTGTGTCCTAGTTACTTTTCTCATTGCTGACAAAATACCCAACATCCAAAGTTAAAGGTGTTAAGGTTGGTTTAGCTCACAGTTTGGAGAGGTTTCTGTCCATATCAGCTGGCTCCAAGGCAAGGTGGGATGGCACAGGGCAACAGTCCATGGCAGCAGAAGACAGAAAGCAAGGCAAGACTTTCTGTCCCTTATATTTTATCAGTCTACTGGGGTTAGCGCAGTGCCAACCCAATCAGTGGAGTGATCCAGCAATCACCCACCCTTAATCTCAGCACTGTACTATGAATCAATCATACACTCTAGATTCAGCCACCTCCAAAAAACCCCCATGACTGCATGAGACTTTGGAGGGATACCTACACACAAACCATAACAGACTGAAACTTCACAGCCAGCCACTTCTTTAGTATCTCTCCATCCTCAAAGCTGAAACCTGCTTTGGACCCCAAAAGACTTGGTTCTCCAGGAGGTCCTTTGAGGGAAGCCTGTGACCCTAGCATGCCCACAGACTCAGTATACTGTAGCCACTGAATTCAGTCCCCCGCCCTCCCTGAGTCTCTCCAGTGGCACCCATGGCTGCCCAGGAAGGGACCCTCAGGAAGGGAGTAAGCAGAGCCTGTCTCGTATTGGATGCCCACCATCATTGCCAGGAGATTATTACCCTCCAAGAGGTTTCAGGTCCCAGTCCGGGGTCCCGTGAGGCCAAATTTGCTGGAGATATTTGGGTTCTAGTTGGTTCTAGCAGACTTCCTATTTGAATGTAATACGGTCAAATCTTGGGCTGTGATTGTAACATAAAGAGGCCACTTTGGGTTTTAAAATAGTTTTAAATTTAATAAATGAATTAAGGGAAAGATCTTAGGGAGAGAGAATTCTTGGCAGCCTCAAGATAATTATTATAAAACCAGTTCCCATTTTCCAAGTTCTTTGCAGTGCCAGCCCTGTGGTGCCACTACCCCTGGGAGATGCTGGACAGGCACACTGGCACATCCAGCAGCAGTTATTATGCCACCCCAGGTTGGTCACCATAATGCCATCTTTCCCTCCCTTGGGGCCTGCTGCTATGGTACATATCAGGCTCTGGTTTAGCTCCTGTGTGGACACTTGCCTCTCTTCTGAGTCTCATTATCCTCACCTGTGAAGTGGAAGTAATGACAGTTCTTGGTCATAGGAAGAAAACTCCCCAACTGCCCCAGGCCTTTTGCCTGCCTTGACAGTTCACACGGTCAGCATGACTTCCTTGATGCCAAAGCCACCTGTTCCCAACTGAGCAAACTGCGTCTTCCCAATATCTCCCCACCCTTCTGACTGACTACTGAAACCTGGAGGAAAAAGAGAGCCTCTTGGTCAGGCTAGCAGCCTGTGTCTGGCCCTACACTGGGGGGACTTGCTTCTCCTGTCCCCTGACCTTCACCCACTCTCGGGACAGGTTTGCCTGAGCACTGAAAGGTGTGGCTCTCCACCCACTTACTCAATAGAGTAAGCCTTAGCTTCCTCCATGTCCTTGAGTTCAAAACTAGAGATCTAACAACCGGAAGTACCCTGGAGCTTGGGTGCTCCCTTGTGGTACAATGACAATGACAAGACCTAAAGCCAAAATAAGCAGTGGACAAACCTCCACCATCCCCTCCCAGGCATGAAGTTCAGCCCATTTCTTAGGAGTGTTCAGACACACCTCTGCCACCTTCCCATCACCACTCAGCCATTCCTTTCTTCCCCTTCACTGCCAAACTTGCAGATTTATGTCTCACTTTTATACCTTCCCTCACTGGGTCTCTAAGACCATACAGAGATTGGCTTGAGAGCTCTCCAGACTCTGGGACTAGAGCAAGAGAAGCAAGGTACTCAGGGTACAAATTTAAGGAGGCACTCACTCTCAGAGTTGTGCAAGCATCTGGTTGGGGCCTAGAGTTTGTGTCTCCTTAAATTTTCTTTCAGGGTCTGTAAATTCTGGGTATCCAGTACAGTCAGCTTCTCTCAGGATCCCCAGTCCACAAGAAGCCATCCTCTCTGCCTCCGGGACCCATACTGGACTTCTCTGTCACACCAGACAAGAGCTGTCTTTAGAGCTATACCCTTAAATCTCTATCATACAACCCCACCACCCTGTCCTCTGCCTCAGGGCCACCAGCCCCACTTGCTCCCTGCCACATTCCATGGGGGATCATCCCCACATGCACACCTGGATTTGTCCCTCCTCTACTGCCAACCTTTAATGGCTTCCCATGAGCCCAGGGAGAGTCCCATGTCCTCTGTCAGGGAATTGGCCCTACAACCACACTGAGCTGTCACTTGAGAGCCTCACACCTGCTCTTCCTTCTGCTTAAACTTGCTGTTCCTCTCTCTCTGCATTGGAACAGTGGTTGGAATTTCATTTCTTCCTAAATAAAACATCTTCCTTTCTTCTGCCTCTATACCTTCTGGACCTTTGCATAACCCTCCCTGGCCCAGTACCCAGTCCCTCTCAATACAGTACCCTTGACTCCCCACCAATGGCTCCCCAAAGCCCCAAAAAGTACTTAACATAGCATAGGTACTCAGTTGGTATTTGTTGCATGAATAAATGAGTTTATTCGTTAGTACATGGATGGACTGTCATGTAGGTGGCTTTGGTGGTTGGGTAGGAACAAAGGAAGATAATATATTAAGCTGTAGCCAGGTCCTGCCCATGGCAGCTGGTGGCTAGAGGGAAAAGGCCACGTCACCTCCAGCAGGCTGGGTGCTGATTTTAGTAGCCTGGCAGTGAGGTGCGTGCATGGCAGAGGCCTGCAGAAGAGGTAATGCTGAGAGGGCATCTCTGCCCACCTCTAATTATTGCTTGCATCTTCCTGGCAATGCCAGCTGCCTGCCCTGGGGAGCTCAGTCTCATCCATCACAGTGTGAGCTCAGGGTGGGGCTGCTACCACTGCCAGTAGGGAAGACAAGAGGAGGTTCCAAGGGGCCTTTGGGTCTTGGAGAACAGAGGCAGCTCCCGGCTTGGACTCTGCCCATCTCCTGTTCTTTTATTCCCCAGGGCAGCTGAAGGGTACCTATGACTTGTAGGTCCCATCAAGAACCCTCCAGGGTGGCCAAGAAGCAAGCCAGCTGAAGAGGGGTCCACAGCACCCCTTAGGCAGGGAGCCTCAGATGGTTTGGTGTCTGCTGACATGGAAGCCCTTGGGAAGATGGTGCCGTGATGGCTGGCTGGGCAGGTGAGCAGCTCAGGCCTTGAAGGAGGCTTTGACCACACGGCCCTTCAATGGCTGTGGTGGCCGGAAGTTGTTCACCATGTGGATCCTCTCATCATCCTCGGAGGTGAATAGCAGGCTCCGGAATTTCTCCATCTTGAGAAGCAGAAGGGACACTCAGGGCAAGATGAGAGTACTGTGGTCCTTGGACTCCAAATGCATCATCTGGCTTCCCCATACACAGCCAGTTCTATCCATATTTCTCCCTGTACCCTGGGGCTTATCCCCATCCCTCTTTACTTGATAGTCCCAAGCTCAGTTTTTTGGTCACTAAACTTCTGAGCCTGGCCCATTTTACCTAGTTCTAGTTTCAGTCTTGTCTAGTAAGGCATAACAGTGCATGTACCCTTCTAGTTCCAACACAGTAGGCACAGCTCCTGGATCCAGGCATCTCCCCACCCAGCCTGTATCTAGGTCCTAATGACTAACCACCACACTAACTCCTAATTAAAAAATGTAAACATTTACCAGCAAAAGATGGGAGCTTTGATGGAGGAACTCCACCCTGCCTGGACGGGGCCATATATTTGTAGCTGGGTCTCTTCGAAGACTCACCTGCCTCTCCGAGATACTGATGGGATCCCGGAGTACAATCCAAGTGACACTCTCACTGAGGGGGGGCGTGGTCAAAGAGCCTGGATAGGTCCAGTAGTGCCGGCTGGCAGGCAGGAGGCACTTGGGGTTGAAGCAGCTGAACTGGGCCTTGGTTCCCTGGGGCAGGGTGGAGACCTGGGAGTCAGCACAGATCTCCTACTATCGCCAGGCCTGTAGATTCCTCACTTGTTGCCATCAGAGGATTCAGGTTTCTTCTTGGCCCACTGATGGCAAATTGTGACCAAATGTTTGTGACCAGAGCTGCCACCTCCCCAACCTAGGTTGTATCTTCTGTACCTGTTTGCTAGTAGATAAAAGCTATGGCTCCAGGTCTCTCTGGTCACTGTGTTCACACTTTTTCCTGTGGCTTCCCTCAATAGCTCTGCCTGACAAAGCACCATTCACAGACCCATGATCTTACACATCCTATATCCCACCTGGCTGCATGCTGGTGCTAGCTGGGCCATGAACCAGATGTGGGAGGGTCAGATGCAAGGCCCTGAGGTGCTGACCCACATCCTCCAGGGTTGGCCACCAGCATGGAGGAGTGGCTGGACCCAAATGTGAGCTAATCTTTTCCCTCATCCCACCCAGTTGCTCCCAATAGGGGGGCAGACCAACTCTCACCTTAAACCGAACCATGTAGAGTGCATCTGTCAGGCGGTTCATGCTGGGGTGTTCATCCCCCGTCTGTCAGGGAGAGGTTAGTATAAGCCTAGCACCCCTGCATACTCAAATTAGGATCATACCTTGTTCCCAGACCCATTGGCCCAAACTCACCTCCAGGAAGATGCCGACTACAGCCAGGCCATCTGGCGCTGAGGCTGCTTCCCCAAAGGTGCTGTACTTCTTGGCATTCCAGTGAACCAAATGTAGCTGGGGAAAGAGCAGGCCAGGCCCAGGCAGGGCCAGTGTTACCAGGGGCCCACATGAGAATTCAGAACCAACCCCCTCCTCTTTCAGAACACATTTCTGTCCTCTGCAAGAGGGGGAGCTGTCAAACCTCCCAGGGGACTCAGGGAGTTCCAGAGGGAGGGCCACAGGTAGCATCCCCAAAGCTCCACGCCCAACACATTCCTGAGCCCCAGGGGATCCCAAGGAGGCACATGGCTCAGGGCCTGCCTGCTGGTGACATGAATTCAGTGATAGCAATCCAGTGCAATGCCTCCCTGAGGAGGTGGCACCTGCAGCTGAGTCCAAAGAATAAACAGGGTTAAGAAATAAAAACCATGGAGGACATTTCAGGCAAAGGGGACAGCATAGGCAAAAGCTTGGAGTCATGAAGGAACAAGGTACAGAGATTTGTCACAAATAGCTCAGTGGGGGAAGCTGGCAGGGGGAAATGAGGCCAGGCAAGGTGAGTTAGTGCAGAGCCTTGAATGCCAGGCTCAGTTCCTGAAGGGCTATCAGCAGCACAGGAGTCAGGGGAGGCCTTTCCAAAAACTCCTGGGTGGGAATCCCCAGACAGGACAGTGGTGGTATTGTTCAGAACATAGCCCTGTGCTGAGGCAGGGGCCAGTGTCTCTCCTAAAGGCCCATGTGCTCCTCCTCACCCTCTCCAGTCACCCCCAACCCAGGCACCTGAACCATCTGACCCATATTCTTTCCCGGAGCAGCGGATGGTGGCCCTCACCTCACTGGTGAATGACTTGCCGTCCACAGTGTGCTCTGAGCCCACCTCGTGCTTCTTGCCCCAGTGGAAGTGGAACTGCTTGAGGCGGTAGGGCCCTTCCAGAGGACCCCCAGTCACCACTGCGGGCAGAATGGGGATGTAGAAGTTGGTGTGGGAGGACCCACAGCCTGGTGAGGCAATGCCAAGACTGAAGCAGGAAGGGGATATATTTTTTTATGTGGAAAATCTGCCAGGCTGGTTGGGTTTGGGTCAATTCCACCGACCATCCCTGCAGCCCCAAATCCAGGTCAGGATCAAAGCCTCAACAGGCTGCAAGTGACAGAGGGATCTGAAAATGATACAGTACAGCTCTCCACATTGGGTCCCCTTCCCCATTCCTGCCTGATTTCCCATGAAACCACTGACAATAGGCCTTCCATCTCTAGAGCCCTGACCCAACGATGGCTTGGAAGGATTTATCTGTTTAGTTCTCACAGTAGCCCATAATGAGAAAACTCTACTATTATTCCTATTTATAAAAGAGGAAACTGAAGCATAGAGAGAACAAGGCATCTGCACAAGGTCATTCAGCAACACATCAAGCTATGGTATGTGTGCGGGGCCCAGACCCCTAATCACCAGGCAGCACTGCCTTCTAATAACCTTGAACTTCCCTACCACATGGTGTTGCCCCAGGCAGGAGGCCAGCTCCTGAGGGTCCATAGCCTCTGGGACAGGCTCAAGTCCTCAGAGCCATCTCCTGTGTAAATAGTCTCTTGGGAGGCCCCTACTTGTGCTGGTTTCATGACTCTCTCACCTTGATAGCTGGTAAGCTGGGGGCATGTATGAGGCTACCTGGGACAGATAGAATTTCCAGCTGAAAGTGATCTGGCATGAAGGGGGCCCAGCCAGGCCTGAATGTGAGCCCCTAGATCAGGTGACAGTCCCAGGCTGAGTTCCACAAGGCCCCTCCATGATGGGTGACTAGAGCAAGGCCTTGTCCCCATGGGCCCCTCGATAAGGCCAAGCCAGGCCGGGCCAGAGGCCCCTCGTTGCTGCCCAGACCTATGAGAGAAGCAGGGCCCATCTGGGCAATGGTAGGTAGGTGGACGGCAAAGGCAGCCTGTAGGAAGGGCCTCAGTCAGGCTGTACCATCCCCCAGTGGTAGGAACAACTGGGCTTCCTGGTAGATCTGTGGCCCTGCTTGAGACTGTCTCACCTGGACCCAAGACCACTTGGGCTTGGCTCCCTATCTTCTCCCTCCAGCTGACCATGGAATGCACTGCCACTGACTTGTACTTTCTATGTGTTTGACCTCCAGAGTAGCCCACAATGGGTCACTATTCTTTTCATGGATTTCTGACTCCTCTGGCTGCCATTACAGTGGGGGAGGGAGCCCCATCCAGGTCTGAATGCAATCCAAAGACATGATCTTGAGTCACCCCACCCCAATGACCTTCATTAAGCTCCTGATGTCTGACTTAAGCCCGCAGAGCACTCTAAACGCTGCTGGAATGGACAGCCATATGAAAATTACTGCTCTAGAGTCATCTAGACTCCCATATCCCCTCTCCAAAGTTTTGAGAGGCTCTTCTTAGAGGTCAGCACAGTTTATCTCTCCTGCGGATCTGCTTGCCTTCTTTCCACACCCACTACTACATCTAATTTTCTCTTTTCTTAGCCTACCAGGAAATTCAAGACTAAGCAACTAAGATTACTTTCCTCATGAAAAGTTCTAGTTTTTCTTCTTTCCTTCCTTCTGATTTTCTATTTGAGAGATAAGTTTCCTTGCATGCTTCAGTGGTTAGAGGGAGGGGGCCATATACTTCCTCTCATAAGAAACCAGCAGGTTCTTTTCTCATCCCACCCCAAATTCCCATAGGCTAGTCATTAGGACAAAATCCCTTCACTGCAGAGTACTTCCAAAGCCTCTGCCTAGGAATCCATCATGAAAGAACCTGGACTATGATCTAGAGCAGAGATCTTGAAGGAGTTGCTGCAAGTTTCTACAGGCCTCTCTCTGGCCCAGGGTGGCTGAGAACTTCAGGTCCTGGGCAAGGTGGAAAGGGAGACTTTTGGAGCCAGTCTTGTCCTGCCACACCCTAGTGCCCTGCACCTCTATTTGCCTATCTGAGAGGTGGGCAAGAGGTCCAGCGCAAAGAGCATCTCAGTGCTCTTCTCTCATGACCAAGCTTGGCCCAGATAATGCAGGAAGGAGGGCTGGGCTTTGGAACACAAAGCAGGTCAACGACAGCAGTAAAACCAAACCTGATCTGCAACACTCTGGATGGGAAGAAATGGAATTAATGTTTCTTAAGTGTGTGTTATGTGATGGAACTACAAATGCCACTTCATTTTTTTCATTCACCTCTAAGTGATCTTATCACTTTCATTTTATGCAAGTGGAGACTGAGGCTCAGCCAAGCTGTCCTTCCCCACAACAGCAAGCTGCCGCTTCTGAGCCAGTGCAGCACAGAGTTAAGACCTTAGGGGAATATGTGCCAGGCTTTAGCATAGGCCACTTACCAGTTCGGTCATCACTGTCATTGAAGTCCACTTGGACAGAATGGCCATTGTTGGTGATGCTGAGGGATGTGCAGACCTCGTAGGAAAGCTCCAATGGCTGCAGGCTGGGTGAGTACACAGCCTGGCTGGATATGATGTTGATGGGTGATTGGCGTTCTCCCTGGGCAATGGGATACAGCTTGTGCCAATTTGAGGGGCCTGTAGGGAGGCAGCAAGGACTCAGGCAAGCCAAAATCTCTGAGGTTCAGGCTGAAAAAAGCCCTGGGGAACTGTCTCCCTGACATCCTTTCAGTGAGCTCCTGCTTTGGAGCTGCTTTGGAGTTTAATCCCAACTCCACTACTGCACTGCTACTGCATTTCAAACTCCATTTTCTTATCTAAGAATGGTCTTCCTAGCACTCACTAGCAGTCCTCATAGGAGGTGAAAAGAGATACTGCCTAGAAGAGAATATTCACAGCTGCAAGCTCAGAGATGGTTTTCAATCCTCAACACACACTCAAGCAGACATCTAAAGTCTCTGACCTGACTATCAAATATTTAGTATTGGCATATGCCTATAATCCCAGAACACAAGAGACAGAGGCAGAAAAATTGCTGCAAGTTCCAGAGCCAGCCTAGGTATAGTGAGTACAAGGCCAGCCTGAACTACATAGCAAAACCCTGTCATAGAAAAGAAAAAATCAATTATTTAGTCTCTTTCTGTACTTTGAGCAAACAGTGTTGGTGATGATAACAGCAAAAACTCACATCAACCTAACTTTGACTCTGCGACAAGTATTTGCTCCCCACAACCACTTCATGAAGTAGAAACCAGCATGACGAGGGAATTGAGGGCCTCTCATGCAAGCACACATGTACACATGTACCAATATAAACACACAGCATATGTCTGTACTGCCTCCAGCTACCTCCCCAGGCCTCTGCCTACGAGTCTGTAGATCTGACCTTCATATGTGTACAGTGACATGGGCCACCAGGCTCACAGTGGTCAAGCCCAGAACATGTGTGTATACACACACACACACACACACACACACACACACACACACACTCATAACCTTGCTCACTACATCTGATACATGAGTATGCACCCACACACAAAAACACCTCCTTTTGGAATCCCAAGTTTGCACAAAGGGACCAGAGCAAGACACATGCTCATGCACACACTCTCTCTCACACACACACCTGCACACACACCCACGGGCGCCCACCACCTGCCTCCCCGGGGCTCCATCTGCAGCCTAGAGGCTCAGCATCTCCCTGGGGAACATCCTGAGATGCAGCCTATTTTTAGAGCTACTGCCGGCTGGTGCTTCTCCCTCTTTAGGCTTCTTAAGTTTTCCTGAGAAAACAGCAGCAGGTGCCGACAGAGCTGTGTCCCCTATGGATGACTCAGAACCACGGCCCGGCCCCAGTGGGTTATTTTTGAAGTCCTGTGAACACGGCTGCATGCAGGAACCTCTATCCTCTGTTCCTTCTCTCTCACTGCTCCCAGGCTGGACAATCCAGATCAGACTGGGTTAGAGGGAGCTGCCTGAGGATGCTAGGCCCATGTGGCAGGCCTCTGAGGACACAGGATGCTCCAAGCCGGTGGGCAGTAATAGCAGGAGGGGCTGGCATCAGGGGACGCAGACTTTGAGGGGGAAGCATTCAAAAGCTGACAGGGGAAGATGGTCTTCCATGAGTTCTGTCAAACTCCTACTTCTCTGTCTCTCGCCATCTCTGCTGGTCTCTTTTTCTGAATGTCTTCTTTGTCTTGAATGTCCAGATCTGGGGGGGTTTCCTTTGCTTCTGGGGTTCCAGAGGCAGCAGAAACTCTGCAGCACCCCCTAAATTCCCTCTGGTCCACTGCAACTTCCACTGCAACTTCTGGGCTACCCCAGTAGCCCAGAACTCCCACACAGGTCACAAAGTGACTCTCTCCCCAAAGAAGCAGGGCTGGGAGGATCTCCCCACCCCCACCTGCCAGCCTGGGTTCCCCTTCTGACAGCTTAGATCTTAGCAGGTTCATCGGTTATCTCTCGGAAATGTGTAAGTCTTTACCCACACCCTAACCATGCTTGATAAGAGTACCCAAAAGGAAGATATTGCGTCCCATATCTACACTCAAGCCGTCTAGCTTACCTCCTGCCTCTTCTCACTTCCTCTGCATCTTAAGGAAACTGAGGCAGGATGCAGGAACTATCTTCAGGGTCACACCAAAAGGCTGGTGTGGGCTATGGACTCCCACGCCTCACACCTGACGTGCTCAAACACCCTGCTCTGTGTAGTCAAATACATGCGTGCGCCCCCAAGCGCCCCTTGCCTCACGTACCAGCCGGCACCGCAGCCCGGGCATTTCTGCGGGGAAACTCCTGAGGACACTGCGCCCTTGCCCACGCGGAGCCCAGCTCCCGGGAGGTCCACGCTCACACACCGTGCGCTCGCTCTCCGCACAGACACCCGCGCACCACGCTCCACCGCAACCGCCCCCAGCTGCCCCGGCCACCCCCACGCGCGGCGCACGCCGGGGGATGCGTGAGTGCGGCGGCAGGGTCACAGTAAGCGAGCGTGGCAGTCGGGGGCTGCGCTTAGGCGGCGGCGGCGGGACGAGCTCGTCCACCGGTCGCTCGCTAGCGGCCGGGCCCTCCGGAGCGCAGCGCGGACTTTGCGCGGGGCGCTGGGGAACCGGGGCTGAGGCCAGGCAGAGCGGGCCGGGTTCTGGGGACTGGAGGAGAGCAGGGACTGGGTGCGTGACGGGTGTAGGCTCATGAATCCACCCTGGACGTGCGGGTCCGGGTGAGTGCAGTTGGGTCGGAGCGGGCGGGGCTGTGCGCCTACCGTCTTCCTGGCCGTAGCCCCAGCCGGTCATACCGCTGCTGTCCCCGCAGCCGTGCACCTGCCGGCTGGGCTCAGTCCGCTTGCTCGGGCTGCAGCTTCGGCCCCTTTCGCTGCCGCGGAGCAGCTTCTTAAAGCGGTGGCTGGCAGGAGGAGCAGCTCCCCGGGGACCCGCCCCCCACCCCCCAGCAGGGTAAGAGAGGCTGGCCCTGCCCCCCCTCCCTACAAGCTTGCAGGACCGCAGAGTTCGGGGTCCAGCTGCGGGGTCAGGAGGAGGTAAACCTCTCACCCCACCTCCCACCACCTCCCACCAGGCGCTTTGCTCTGCTCTCCTTCCCTACCATGTGTATGACTCTGGGATGGGGGACACCATGACAAGAGACAGCCCATGCTGGAGGCTGCATGGTTCTTTCACACTGTATCTGTCCGTAGGCTTGTCCCTGAATTGGATGGAACTGCCACTCCTGAGGACCCAGGCTCTAGGCCCTGTGTTTTCTGGGGGTGGAAAGTCCCTTTTAAATGACACTATCAAGTATCCAGAACTGGAGTGTTCCCTGTTTGCCAGCTCTTTAGGTCCTTTCTGTGATACAGTCCCCATTACAGTATGTGCTGCCTGCATTGGCTGTGTGTGAGGTGAAGTGAGGTGACGTGACTTGCCCAAGGTCATCTAGCCAGGGTGAGGATGATTAAGTCCCAGTTCATTCTTACTTTAGGCACTCTACCACTTCTCCTCCTCGGTGCTGTGGGCAGAGGAGCCAATCCAAAGAGACAGAGGTCAGGACTGCCAATCCAAACCCCTAGCTCAGGGTGGAACCAGAGCCCCAAAGTGGGAGTGGGGAGGAGTGACATCAAACAGTGCACAAGGGGGACAGACAGACCCACAAACACCAGTTTGGCTTCCCTCTGTAACCATGTCTGAGCCCCGCCGCCTACTCTCCCTCTTATTCTCTACAACTTCCTGCTTCCTTCAGAGACTCATTGCTTGTCCCTCTGTTTGTGCCATCTCTTCTTGCTCCTTTATGACCTTCAGCACCCCAGCTGGGAGCTCAAACCCACTACCCTGCTACACTCAACCTCAGTGCCCAACATTTTCCCACCGTGAGCCCTGGTTCTTGTCGTGCCATCCTCCTTGTGTGTCCTCTGTCTTCCACCCACTGGCTCCAATCTGACTCATCTTAGCATGTGGCCTTGTGCCAAGGATAGGGCTTGTCTCAGGCTAGGCCTCAGAAAGCAGTTTGGGAAAGATAAGCAGATGGGTGGGTGGATGCAAGAACAGACAAATGATGCCACCAGGGGCCTGTACCCATAAGGAACTAAAGGGTCATGTGTAGATGTCTCCTGGTCAGACCTTGACCAGGAGACATTATTTCAAGCCTTGCTCTGGTTGACCTTGGAGGGAACTCTGCCATCCTATCTACCTGGTTCCTATGACATTAGAGATGTAGTGGGTGGCTCTCAAGACCAGGGCAGGTAACAGAGAATCCAAATTGTCAAGGTCCCAGGTCTTCAACCTAGAAATCAGTAAGACAGGGGGAGGCCTGGGTCCTCTGTCTCCCACTGAATCCAGCCCCACTTTCTTCTAGGAGGGAGACTGCAAGGCCATTGGGGACTTAGGGGTGACCCAAACTCCACTGACCCACTTCCTTCTCCCAGCAACACAGACATTTTTATAGTAATTAAAAATTAAAATTGGAGCCTTTCATAAGGTTTTGTCTCCTGCATCACCCACATGACAACTGGGGAGTAATTTTGTCCCATTTCATAGATGAGGAAAACATGATTCAAAGAGGTTGAATGATGGCTCAAGGGTTGCAGTGAGAGACAGAACAAGGATGACAACTTGGGGCTGCTGGGGCTCTCATTCAACATTGTCTAAAATCACAGGAAGGAGAGGAAGTGGATTTTAGATTTGTTTCTCATTTGCGGACATACAAATGAGAAGGACTTAAGAAAAGTAAGTTAGAATGTCATATTTCCAGGAATGAGACTAGAAAACAGTAGGGCAGAGGCAGGCAGGATGGGGTGAGGAGGATTCTAGTCCTTTGTACCTTCGGACAGAATTAAAGTATATATAGTATATGGCCTCTTTAGCAACTAAATCAAAGTTGATCTAATTCTTTCCTTCTTGAAACCCATCTACAGCAATTTTCCCTGGGAGCTGGGAACTCAAGCAGGTGAGAAGAGACAGTAGCATGTGCCTTTCTTAGATGAAGAAGCCCCACATGCCTGGCAGCCTACCCAGGTCAATGTGGGGGAGCCTGTGCCCCCATTCAGACTCCTCTGGTCTCAATTCTATGCTGTCTTTAAAGATGAATTGATTTCTTTGCTTGAAAGGCTATTCTTTGGTCTCAATGGTTCCTGGCTTTCACTCTGGGGGAGGACAGGGGATGTGGAGACCTATGAAGGGCTAGGAGAGGAAGGCAGGAGCAGCTTGTGAAGTCACGCCTACTCATCAAACAACCTTGGCCAAGTTCTGCACCCCTTCCTGAAAGTGCAGTGTTTTTGCTTGACAGAAAGATGATTTGGGAATTGTCCCTGCCCTGCCCACCCATGGGGACCCTGTGCATATCACTGAAACATCAGATGTCCAACACTGCACCAATAGACAGAATCATCCCTCCTTCTCACCATTTCTTATGCATAGGGATAGTGGGCCAAGTTAGAAGCCCTGTTCCTTGTATCAAGCAAACAAAACAAAATGAAATCCCCAAATCATTGCCTAGGACTGAGCTCCAGCACCCCCTGCCTCAAGAAAAAGATCCACTGCAAGTGTCTGAGTACATGTGGTAGGTTTCAATGAGCCTAATCTGTGGATTCACCTAGATCTGTGTTGATACCCAGTATCACTGGCTGTATGACCTAGGGTAAGTTGTTTCCCCTCTGAGCCTGCTTTTTTCTTTTTAATATATAAAACAGGAAGAGAATCTAGCAGACTAATAAGGTGGTCAGATGAGGTAATATCTGTGACTCTTGGTACCAAGGACACAATTCTCAGGCCCTAGGACCTTTACTCTCTCCCCTTTCCCTTACCTTATTGGGCACATTTAAGACCCCTAGACATTCATTTTCCAATTTTAGTAGTCAAACTTGTTTGCTACAGAAAATTTGTAAGAATTGGAAAATCATATAGAAGAAAATTTAAATAACTGGTTTTGTCACTATCCAAAGATCATTAATATATTTTTTTTTATCGATACCGGGGATCGATAAAAGCAAGACCACCTGCTTGCAAGGCAGGTGCTTATGCCGCTGAGCTAAATCCCTAGCCCCAAGATCATTAATATTTAATATTTTAGTGAAAATCCTGACAGGTTTTTCTGCTACATATTAGTAATAAAGTCATATATATATACATACAGTCATATATAGTCATATATATGTATATATATATTTATGTGACTAGCTTCCACTTAATGCCCTAGGCAAGATTTTCCTGCCTTGTTAACTTTAGACAACTTGACACTTAATATAATATTCACACATAGCTCTGTTGTATAATTTCCAGTTTTCACTACTGTAGCACTGCAGCATACATTTTTTTAAAATTTTATTTAAGGATAAAAAGAAAAAAAAAACAGAAAAAGGGTACAAGTAATACAAAATTTAAAAAATAAACAGTAAGAAATCACTAGTTAATAGATTACATATTCTCCTCTTAGAAATAGTTGTTCAAATTACAAAATTAAAGCATATAAAGTGGACTTTCAAACAGTGAGACTGCAAACAGTTTTCTTCAATGATCCAACAAAACTCAGTAATATGGTTATCTATCTTATACACTTAAACATATATGCAGTTATAACCTTTAGAGCACTTTCTTTTCATGTAGCATACATTTTTATTTATACATTTTTCTTTTTGTCTGATGATTTCCTTGGGGTAAATTACTAGAAGTAAAATTACCAAACTAGATGATATATACATTACCAAGAGTTTTATTTGAAAGTGTAAAAAATATTGTGGAAAGCGTTTTGTTCTTTCAGCAAAGATTTATGGAAGACTTATTAGGTGTCAAGTGCTGGGCTAGGCATGGGTCATACATGAACCCATGAACATGAGACCCACTGCTGCCTTGGAGAGCTCAGGCAGTTGGGGAGAGGCAGGAATCAGCCAATGAGCAACAGGTGAGAAGGGCAGGGATGGCCAAAGGCAAGCAGTGAGCAGTAGGAGCCACGGCGAGCGAGCTGTTCGAGGTTATAACTCATTTTTCCTTATCTCCTAGACTCTAGGCTGCCTCAAACTTCCCAGGAGCCTATAGATCCAGTCTTCCCTGGCTGAGACTAGCCAGGATGAATAAAATAACAGAACTGTGTTGAAAGTCTGGCCAGATCTATTAGAATATTTGTTTTTAATCTCTTTAATTTTCATTATTTTCCTCCTGTCTCCAAACCTCTTATTCATTTGGGTTAGCAGCAATATCTGTCCCATTAGGTGAACACAAGAGGTGATACATGTCAAGGGCCTGCTTGGTACATGTTAAGTGCTCAGTATACGGGGCAGGGAGAGTGGTCAGGGGATCCATTTTCCCACCTGTTCAGTGGAGCGTTAGTTTAGCTCAGTGGTTCTCAAACTTGAGCATGCATTAGGATCACCTGGAAGGCTCATTAGTTTAGTGCACCTTACCCTCATGTTTTGGGGTTTGCATTTCTAACAAATTTGCATTTTTAACAAATGTTTGAATGATAATGCTGCTGGTTCAGGACATTTTGGAAACCAATGGCCCAAATTAATTAGGTCATAGGTTCTTGGTCTGATACCTCTAGTTTGCTGTATTCCACAATAGGACTGCACCAGTGGGCACTGAGTTCCCTGATGTCAGGGCTATGTCCAATCAGCTTCCATAGTTCCAGCACAGCCACCTTTACCTGCTTCTATGAGTTGACTGGATGCCTGCAAAACCGTTGAAGCCATAGTGCCCCAGTATCAGTGAATGTTCTTATTTGGAAATAGAGTCTTTGGAGATTTAATTCAGATAAGATAAAGTCATGAGCTAGATCCTAGTCCAATATTACTGGTGTTCTATTAAGAAAAAACAAGGTTGGGGATATAGCTCAGCAGCACAGTGCCTCCCTGGAAAGCGGGAGGTCTTGAGTTTGATTCGTATAAGGCAATCAAAACAAGAGACACAGACTGAGACACAAATGGAGAGTGTCATGTGACAAGGGAGGCAGAGATTGTAATGCTGCGGCTGCAACCCAAAGATTGCTGGCAAATCATGAGAACTTGGAAGGGGAAGAGAATCCTCTCCTACAGGTTTCAGAAAGAACACAGTCTTGGCGGAACTTTGATTTCAGATTTCCACCTTCCAGAACTGTGAAACAATGCATTTCTCTTGCTTTAAGCCATCTAGTTTGTAGCACTGTGTTTTGGTAGTCTAGGAAATCAATATATTGAGGCATCTTTTTGTAAACACCATTAACATAACCCTTTTCAAAACCATGCATTTCTTCACAGGTAGTATAACCTCCACACACATGCCCACCAAATTTAGGGGTATTTCCTTCCATGGTGTCTGTAACTGCAATGGGCATAGAAGCAAGCAGTAAACTTTCATCTACCACCTTTTGGCCATCCTACATTCCCAGGTGTATTTTATTATCCCTTATATTTCACCTGTCCAACTGAAGAAGGAAATGTCACAGCATAGGACATGATAAGCTGAGAAAGTCTCATATCTCTATCTCCCATCATTTGTGTTCCATGGGGATTGGCAGGAGTCAGGGAAGTCATGGGAGGGTGTGTCCTGGAGACCAAGCCCAGGGGAAGTACATTCATCATTGCTGTCAAACTGTGTTCTCTCCCATCTCCACCCTAAAGGGATCGAGAGCGGGCTATGGCGATTTGTGCTCATTTTACTTTATTTCAGGCAATAATTAACCTGAAGATGTCTGTAGAATCTGGGATATACAGAGAAAGGAATTCCCATCTCTGCCTACTGGTCACTGGGCCTCTCTTTCCTCCCCTTCCTCATGGAGTAACCTCCTTCCTTGGCACTCTTTCTCAGAGGACACTGACTCTCTTCCAGAAATGACCTCTTTTCAGGAATAAGAAACATTAAATTTTTTGTTTCTATTTTGATGGTCCTCACCACCTAGCCTCTGCTGTCTCTCACACCTTCCTTAACTACTCTGTATTCTTCACCTGACCAACTTCACCAGCACCCACAGCCTTGTCTCCTAGAAATGCCCTTTCATCCCCATACATGAAACATTCCTGAAGAGGAGTAGGATGGACTCTATGCACCCCCAAAACCATAGGTTCCCTCTATAGGAGGGTCATAGTGTCTTGCTTCCTATTTCTCTTCCCTCAAGAGATAGTGAACTCCCCCAGATCAGGGTCCGAACTTACTGTCTTTGCTCTGCGACTGCTCTTGTGACTCAAAACAGGTCTCAGAAGGTGAAAAGAACAGGTGAAAGAAACAGGAGAACAATAATATCATGACAATAAAAATTATTCATGCGAGTTCTTTTCTTTTCTTTTGGTACGGGGGGATGGAACTCACAACCTCGCGCTTGTCAGACAGGCGCTTACGCCACTGAGCTAAATCCCCAGCTCATGCAAGCTATTTTGTATTTAAAAATCTCATTTTAGGCTAAATGACCCATTTGACAGAGGCCCACTCATCCCCATCGCACAGGTGGGTAAACTGAGGGTTTGAGAGAGAACAATTTTCACAATCATTAAGTGATTAAAGTCCAGGCCTGATTCTGAAGTCTGAATTCCCCACAATCACCGCATGAACAGAGGAACTGACTGATACACCAGCAGCGCTGAGACTCGGAGACCAGTCCACCAACTCCAGCCTGGTTCCAACGACAGGCAACAAGAGTATGCCGGGAATTACAGTGACGCGTGCGCAGTGCAGCGGCGTCCCCCAGCGGGCCGCCAGCAGCCGGCGGCAAGGGCCGCTCAGTGCGCCTGCGCGCGGCAACTAGTGGTGGCGGCTTTCGGCAGGCGGTTGTAGGTTCGCGGAGCAGGCGCAGCCATGGCGCAGCCGGACAAGCTGCTTAAGGAACAGAAGTACGACCGACAGCTGAGGTGAGCGGGGGCCTACCGAACCAAGTGGGCAGGCCGGCGAGGTCTCCTGTGTCCAGGCAGGGCTTAAGCTCTGGGCGGCGCGGAAGGACCGCCCTCGGGCCTCCCGACGGGCGGGCCCGGGCCGTACGGAGCGCAGGGAGCCGGCGCCTGGGCTTGGCCGGGGGTCGTCGCGCTCTACCAGGCCAGGACTCCCCTTCTCCGCGGGGAGCGCTCGCCTGCCACGCGGAGGGCGGCCCGGGGGGGCGCGGTCTCAAGCTGTCGGTCCCCATGGAGGCTGCTGGCCCCGCCTCGTTGCACCCAGGCCCCTCGTTTTGCAGAATGGAGGATCGGGAGTACCGCATACCCAGAGACGCAAGAAATGCCAGTTATTGTTCTAAGCCAGCGCTGTCCGAGCACAACTATGTTAACATGGAGCCACGTATATACGTAATTATAAATGTTGAAATAGCCACCTTAAAGTACAAAGAAATAGATGAAATACAATTTTATAGCCTAGTTTATTTAACCTAGTAGTATTTCGTCAGTACCCATTGTAAAAAGTTACTGTGATATTTTACTTTTTTCCCCCCAGGCTATTTTAGAAATCGAGTATTTTACACTTAAAGCACATTTTAATGCATGTTAGCATCATTTCTGGTGCCAATAGCCGCATGTGGCCAAGGGCCACTTCACTTGGACAGGACAAATCTAAACGTGGCAGATTCTGGGCTCCTTCCCTACCCTTGCCTTTTCCGTCCTCATTCCGTATTTATTGAGCATCTTTCGCATATTGATACAATATGCGAGATACAAAAATGCTGAGTGTCCTCTTCCTTCTTAGCGCCCCCAGGCCAAGAGAAGTTATAAATTGTCCCTAAGGATCCGAACTTCCACTTGCACCTACAGCCTGGGCGTCTTAGAGGATTTAGATGCTTAATTCTCCAAGTTTCCTTGAGGTCAGACACACTACTGCTTTACATACGGGGATACTGAGGCTTAGAGAAGTTAGGTAATTTACAGAGTTCCGCATGTTTTTCAACTCTGGCTTCTTTAGAGCTGTTACTCTGTTGTATTATTGCTTCCAGGATTTTGAGGGGAAAGAAAAAAAAAAGGTGACAGAACATCTTGTTGTCTTGTAAATTCTTGGAGTTGTGCTTTGAATACAGGTATAACCATGTATGAGTCAATGACAAGATACTTGTGTTTAACTAAAATCCAGAAGAGGGTTTTTTTTTTTCTCTTGAGCCGATTATATTAGATTAGTAGCAAACTTGCCCTTTCATAAGGAGTACTAGTTACTGGTTTGAAAGGGTCAGTGAGAAGCAGTTAGAAATAAAATTTTGGCTTCTTCAGACATACGTAGAGATACTTTAATATTCTGAGGTTCATCCGCCAGCTACCTAAATATCTATCAAATGCCCTACTTTCATGGGAAAACAAACACAAAAACCAGATGTTTCCAGTCCATCTGGTTCTTCCAGGATATTCTTACGTCCATTTGACAGCTGTTCATGATTTGCCCTGGATAAAACCCTGTGACATGCACTGGGGCTTCAGTGGTGAATATATGGGGTAATCTGGACCCTCATGAAGCTTAAAGAGAGACGGATGCTCAGCAAATAAATGAAATGGGGCAGTTGGTTGTGACTGTTTTTGCTTACTACTTTAAGTCAGGTAACAGGGGAAGCATACCAAAGTCTTTCTTAGTCTTCTGGGCTACTAATACTTACCTGAGTATGGTGTTCTCTAATGATTTGGGCTCACCTATACTTGTATACTGACGAGAAAAAAAATAAACCAATTAATAGTTTTTTGGGAGGTGAAACTAACCATCTTAGCTTGAAAGCCATGAAATGTGATCATGTGCTTTCCCTGGTAATGACATGCCAGTGTGAATCAGGTTATATACATTTCTAATTCTAATTACGACCTTCTGTTTGTCTATATATATATCTGTGAATCTTGCAATTAGAATGTCCTTTTTTTCTGCCTTGTGATTCTAGGGATTCAAGTCCCAGGACCTTCTCACTGAGCTATAGCCCCAGTCCATTTTGATTTTGAGATTGGGTCTTGCAAAGTCAGTGCATTACCCAGGCTGGGGTGCAATTTATAATCCCCCTGCCTCACCCTTCCAGAGTGCTGGGATCATAGGTATGTGCCACCAGGCCAATCTGTGTATTAAAAGCATTTCTTGTGAAATTTTTCATGTGGTAATAATTTTGTTTTGCTGGTAAAATTTTGACTTACTCTTGCAGTTGTCACAGTGATAAGTCCTATATCAAGATTACTTCTTTTTTTTTTTTTTAAGTGATACTGGGGATTAAACCCAGGGCAGGTCCACTACTAAGCTTCATCCCCATCCCATTTTTTACTTTGAGACAGGGTCTTGCTAACAAGTTCTTCAAGTGGGCTTCTAACTTGTGATCCTTCTGCTTCAGCCTCCCAAGTATCAGATACTACACTACTGCATTCAGCCTATGTTAAGATCTTAAATGTGCTGTACTGGATCCATGTAACTTAGAAGCAATGAAACAGAATAGACTAGGTGTTAAGTGCAAATCCATGTTTTTTATTTCGTATGAGACAGGGTCTTACTCTTTTGCCCAGGCTGGTCTTAACTTGGCTCAGGCAATCCTTCTACCTCAGCCTCTTGAGTAGCTGGAATGATAGGTATGTGCCATTATGCCTAGCTAAAACACTTAAGTGATGAGCATTTCCAGAGACTTTCTGTCCTTAAGTTACCTGGCTTTAAAAGCGTAATGGACATACCAGACATGGTGGCACATATCTGTAAACGCAGCACTCTGCAGGCTGAGGCAGGAGGATTGCCAGAAGTTCAAGCCCAGCTTGTACTACTATCGAGTTCAAGGCCAGCCAGCACTACATAGCAAGACCATGTCTCAAAACAAACAACAACAATAGTAATGCTTATGAAGCTGGATGACCAAGTTCTGATTCTAATTTGATGCTCTTCCACCCACTCTGCAAAGTATAATTTGTCTAAGTCTTTGATAACTGCCATAATACAGTTACTGTATATAAGAACAGATCAGCAGATTACCATTCCAGTGAAAAAATTATTGTATATTATGGAAATTTTTAAACTGTTTAATTTGTGTCTTGTTTTGTAGATTGTGGGGTGATCACGGACAAGAGGCTTTGGAATCTGCTCATGTTTGCCTGATAAATGCAACTGCTACAGGCACTGAAATTCTTAAAAACTTGGTACTACCAGGTAATGTAGTTTAGTGATTGTGTTTTAAATTGACTTCTTAATGGGACACATGTATAAATACCACATTGTTTCTCTGGTATGAGAAACCAAAAGTGTAAATAAAGACCAAAATGTATACTAGGTATTGTGAAATAGGAAGAAAATGTTCAAATGGGGAGGAGAATAAAGGAGATGGGAGAGGGAAAGGAAAGGAAAGAAAAGTAAAAATAAGAAGAGAGAGAGAGAAAAAAGAAGAAAAATATGGAAACAAAGCTTTTATAAGTAGGGAGAGGAGAAGGAGTTTAAAGGAGGATATGGGAACAGGGAAGAAGAAAAGTTATATCACGTATAGGTACAAATTCTCTATGATGAATGTGATTCTTACGTATAGCTAAAAATGTACTAATCTGATTTTTTAAAAAAGGAAAGAAAGTGACACAGAAGATAGTCAAAGTAAATACAAAATATATTAAGTGATGGCTTCCAAAGAAAATCAACCTAATAAGATTTAAAATTTTTTTTAAAATAATAGATTGACTTCTTTAAAGTTCTAATCCAGAAATAGTCTTAACTGTTTTGTCTCCCAGGTATTGGATCATTTACAATTATTGATAGAAATCAGGTCAGCGGAGAAGATGCTGGAAATAAGTATGTTCTATTTTTTTTCAGATATACATGTTAGGAAAGGCCAACCAGTGTCATGGAAGAAATATAAGGAAAGCCAGAATGTAATTCGTATTTAGCTTTGTTGTCTTTGGGCAAGAGTACAATGTTCTATCCACAACATGGCCCTTTTATGGAGATTTGTAAGGAAAAGTTGTATTTTTGCTCACTTAATCATTACAAATGCAAGATGTGAAGAGAATAAGGTTTCTTTTTCATATAGAGCTGTGAACTTTTGCCACAATATAGCACTATGACTGATAAGCTGCCTTTTATTTGGGCCATAGAACATACTAGTGGTATGTGTGGACACCTGAATGAAGTTTATAGTTTCCTGCAAAACAGATGGTTCAGCACATTTTCAAAGGCTGGTTTGCAGAACACTGATTTTAAAGAAATGTTCTAGATGCTAAATGGGACAGTAGTAAAGTGAGTTTGGGAAATGAGTCAAATAGAGTTAAAATTTCTTAACTATAAAACTTTTAATATCATATTTGCTTTTGGTACGGGGGATTGAACTCACCATCTTGTGCTTGTCAGGCAGGTGCCTATACCGCTGAGCTAAATCCCCAGCCAAAATTTAATATCATGTGTATTATGAAGAAAATGTGGCATATAATGTTTTCCAGTTTTTTTTTAAAGTCTGGGAATCCTTTTTTCTCAGAGCATCTTTTGAAATTTACTTATTCTGTGGTGTATAATTTGGGAAGTGCTGATTTATTAGCTCAATTTTATATTTTCATTAGACTTTCTTGCTAAGAAGTCTGTTAAAATCTTTTTTCAAAAATAGTTTGTTGTTTTTTTACTATGAATATAAATACATGCTTTTACAAACAGCTTTTTCTTTATAGTCACATGAGCCTTTGAATTTTTTCTTCCTCTTCTATCCACTTTAGTTTTTTCCTTCAAAGGAGCAGTATTGGCAAGGTAAACAATCAATTTGTTATTGAATATATGTGTGTGTGAATATCTATGCAGTTGTGTCTTGATGGCTTTCCTTTTGTTGAGGTGTTTTGTCTTGGTTTGGTTTGTTTTGGTTTTTCTGAGACAGGGTTTCTCTGTGTAGTTCAGACTGGCTTTGAACTCACAGAGTAGCCCACGCCAGCCTCAAACTTCTGATGATACTACTGCTTCAGCCTCCTGAGATTACCAAGTACTGAGATTACCAGGCCCAACAGTTTTCGCTTTAAATGAGCTTATTCTCTAAGAAAGTTAGCTCATTTTTTCTACACATAAAAGAATAATGTTTATTGATTTAAAAATTTAGAAGTACTGTATGATTTTATACCTTTTTGTATTAAAGAAAATAACAATATTCTGAAATTACAGTATTCTGGTTAACAAAAATTTTAATTGACATTAGCCAAAAGAGTCTTTATTTTTATGTTTTGAATACAAAATCTTATAAAACCAACTTGGTGAACTTAGTATACCATTCTGAATGGAAGTTTGTTTGACTGTGTAAAGAATTATAGATGGGAGTGGTTAGAGTAAGCCTGAACTTGATCCAGGATTGCCTGCTATGCAGGGTCTTTGGTCATCTGTCTAATCAGAAAAGGTGAGGGTGGATAATGTCATTTGAGAACTGTGGATAGTGATAGTTTAGTTCAGTTTTAAGCCAAGACTTCATTTAAACACTGTGAAAGCAGAGTTGTCACAACGGTTTAAAAAACAGTGTGTCTTGCCTTATTTGTAGATTGGGGGATTACATTTTAACTAAGTATTTGCTAATTCAAGTCAAATGCTTTTTTTTTTTAAAAGAACAGAGCTGAAGCTGCTGTGGAGTTCTTACAAGAACTAAATAATGATGTCTCTGGAAATTTTGTGGAAGAGGTATAATATATATATTATTTCTGGACTGAAGCATTATTTTTAATAATTTGAAAACCTAGAAACTTAAAATTTTGAATTTTGTATCATTTAAATTTAGTCAACATTGAATTATTACCTCATTTATTCTAAAATAGCTTAACTGTTTCTGCTGTGTATAATGTGGATTGTTAAATTTTGGATTTTTTGTTTCCCTTGTCCTGTTTAGAGTCCAGAAAATCTTCTAGACAGTGATCCTTCATTTTTCTGTAGGTTTACTGTTGTGGTTGCAACTCAGCTTCCTGAAAGGTAAATTTTAATATTAACATGTTTTTAAAATTTAAAAAATTTTATTACGTTTACATGGTTTTATTTTCTTTCTATAGTTTAAGGCGTAGTTTCAAAAATTCTTTTCGTTGTTGTTTTTGTTCTACTTTTTGTTTTTTTGGTAGCAGGAATCAAACTCAGGGCCTCACACTTGCCAGGCAGGTGCTGTGCCATTTGAGCTATATCCCCAGGCCCTTAAAATTCTTAAATTCTATAGAAATATTCAACTTGAAGCTCTTGTATGTATTCATTTTAGCACTGAACCAAGAGGCAAAAGAGTGAAAATACTGAAATCTGAAACTTCTTTGGATTCGTTTAGAGCCTTAAAAGTGAACATTGGAAAAAAAATAAAGTGAACATTGGCTACTTTTTAGTATTAAAACTAGGTAGAATTATACAAATTATTTGGAAATACATGTATAGGATTTATAAATATTTTCTGTCAGGAAAGTTTGTCAACAGTATTTTTCCTAGTATAACTAGGGTTTCATATCCCACTAGTCCAAAAAATGTACTTTCTTTAAGACGGTAGCCTTGTAAAATTGTTTGCTTTTCACTGAGCTGCTTATGGAAGTGCAATGATGTATCTTGTATTTATTATTTAGTAAGAAAGCTGCTTTATTTTCAGATATTTTCGTGTTGGGCATGTTTCATATTTGGCATACTCGTTTGCTTATGTTCTTATTTTATTTTGCTTTCTTTTACAGTACATTACTACGTTTAGCAGATGTCCTCTGGAATTCCCAAATCCCTCTTTTGATCTGTAGGACATATGGACTGGTTGGTTATATGAGGATCATTATAAAAGAACATCCAGGTAAAATTGTTGAGCATATGGGGCTTGCTATCAGTGCTTTAACTACAATTTTAGAAACTTAGAACCTTAGAAAGTCAAATTTAAATTGCAAAGTAATTTTGTACCAGTGCATCTTGTTATGGGTTCAAAGTGGCAATTAGATTCAATGGGCTTTAATCTACTGATTCTTTACCTAGTGTAGAAGGCTAGAAAACAGAGACACAACAGGTACAACTTCTTCATCTGAGTAGAAGGCCCAACAGGTATGCAAGTACAGGTGTGCCTCAGTTTACAAACTAAATTTGTTTTACAGTTGTGGGGCTACATTTGTGTTTGTGTGGGGAAGATGACAGTGGTTATGCTTGTCACTCAAAGTAGTTTGCAAATGGAGGCAAAATCTTGTTGAATGCTTTTGTGAACCAAATTTTTTGCAAACAGAAGCATTTGTGAACTGAGGTATTATTGTACCTACTTTCTTTTTCCATTTTACTTGTACCAATTGATACAGGAGAGAAGCGGGGTCATGCTACCCTTTTATTCTATTCTCTTGTATGTCTTTGGTTTCCCTAGTTTATATGCAGTTCCACATGATAAGGCATTTACCCAACTACTGTTTCCAAGAAAACAGCATTCATAACCCTATATCAGTTCATGGCTGACACTAGCCCTTTACCTAGAAAAGCTTAATCTTAGATTTTTATTCAGTACTATACAGTGTTCTTTATTTGCGCATGAAAACATTTTCATTCTATGCCAACTGTGAGCCAGGCACTCTGTTAATGCAGTAAGACCTTTCAGCGTTGATGGCCTCACTGAGGAGTAGTAATCACTATCAGCAGATAGGAGGCATAGTTTATTGAGTAAACTTCAGGTAGGTGGTGGTGGCCTATTTGAAGATTATAAGTGGGAGAATGATAGGGTATAATTTTTATTTTAAATAATTATTCCAAAGTTGAGTGGATAATGAAAGGATTTAAGAGGCTAAGATTGGAGACAGAGGTTGCTACTAATAGATTTCCAGTGATCTAGATAAGGGATGGGAGCAGAGTGCCCATGACTTAGGGAAGATGTTATAGGGATAGGGAAGAGGGGAAGAAGAGGTAGATAATAAAATTTAACATTGTTTGCTGTGTACCTGCCTTTATGTGTAACATTACATTTACTCTTCCTCAATCTTTATGAGGTGATACTATTGTATCTGCTTTTTGCAGATGATGTTGAGGCACAAAAAGATTAAGTTATTTGCCTAAGGTTACATAGCTAGCATATGACTATACGTTATGTTTCTTTGTAAACACTCAGTAAAATTGTGCACTCTTCTATACCTTCTCATGTGGAGAGCAGCATGCAAAGTGAAATTAGGAAGTGGGAGTGACTGGTGTTGAGGCCAAGGAAGCAAAAATCAAGTATAAGCATCAGGGTTCTAGGCATTGCTGTCTATCAAAGACCACAAGAGAAAGAATGGTAGTTTGTCAGATGTTGTATGTATGTATATTTTGTCAGGTTTTGGGGATTTTGTTTGTTTTATTTGGTTTTTGAGACAGAGTCTTGTAAAGTTGCTAAATTGCCCAGGTTGGAGTCAAACTTGTGATCCTCCTGCTTCAGACTCCTAGAATGCTGGGATTATAAGCATATACCATATACCACCATGCTTGGATTTACTTTTATTAAAATTTACAGCCCATTTAAGATTTGTGTGTTTACTGTGTAAAGTTATACTTTAATCACAGTGAAAAGTGTATGTAGGTCCTCTGACCATTTAAGAATTAGCAATACTGTAGCATATTGCCACAGTATTACTAAAGAATTAACTTAATCTTTTTGGATTATTTGTTTCACAGTAATAGAATCTCATCCAGATAATGCATTAGAGGATCTACGACTGGATAAGCCATTTCCTGAACTGAGAGAACATTTTCAGTCTTATGATTTAGATCATATGGAAAAAAAGGTTAGTTGTATGTGATCTTAAATTTATAGGTAGCAAAATACTTGTTTAACTTAAAGTTTTTAAATTATACCATTATAAGAAAATATCATGACCCTTCATATTTTGTCATCCAGGTTAACAATAGCAACACCTTCTTTTCAATAAATTTATTGTTCTCCCAAATTTAAAAAACATTTTTATTGAAGTACATAAACTAAACATCTCTGGATACTCACCATCCAAGGACTTTAACTTATCTCAGTAGGCCTCTTCATGGCCTTTTCCTGAACAATTTTAAAAATAGTTTGAGCTGTATGTGGTAGTGGACACTTGAAATCTCAGCTACTTGGTAGGCTGAAGTGGAAGATCACAAGTTTAAGGCAAGCGTGGCTTACATAGTGAGGCTTGTTTCAAGAAGAAAAAGGGCGAAGTTTGAATATAGCCAGGTGCATTATCGGTGTCATATGCCTGTGCTCTCAGTACTTGGGAGGCTGAGGCAGTAGATTGGTTTCGCACAGGTAAGACTAGCCTGAGGAACATAGTGAGACCTTGTCTCAGAAAAAATGTGAATTCTAGATGGATGGTTGTTGAATTTGGCCTCTTGAAACTTAAAATTACCCAGGTAAATTAAAAAAAAAAAATTACCCAGGTAACTATATATTTCATTATAGAATAATGCTATTTGTAATGGACTATATAATTTTTTTCCTTTGGGTAGTACTGGGGATTAAACCCAGCACCTCACATTGAGCTGCATTCCCAGGGATATTTTTTATTTTGAAAAAGAACCTCTCAAAGTTGCCCAGCTGGGCTGGAACTTGTGATGCTTCTGCCTTAACCTCTTGAGTAGCAGGGATTGCAGGCATGTTCCACCATGCCCAGCCAGACTATATGATTTAAAGAGCATATATATTTTCCCCACCTACATCTTAAAATACAAGTATTTTGGGTCTTTTTTTTTTGGAGGTGGGAGATAGGATTGAGAAAAATCTCATTATGTAGTCTAGGCTAGCCTCAAACCTACTGTAGTCCAGGCTGGCCCTGAACATGTAATATTCCTGTCTCAATCTCCCAAGTGCTGTGATTACAGCCATGTACCCACCACACCTAGTTGTTTATTTGGCTCATTTAAAAAAAAAAAAAAAAAAAAACAAAGAAGATTGTGTTAGTCTAGGATTGGTATCTGAAATCTGAAGATTTGAACTAGGTCTGAGAGTGGCAATCTCTGAACCTATTTTCTTGTTAGGGCAATGGTTGACATCACAGGCCTCTAAAAACATATATCTAAGTCAGTCCTTATTAGCCCAGTTTATTTTCCCATATTATTTTACATATCTCAGGAGATAATCAAATATTATTGAATTTTAAAAAAATGATATGCTATAGTAAAGAATTGTTAACTAATACTGGTATTTTCTTTGATTTGTCTTTCATTTTAGGACCATAGCCATACGCCGTGGATTGTGATTGTAGCTAAATATTTAGCACAATGGTATAGTGAAGTATGTTTTTTTTTTATAATTCTATGTGTAAATATAATTTCAATTAAAAAAATAAAATAAAAAATCATCTGAGATTACCCATTGGGGGGAAAAATATATATTTTCAATTTATTGTAGAGAATTTCTATAAAAGGGAATGGGAGATTAATTTTTTCTTTGTGGAGTTTTAGTAGCTCTTGTAATACTGATATTTTAATTAACAAATTGAAATATGAACAGATGTCATTCTTAAACTAGCAATGGAGAAAGACTGTAGAGAAATGGCTTTCAGTTTGTCTTTTCTACCAGGTGAGCCTCTGACTTCAATGAAGTATGTATTTGTTGATAGACTCTCACGTGGAGCATGGGGAAAACTTTGGACTCTGAATTTCCATATTTTGAGTTCTTAAACGTATTTTAAAATTTTTAACCAATTTAGACAAATGGACGAATTCCCAAAACCTATAAAGAAAAAGAAGACTTCAGAGATTTAATTCGACAAGGTAATATGGGATGTGATTAAATATTATGTAACGTTTGTAAAGCATTTTGCTAGAAGCAGATGTTTATTCAGTTTCTTTTATCACTTTTGTCAGATGATGCCATCATGAGCTTTTATTTTACTTTGTCTCTGGGGAAGAAAAAGGACCAATTCTTGTGTGGTTTTAAGAAGGACAAATGATAAGCTCTGTTTCTTCTTAAAGTTCAGTATTTGGATTCTTTCTTGGAATATGACAAGATGATTTCTATAACATTGGGGAGGGAAGGAATGAGAACAAAATGGCAGCTGTTAACCCTTTTTCCATTTTATAGGAATTTTGAAGAATGAAAATGGAATGCCAGAAGATGAAGAGAATTTTGAAGAAGCTATTAAAAATGTGAACACTGCACTAAATACAACTCAGGTATTAAGAGTTGCTGAACGATTCATATAAGAAAAATGCTTTCTGAAGCCCTCAGATGTGAAAGTTGATCATAACTTCTTAAATGTATAGTTAGAAATAAATGTAACACAGCTTTATTTATTAGAAGTGTGTGATTTTTTAAATACTAAGTTTGGAGGTAGAAACTATATAATGAGGTGATTATTTTGCTAGTTCAAAATAGTGCTTCTTGGAAAGTTATCCTCCATTTTCTTCTGATAGTAATTATTTGGATATAATGGAAGGTATTCTTAATGATGTTGTATACTTCAAAGATTATTTGGAAGATAACTCACATGCTTTTTGTTACAATGTAGTTTTGTTAGTGATGTTTTGAGCGACTTTGTGTTAACACACCTGATAATTAAGTTAGAATTTTCTTACATTTTGAAACAACTGTTTTTACATTAAGGAAGACTCTTAAGCTATTGTTGCAGACTTTGAAAACAATGAAATAGTGTTACTAAGTGTATACTTCATGAATCAACATTCAAGGTAATGAAAAATTTCTATGTGTTAATCAAAGTGATGGTTGAAAGTATAGTTACCAAAGTGCATCGAATTGTGTAAGATCTGTACAGTTCACAGATGTGAACTTTACCTCAGTTACCTCAGTTAATGTGAAATTTACCTCAGTTTTTAAAATGCAGTGCTAGTGGTTAGAGCCAGTGTGATTGGAGTGAAGAAACAGAGACTGGTAGGAATGATTTGTGTTTGGAGAGACCAGATTGTAGCAGCCTCGCAGGCCATTGAAGGGTTTTGTGTTTCTAAAAGCTTGTTTTGGCTCTTGTGTGAATAGAATGGAGGGGACAGGGAGTGGAAGCACAACAGTTAGATGGTTACCACTAAAATCGCTGGGGATTTAACTTAGTGGCTTAAGTGCCTGCCTGGCAAGCACAAGGTCCTGAGTTTGATCCCTGGTATCAAAAAAAAAAAAAAAAAAAAAAAGCATTTCTGACCACTAAAATCTCTTTTTCACACAACAGTAAAATCAAAGCCTATGATTTTTATTAATGTCTGATAGTCTTGCTGGCACTAGAATAATATAATTTTTTAGGTTATTTTTAGAGTAGTTTGCTCTTTTAGTAGCCTTTAATTGGATGCAAGGACTTCAAATTTTTGACAAAACGGAAAAACCATGAAAAATTGTTAGTAAGGTCTATAATCTTTGTTTTTAGATATAATTATGTATAATGAGCTATTTGGGTTCCTTCTTTACACCATTTTTATAAAATAGACTTGAATGCTAAGATGGGGCAAAAGAAAGCTTTTTTCTACTTTTTCTGCATCAGAGCTCTATCTGGTTTGATTCTAAACAAAACAAAACACATCAAAAGTTGACTATTTTATTACACTTTGAGAATTCAGAGAGGTTATTTGAAGAAATATTGACTTACTAAAGGCGGGCAAGTTCTTATTATAAATATTACATGTTTTTTTGTTAGATTCCAAGCAATATTGAAGATATATTTAATGATGATTGCTGCATAAATATCACAAAACAGGTAATAATAAGAAATAAACATGCTGCTTTAATCTTTAGATCAAAATAAAACACCATTTAATGTTAATTTTCCTTATTCTTTTAGACTCCACCATTTTGGATTTTAGCTCGTGCCTTAAAGGAATTTGTAACCAAAGAAGGTCAAGGAAATTTACCAGTTCGAGGCACAATTCCTGATATGATTGCAGATTCAGGCAAATATATAAAATTACAAAATGTGTGAGTCAGTGTTTTCAGACTATATAACAATTTGATGTGTTTACATTGGGGATAAATATTTCATCAGTCAGAAATCAAAGGGAAGTCTGTCATAACCTCATTGCTTTACAAGTAAGCTGAAGAATTTGGAGGCATTTTGTTTTTTCTTAATAGATTTAATTTAATTTAATTTTTTTGAGACAGAGTATCTCCCTGTGTAGTCCAGGCTAGCTTTAAACTCACAGTGATGCTCCTGCCTCAGCCTCTTAAATGGTAGGAGTATAGACTTACCTATCTAGAAATAGATTTTAAATTGATTTTATTTTTTAGAGCAGTTTTTGTTTCAAAAGAAAATTCAGTAGAAAGTATAGAGTTTCCATATATCTCTAAGCCCAGATTTTTTTCTTTGCCATTTCAGTATAAAACCTGACAGCTGATCATTCACTCTTTATAAACTATTCAACACTGTATTAATACATACGGTTTATAACAACCTTATTAGATGTTACATGCATTTTACAGGAGGAAACTAAAGCCTAAAAAAGGTTATACAGCTGGAAAATGACAAAATCAAGATTTGAACCTTAAGAAACTGTTTCAGAGCATTTTCTCTTAGCTGTGGCCTTCTATCTGTAACTTTTTTTTTTTTTTTAAAATCAATACCAGGGATTGAACTTACAACCACGCACTTGCAAGGCAGGCGCTTATGCCACTGAGCTAAATCCCCAGCCCTTCTATCTATAACTTTTAAACTGTGAAGTCTTCATTTTTTTGTTTTTTGTTTTTTGTTTTTACTGGGGATCGAACTTGACTGCCTGCTTGCAAGGCAGGCGTTTATGCCGCTGAGCTAAATCCGCAGCCCCAAAGTCTTTGGTTTTTATGAATTCATAAAATCTTTCAAAGTTTATAAAAAATTCATCAGTGTAGACAGATACCTGCTATCCCAGGGATTGCTAGCAAGAAAGACTGTTATAGGGATGGATCTCCTTGAATGTTACCTTTCTGTAGTTGGAGCATACTGCTGATGAAACCAGAGGTTCTGAGTTGTGCTCAAGAGGCAAGCAGTGTCAGAGATCTCAGGTACCATTTAGTGAATCTTGATTTCTAGTCCTTGCCTAAGAGCTGAACTACTCAAAACTTAAGAAAGATCATAGAGGTAAATTTAAACACTGATCGTTTTTAGAGAGAGAAATATAAACAGACCTAAAAGAAAGTTTTGCATGAATTTCTAAATGGACAGTTTAAGTATTTAACTTGCCCTGACCTTCACTTCAAGGAGCTAATTTGTGTTCTTCAGTAACATAATTTCTTAGGTCTTCTGTTGGAGAAGGCTGGGCTGTAGATCCTTCTAGGAGACAGTTTTAAGTTGGGTGCTGTTAATTATGGTGGTAGTATTGGTTTTAGTGAGCCCCAAGAGTCTGTCACCAACACTGGAAAGATCCCTTTGACTGTTAAGAGGTGCTGGTGGTGGCATTTCTTCTGCATTTCACATTTTTGTGCTAGTATGTATTCATTAAGAAGTTTTTTGTTATCTTCATAGAAATAATTTAAACTTTGCCAATTGCAAAATTTATTAATTGTAAATTTTTATTGTTCTTTTTCAGTTACCGTGAAAAAGCAAAGAAAGATGCTGCTGCTGTAGGTCATCACGTTGCCAAATTGTTACAGTCCATTGGCCAGGTAAACTCTGTCCACACTGGGCCTCACACATAGGCCTCCGATGTATATCTCAGGCCTCCTGTGTATATCTCATACAGAATATACTGCAGCCCAGAACACTGGCTATGTGCTTTTTTAGAGGGAGCATTCACTTGCCTGTCTATTGAGAATAGTTGTAAGGAAACAGGTATTTGGAAGTGCACTCTGAGCTGTTGAAAACAGCTTCCCCTTTGCAGAGCAACTGGCTTTGTGCTATATCTTCTATTAATATTCTCTTGTACTGCAACAAAGCCTATATTTATCTCTTTACAGGCACCAGAATCCATTTCGGAGAAAGAATTAAAATTACTCTGTAAGTCTCCTTGAATTAATTTTATTTTGCTTGATAAAAATATGCCATAGGGAATGTTTACAGAAATCTTAAATGGTTGAAATTTTAAATTTTTCATGGTCTTAATGGGATATATCAATTGATCCATGTTTTTTTCCCTCTCAGAATATAATAAATGGAGAGGGGCTTTTTTGTTATTTCTTTGTTGAGACAGAATCTCACTATGTAGTTTAGGGTACCTTTGAACTCACTATGAGGCTAAGGCTGATTCTGAACTCATGCTAATCTGCGTCAGCCTCCCGGTTGCTGGGAGACAGAATATTTTAAAATGTGGTCATAGGTAGATCATATTTATGACAGTGTTAAAAAGGCATGAAGATCAATTAATTGAAAATTATTATTAACACAATTTTTGGCTTAGTAATTTTAAGGTAAATTAATGTCTGAGACTTTGAGTATGAAGTCATGGATCACATATATATGGACAATAGTGGTTAAAATACTCATTTTGATGTATGTTAGATGACTAATGGAATTAAGAATTTACCATATAGCTTCAGAATAGCTGAGCTTCTGGAATTATCTCCATAATTCCACAGTAGGAAAAGCATTTTCTTTTATTTGTTGCAGAATAACAAAACGTCTGTTTTACATTCATGAAGATTTATATTTTGGGGGGCTGGAGGTTTAGCTCAGCGGCATAAGCGCCTGCCTTGCAAGCAGGCAGTCGTGAGTTCGACCCCCGGTACCAATAAAAAAGGAAAAAGACAAAAAAAAAAAAAAATTTTATATTTTGCATGCTTCCACTTCTTAAGATATTCTAAGATACCGTTTCTATAATGGCTGCTTTGCCTCAGTTTTAATATTTTGCTACACTGCTAATCTTGCCTCTGGTTTGTGCATTTGTTTGTTCTGTTAGATTATGTGATACCAGATTAAAAGCCAGATGTTGAGTATTGTTTGTTCTGTATATGCTTAAAATTTTCCATAATACAAAAGGGTTTTTTTTGGTCTTTTTGAGACAGGGTCTCGCTATGTGGTTCAGACTGGCCTTGGGCTCACTTTGTAGCCCAGGCTGGTCTCGAACTTGCCACAATCTGCCTGCTTCAGCCTCCCAAGGGTTGGGATTACAGGAGTGCACCACCATGCCCTTTTTTTTTTTTTTTTTTTTTTTTTTAAAGCCTTGTGCATTCCAAGAGCATACTATATAACACTCTCCCATTTAGGACTTGTCCATAACAATGATGAAAACTATTGTTTATTAAACCATATCAGTCATTGCATTAAGTATACTCTTGTCACATTTGATCCACAGAACTCTCACAAGTAAACGGTTTTACAGATGACAAACTGAAGCTCAGAGAGTTGCCATCACTTTACTCAGTTCTGAACTAGTTACTATGTCAAGCATGTGAACTTAAGACGAGTTGTGTTCTGCCTTCTCTGCTAACCATTAGAGCCAAATAGACCTTTCTTCATATTCTCACGTCTGTGTAGGGTACATAACTAAATTTCCTGGGCCTGGGATATAGCTCAGTGGCACAGTGTGAGATTGTGAGTTTGATTCCTAGTACCAAAAAAAAAAAATTCTGTTCTTAAGGTGACCTTTGACTTGATACAACTGTTATTTCCATAAAGTCTTTTCTGGGTTCAGGCAGCAATTCTGCATTTCTTCGAGTGGTGAGATGTCGTTCCTTAGCTGAAGAATATGGTGTGGATACAATGAACAAGGATGAAATTAGTAAGTATAATAACCTGAATGAGCACAGTGGTACACCCTATAATCTTAACTCATAAGGAGGCTGACAAGGAAGGAACACAGGTTTGAGATCAGTCTCAGCAACTTAGAATATTTCTCAAAATATAAATAAATAAAAAGGGCTGGGGATGTAGCTCAGTGTCAGACCCTTGGTTCAGTACTCAGTATAATAGTGTTGAGTGGATAGTGATAATATAAGTAATTATAGTCTAGTCTTTAATCTAAGCAATTTTAATTTGTATTATATAGAACTTAATATGTACATAAAATTACATTTAGATCACCAAGTCCTTTGTGTGCTTTACATAAGAACTGATATCATCTGACTAGTTTCATAAGAGATTGCCTGACTCCAGCTAGTAGTCTGTAAGACCAGTGGGTAGCATCTTCATATATTTCCTTATATTATTATTTAGCAACTTCTGTTTTGCTGTCAAAAAATAGTAAATTTTGTACAGGTATTGCATTGTACTCTGAAATTTGAATATATAGTAACTTCATTGTTGGTGTGTTGCAGATTACCCAAATTATTCTGATATTTTTTTTTAACCTTTCAGTTTCCAGCATGGACAATCCAGATAATGAGATAGTATTATATTTAATGTTACGGGCTGTTGATAGATTTTATAAACAACATGGTAGATATCCAGGTAAGAACAGCAATAGAATTACCAAGTATAATAAAATCTTGAGTAAACACTTGAGTTGAATCTTAAAGTGTTTTCTGGGTATTTATAACAGTGGCACTTAAATTTCATTTAGTGAATGGATTATACCTAGTTCATCCAAGAGAGGAACTACCATTTATATTTTAACTATTTGCAGGTAGTGATTCAGTCTAAACTCTTACAGGGGAATGCTAGTTGAATGTAAATAGAAGAAAATTTTTTCTTCTGTCAGTTTCCATAGTTTATTTTTAAGACTCCACCGAATTTCATCTAGTACAATAGGAAAGCCACAGAAAGTATGCCAGTGACTTCTAAACCCTGGTAGTAATTCTCCTCTGGTAGTAATTATAGCTTACTTTTGCAGACATTATCATTTAATCATTAGCTACTTAGCTCTTTACCCTTAGCATCACTTGGGCAGTGCTTTTGTTTACATACTGTCTAGAATGGTATCATGGAAGGTGTCATTTCAGTCAATTTTTGTGTTGAATACATTTGATAAAATTATTGTTCTGGTATTTCTTGTTATATTATCTTAAGAAAATTAACAAAAAATATGTAATTTTTGGTTATCTGTATATTTAATTATTGGACTGGTTAGTGGTTAAGAACTGACTGGACTCGTATTCTGTTTGCTCTTTATGAGCCAAGTAATCTACTTGTGCCTCAGTTTTTTTCATCTGTAAAATGAGGATTGTAGTAACTAAATCTTTGCCTCACTTTTTAATAGTGATAGTGATAGTACTATCTACTTCATGAAATGTTGTGAAGATTAAATCAAGTTTCCAATATTTGCAAATAACAGTTTCTGTTGTTTTTTTTTGGTCTAGCTTATATCTTACTACTTTGACTAGAACATCTGAAACTGAGTTTTCAATCATATTTATTTTTTAAAAATTAATTTTTAAAAAATATATTATTTTAGGAGTATCTAACTATCAAGTAGAAGAAGATATAGGAAAATTGAAGTCTTGTCTCACTGGCTTTCTTCAGGAATATGGATTATCTGTAATGGTGAAAGATGATTATATCCATGAATTGTGAGTATCCTTAGGATATGTAAGAGGTAATACCCTACCTGTTATAAAGCTAGTCTAATTTATGTCTGTTTCTTGTAGTTGCCGATATGGAGCTGCTGAGCCACATACCATTGCTGCATTCTTAGGGGGTGAGTTCCATAGATTAGAAGGCTTGTCTGTTGCTCCATAATACCATTAATACATATTTCAATCCCAAGTTTTGTTTTCTTAGCTATTTTACTTAGGGCAGTCAGTGAGTTAAGGTGTCATATTAAATTTAGATGATTCAGTAGCAAACACCCCTACCCCACTGCCACCCCTACCCCTCAAATCTGGTCTTCCTGCTTCTACCTCTCCCACTGCCATCCATCTTCAGTCATTAGACCAACTTACCAATAGTTTCTCACGTTTCTCACTTAGCTGTCTGCCACCAATGCACACATGCACGCACATACACACACGCTTTCGTACTCACATACTCATACTTCCTCTCTCCTCAGAAGACCTCAGAAACAAGTCCAGGGACATTAGTCTGATATCAAAGACCTCATGTTCTGGTTCCACATACCCTTTCCTACTCCAATAGCTTTACTTTGCTGGGTTTGATGGCCTCAAAATCTATTTCTGCATGTCTAAAATTTCCTGTTCTTTAAGTCCTAATTAAAAAGTGCCATCTCTTTCATAAAAACTTTTATTTCTTTCCCTCCTTCCCTCTTCCTCAATTTAGTTTAGGCTACTATAACAGAATAGTAGACTATAAAACAACAGAAATTTATTTTTCACTGTTCTGGAAATCTGAGCTACAGGTATCAGTATGATCAGAGCCTGGTTAGAACCCACTCTTATTCTTACTGTGTCCTCACATGATGGAAAAAATTGCAACAGAATTCTTCAGGATCTCCTTTAAAAAGATAGTGACCCATTTAATAGAGCTTTGCCCTTACAACCTCGTCTCCCAGCAGCCCAATCTCCTGACACCAGTAACACTGGGGGTTAGGATTTCAACAAGGAATTGAGTGGGGAGGAATGATGGCACATTCAGTCCATGATCCCCTCAAAAAACAAACAAAAATTATTCTGCAGCCAGTGACTTCCTGTAGACTGAGCCATTTGCTTATGACATTTTCCTTTTAGGTGATTAATGTTTTGATGCTTTAGGTTGGATTAATACTCAAAGTGTTCCAAATGGAAATCCAACTTAATCCTGATCTTGCATTACTCATTTAAAAAAAATTAGTCTCTTATACTTAAATAGCAACCTGCTAGTTGACAGAGAGGGGCAAATTTATCAAAGAAGAGACACAACCAGAGAGGATAGATTACTTCCTATAGCAGAAAAACATATAAATTGAAGTTTTTACTTCTTTGTCTTCTGTAATCATTTTGAACAGTGGTGTTCTTCCCTCATGTTCTTCAGGTTTGGCAGTGTTATCTCTGTGATGCCATCCTGATTCCAGAATTGAGCCCTCTACTTGGCTTCACATCTTCTTACGTTTCCTTTTCTCTTTAGCACTTATGATCACTTTATTATTTGTAAATTATCTCTCACTCACTGCTAGAAAGTAAGGGCCATGAGTGCACGTAAGATTCTTTTGTCCTTTTTTCCCTACTATATCCTCAGTATAAAGTTTTATGATGTTAATGACTGCTTGGGAAAGCAGCAGCTTTGGATTATAAAAAGATGCAGAACTTTCTTGATTTGTAGGTTTTTCTTTTGTATTTTGTTTTGAATAATTATAGAAGATTGGCAGTATTTAATATAGGTCCCTTTGAGGTTATAAATGTTTTTAGAATAAATATATCTTTATCCATTTTTATTATGAAAGTAAAATAGCTATAAGATAAAATTCAAATTCAACAGAAGGATTTTCGTCTGTTGAATCTTTTTGCCTCTATGTATCCTTTAAAAAGTTCCATAAAAGCTAGGCATGGTGCATGCCTGTGATCCCAGCACTGGAGAGGTTGAGGCAGGAGGACCACTGTGAGTTCAAGGCCAGCCTGAACTACACAATGAGACCCTGTCTCCAAAAAAAAATAAAGTTCCACCAACCAAACTACTACTATTTAAACTTTGTTTTGTTCATTTACTATATTTTGCCAATCTTTTTATACTACCATAATTAAAAATAAACCTTTTAATTTGTGGCTTAGTAGCCAATTGTCTTTCTAAAATAAAACTTTTATTTCCTTTAATACCACAATTAATAAGGAATTGTAGTTTTTTGTTTTGATATGAGTAAACTATGCCTGTTTTGAGTTGCTTTTAAACATCATTGCTTATGGAGGAAAAAAGGTTACTTTACAAATCTGAATAGTTTTAACTCTTGACATTCTCTCAAAGATTGGCTTTTTTTCTTCTTTTTGCAGGAGCTGCTGCTCAAGAAGTTATTAAAATAGTCACCAAGCAATTTGTAATTTTTAATAATACATACATTTATAGTGGCATGTCCCAAACTTCAGCAACTTACCAATTATAGATTAAGCATCCTGTATACTGTTAATGACTGAAATTGTAATTGTCTTCAGTAAAATTACTGTACAGTTTAATCTGTAAAATTCTGCTGAAGAACACTGTTAAATTGTTTCCTCAATAAACTTTTTTTTTTCTCATTTGTAGTAATGTAGTGTTTTTTGGAAGGGAAAGAAAAGAAAGCAGTCATTTTCCCAGAGAATAAACTTCATTCATTTCTCATTGAGCTGTTACTCATGGCTTGTTGTTATTTATCATCAGTTATCTTTATTTCATTAGAAATAGCATAAATATTCTTTCACTACCATGTTGGAGAGCATTGAAGCTGAATACACGTGCAGGGCTGTGGTGTGGCTGGGGCAGGATTGAACTGAGAATGAGGAGACACCTCAGCGGGCAAGATAGGCCACAGCTGAGGCCATTTAAGAGACTTTCTGGATAGTTTTCTTGCATTAGCATCTTCTGTTCCTTTGGTGGGTCCTTAAACCCCTTCCAAGACCCTGTCAGGTTTCCTCCATTGTCCACTCCTGATTGTTGTGATTAAATATGGGCTGTCTAGTGTCAGTTGGCTAACCAGCTAGCAGAGTTAGAGATTTCTCTCCTCATGCAGCCCTAAAGATCATGCCCTGTGTCTTATTCCTTTGAGCCTTCACCCTGCACCTGTTTGGGGGTTGGGGTGTCTAAGTAGAGACCCCAACACTACTATCTTAATTTTAGCTACATGTGAGTTGTAGCTGTGTACACTAGGACCATCATTATTTGTTAAATGTGAGTACAATGTAGTAGGAAACATTACAGAATATGTAGTTTTATCAGAAAACAAAACCATGTGGCATCCTAACTTAGGTTTTTCTATGTACTTACTGCACCTTTATGGGGTTGTCCTATTTTACATTAATTTCATTTTAAAGATTAACGACATTGGATTATTAGTCATTAGACATAGCTGAAAACTTGAAATCCAGGAAAGGGCCCAGCTTTTGACTTTATACAGGCCTAAGCAATGACTCTATTTTAGGGAAAGGCCAGTGTCTCCTAGGTAAAGCTGTGCTAGAGTTGCCCAGAGATGTGGGTTTTTTGGGCCCTAATAGGTCAAACCCCTTATCAGCTGGCCTTAGTGACAACTGGCACTGCCTCCTAACAGTAATTGACTTCCATTTACTAGCACTCTGATGCAGTGGGTTTTATTAGAGAAGGCAAAGGCTAGGCGTGAGCCTATCTTTGGGTCCAGACAGAGAAAAGTGCTGTTGGCCTCCATTGAAGCTGACTGTGAGGTGGCAACCTGATGAAGCAGTGTGACAAGTGGCAAGGATGCTCCCTCAATGGAGTGCCCAACCCAAGGGAAGACGGCCTGGGGTCAGGATGCTTGGGAGCGAGGTCTGGGCAGGGGTTGAGCAGGGGCTGCCCAGTCGCACCTGCGCATGCGCGGCATGCGCCATAGTCAGCCCACTTCATCCTTGAGCCTAGTCAGCCCACATCATCCTTGAGCCTATCTTTTTCAGCACGGGAGCCTGATTTCCTTTGGGGATAGCACCTTTCTGAAGAAAGGAAGTGTTTAAAACCGGGGGCAGTGAGATTTGGCGATCTCCCCTTCAAACAGTGACTTTCTTTCATTAAAATCTCCCCGCCTGCCCACTGGCTACCCCAGGAAACTTCTGAAACCAGTGATTTGCAGTAACTGCTGGAGGGCGGTAGTTCTGGCCGGAAGTCCCGCCCAGCGGAAGTGAGCCGAGCCCTCTGGGCGGGAAGCTGGGTCAGGCGTCGAGGTAGGCGTGCAGCAAGGGAAAGAGGGCTGTCTCTCAGAGCACTTTGCCTTAATAAGGGGCAAGGCCTTGACTGCCGCGCCTTCCAGCCTTGCCTTAGCGGCGACCGTTCCTCCTGTGGAAGGCAGGCTGCAGAGGCACACAAGACCCTTCACAGCAGCTCAGGTGTGGCACCCCCCCACTTGGTTCCCACTTACCAGCCCACTGGAGGGAGGTGTTGAGCTGAGGATACGCGGCGTCCTGAGCAGGCCCTACTCCCTGCAGCAGCCTCCACAGCCTGGAAAAGGACCTTAACGGGTACCACTTAGTTTGCCGTCTGTAACACCTTTAGTGCACTGTGTGTTCCAGCCCCAAGGCTCTTCCCAAGGAAAGGCGTGGAGTCCACAGATAGAGATCATTTCTCGGGCTGAGCAAAGGCCACGAGCCCATTTCCACCGACCCAGGTTGCCAGAGCACCCCTCTACCAGCGCCTGGTCTGAGTGGAGCCTGAGAGCCATCTGTGCTCTTCCAAAGGAGGTCTTCAGCTCTTGAGGGGAGTGAGGCACTGGTGTCAGCAGAAACCGAGGGAGCAGGTGGAGTTCGCCTGATCTTGGAAGATGACGAGTTCTGGGTGGAATTTGAGTGAGGTCATGGAGCATTGCGCTCTCACCTGTGTTAATATCATAAAGCTAGCTGACTCCTGGTAATCAGCATATTTTTGGGGACCTGAATAACTGCTGTTTCACAATCCAATTAAACTATTGCAGCTGAAAACTTACACAGTATCACAGTTGCGAAACCTTTGTCCACCTGGCCTTTCCTTTAAAGGGCATTTTCCTGCAATTCCACTGTCAAATTAGTGACGGCAGTAGGGGTGGGCTTTTTTTCTTTATCCCTGCCAGTCTTACACAGAAAGATGGCTTTTGATACTAACATTTTCTAGGTTTGGTAGGTAAGTAAAATTCAGGGGCTGAATATATTCATACCTTGAATGAGGTTCTTTATCCCATCCCTTACATTAAAGGGTTAGGGAAATAATGTCCCCTAGATTTCTCACTGAAATTTGAATTTGAGTTAATAGTACTGTTTGGGGGAGTAGATTAAAAGTTGTAAGTAGGATAGCTACGTGGACAACTTCTTTTATCCTGTGTTAATACCATAAAGGATTTTAAAGTCCCATTGCTGGTGACAATTTGCAGCCATTCACTAAATTACTGAGAATCTTTCATAATCTGCATTATTTGACAGTTTTTTTTTTTGGGGAATAGACTATACTTGTTTTATAATTTTAAATAGAATTTTATAGTCACCAATCCCCTAAAAGTTATAATTTGTCCTTTGCTGTGAATGTTTTTTTAAAGCATTTAGCTTTTAAGTAGATAACTTGTATTACTGCTACTAGATGCTTGGCAAACTGTCTTTACTACGCACAGTAGCCATTTATTAGAGAAGATTATAAAAAGACAGAAAAGAAGGTAGGGTACTGTAATGCTGTCAGTTTCAATTTCCAGACATTTAGATTTTAAAGTTATACAGGGGAGGGCCTGGAGATTTAGCTCAGCGGCATAAGTGCCTGCCTTATAAGCAGGCAGTCGTGAGTTCGATCCCTGGTACCGATAAAAAGGAAAAAGGCAAAAAAAAAAAAAAAAAAAGTTATACAGGGGCTGGAGGTGTACCTCGATGGTAAAGTGTTTGTCTAGTATGTACGAGGCCCAAGATTTGATCTCCAGCTCTGCAAAAAGAAGTGAAAAGACCAAAAAATTTGTGCATTAGCCCTCTTTTATTTATTTATTTATTTATTTATTTATTTATTTGTCTTTTTCCTTTTTATCGGTACCAGGGATCGAACTCAATACTGCCTACTTGCAAGGCAGGCGCTTATACCGCTGAGCTAAATCCCCAGCCCCGAGCCCTCTTTTAAAAATAAAATTATATTAGAAGAGTGGCTAGTTAAGGATATAATCTTTAAGCGTCCCCATAAAATGAAAGCATCCTCATATGATACAATTGTTCATTTTTTTAACAATTTGATTTTTTTTCTTGCTCTGGAAATCAAACCCAGAGTCTATTAAAGGTTGTATACTCAGCTACATGAAGGTCCAATGCTGAACTAGAAGTCAGGCTAGTTAGGCCTCACTAGCCACATTAAAATTGTTTAATGCAACTATTTTATTTGATTTGTGGTGCTAAGTGTTAAAGCAGGGCCTTATAGATGCTATGCAGGCACCCTGCTGATGAGTTGTAGTACCTTAACCTCTCATTTAAAAAGAAATCTATTTTTCTTTTTTCAAATCTTAAATCATTTGCCCAAAGATAATGTGTATTTGGCCTGGGGATTTAGCTCAGCGGCATAAGCACCTGCCTTGCAAGCAGGCGGTCGTGAGTTCGAACCCTGGTACTGATAAAAAGTTAAAAAAAAAAAAAAAAGATACAAAGATAATGTGTATTTATACTGCATATTGGAGACATATAATGGAGAAGATTTTCCTCTGTTGGCCTCAGGTATTCTTAGTTTCTAATCCAACTGTAGCTGTTGAAACTTGGGCAACTAATCCACCCTTTTCTCATCAGTCTTTTCATAAAACTCCCTCATAAAGTTATTGCGATGACTAAAAGATAATATTTATAAAGTATAAAAGTACAGAGTCTGGCCTATAGTAGATACTAAACGTTAGAAGTCATGAAGTCATTATTCCAGAAATTGCAAAAAATGAAAATTAGTGGAAGAAAACAGCCATAGAACCACCTCCTAAAGGTAACTGTTAATAATGTTGCTGTCTTTCCATCCAGTCTTATATTTGCCACTATCTAGTTGGTGCCTTAATGTAGATAAAGTTTTGAATCTTGCTCTTTATGGTTAACTTGACAAATATAAGCATTTTTTTTTTGTTGCTATGAAACATTTCTACTCAAGGTCAGTATTCTTGCAACAATATCCTATCCTGTGGATGTATCATAATGTACTTATCATTTCCTTTTTAATGAGGTACTATGTTAAAATGACAAAACTAGCATATATTCATATATTAACTTATGAAAATCCTATTTTTAATTTCCTTAAGCTTTAGGGATTTTATTTTCATGTTGAATAAAAAAGTTTAGAATTTTGTTGTCCTCATTTGTTGCTCTAAGAAATTAAGTTGAATTTGATAACATTTTATAAATAATTTACCATTCTCAGGGCATGTGAGAGACTGTGTCAGAGTTGCCTCATTTTTCTGACAAGAGATATGTTCAGAAATTTTTCTAACAAATTATATGTACAAAGATTTAAGCTTAATTGTAGAATATCATGCTAAACATAATCATGAGTTCTTAGAAAAATTTAGTGTTAAGCTTAGTTTGCGGAGAGAAATGGAAATCTAAAGAGTGTAGGTCTGTGTTTGTGTTTAAAATCTTCATGCAGTAGTGTCTCATTTGAAACTGTGGGGTAAAGATTCATATTTTAAAGAAAGTGGGACTGAAAGGACTGGTTTGATTTAGTCAACTAGCCATTTGTTTAATGAAATTTGTTATTGAATGCCTAGAGTAATTTAAAAAGGCTAGATGTGTTTACATAAGTTTTCAGATATAATACTTGAAACAATTCTATAACGGAACATCAGTCTTATTTTATGGAGAAAGAAATTGAATCTCAGAGAACATAAGCGTGTCCAGTATCACATATCTATAAAGTGCAAATTCAGGTCTTTGTCTTTTGGCTTTAAGAAAACTATTCTTTTCTTACTTCCTTTGCATTTGTATTTCTGGAATGCTTAAAATCCAATTTAAAATGAGAAAATACTTCTTTCTTACAGGTGAAATAAAAAGAAATAAGAATATAGACAAGCATGGAAAGTGAGGACACAAAGAAAATACAAGGTGAAAAATTCATGGATCAAAAAAAAAATTCATGGATCATATATCTAGTTAGTTCTATGTTTGCATGCCATACTGCAGATTATGTGACAGCATCTAGGAATAAGTCACCAGCATTGAGCACGTGCTCTGTACCTATCACATAATTCAACTGACATGCAAACAAAATGATGTACTAATACTTAGAATGTTATATATAGTTGCTTTAATGGTGCTATATAAAATAACTGTAGGAACCTGAGAGACCACTGTCAAAGTCTGCAGAAAGGGACAGTGTAACAGTGGCTTTCTGAAAAGTAGAAATGGAATATAAAAAAGGATGGGGAAGAGTTTTTTTTAATGTATGCCAACAGAAAGGTTTAGCTAAAGAGAACAGTCTCAGAAAAAAAAGACTGAAAGAAACATTTTAGAAAGGAGAAAGCATCAAAAGTGTGATGTCTTGGAAATCAGAACTTTAAAAAAATGCTTCATGAGAAAAAAATCATATAAGAGTATCTGTACCACATACCACAGATGAAGACTGAATCTTAACTGAATTTTACATTTAGATGTCATTTATTTTACAACAGCTGGGCATGGTAGCACAGAGCTTGCTATCTTAGCTACTTGAGAAACTGAGGCAGGAGGATTGCAGGTTTAACGCTGGCCTGGGCAACTTAGCAAAATCTTGTTTCAGAATAAAAATTAATATTAATAAAAGTAAAAGGGTTTGAGAACCTAGCTCACAAGTAGAGGATTTGCCCAGCATTCATGAAGCCCTAGGTTCAATCTTCAGGACTGGGGAAAAATTAAGATAGTTTTAATGGAGATCAGCCAGATTGCAGTAGAGTATATGAGGACAGTATGAGTAGCTTAGTCTTTTAAGAAATATGACTGAAGGTATATGGCAGTAGGTAGAGGGAAGTCCCAATATCAAGGGTTATCATTTTGTTTTTTAGAGGTAGGGTCTTGCTGTATTCACCAGGCTGACCTTGAACTGGCCTCAGTGGATCCTTCTGCCTCAGCCTGCCAAGTAGATGAGATTACTCATGTTTGCTGTTGTGCCAGGCTTGTCAGGGAAGTCTTAGAATATTACAGAGACAAAGAATTTTGAGGAGTGAATTTGAGATTCAGGAGAAGGGAAAGTCAAGGAAGCCGGGAAGACAGATACCTGTTCATTATCATACTTCTTCCGCCCTATATCTCTTTCGTCTGAAATTTCTCAGTCTCACTTCCTCTCATTTTCTATTTTGGTTTACCTCAAGAAGTAGACATTGAGATTGAGGATTTGGGTTTTAGCAGTTTCTAAGAAAAAAATTTTAGCTAGCTGGGAAATGAGAAACAGAAATAGGAAGGGAAAGGAAGATGGAAAAGTACAGTATCCAATTATGGATATTCAGGCTTAACTTCCCTAGGAAACTCTGGCAGTGATACCCCCAAGTCACCCCAGCCAAAAGGTGAAGGGTATTTATCTGTTATCTCTCATCAATCATTTGTTTAGTAGCAGTATAAAATGGTATCTAATTGTGATTTTTGGTTTGCATTTTCCTGATGAATAGCAAAAATGTTGTGTGGCAATTTATCTGTTTTGGAGAAATGTACATTCAAATCTTTTGTATACTTTTTAATTATTAGATTGTCTTTCTATTATTGAGTTTTAAGAGTTTAAATATTCTGAACACAGTCTCCTTATTGGATATCCAACTTACAGGTATTTTCTTCCAGACTAAGTTCTCTTTTTACATTTTGGATGGTGTCTTTTGAAGCTTCAACATTTAAATTTTTTATCTTTCTTGAGACAGTGTCTTACCATGTAGTTCAGGCCGTCCTTGAACTCACTGTGTAGTTCAGGTTGGCCTCCAATTCACCATCCTGCTTCCTCAGCCTCCTGAGTGCTGGAATTAACTATGCCCATTTAAACTTTTTATATGCCATCCAGAAGAGGCTGTATTAGGACTTATGCTGCCGCTCAAAGGGGCACAGTGCACTGATTGTTTTAAATTTTAAACCTATTTTATCAAATTTTCTTTCATTGCTTACACAGTTGGTATTGTATTTAGTATCCCCCGCCCTCTTCAGGAATTTTTAAAGGAACTAGTTGCTCAGCCTAGAGATGACAAAACTAAGATAAAACATAATAGTTGTAGATGTCAGTAGGTGGTTTGGCTAGCAAGGGAAGGAGTATTATAGGAGATCTAAAAGTATGAGACGGATGTGCAGAAAGTGGTGGAGAAGCACATAAAGGAGTTTCTTGCACCCTGTATTGTGCCTTAAATTTAAGTTTTCTTTGGTGTTTAGTCTTGGAAGACTAAACATTGATGTGATACATCTTAGTTTCTTTAGTGTACTCCTCTGTACTATTTTTTTATTTAAAAGAGAAAAAACATTGAAAAGAAGGGTTCTTTATGTTATGATGTGCATCCTTCATCCTATATCTTTCAGAATTCAAAATGTGTGGGCTGGGGATTTAGCTCAGTGGCAAAAGCACCTGCCTGGAGAGTGCAAGGAGATCATGAGTTTGATCCCTTTACAAAAAAAGTTAACTCAAGCCTTATGCCAAAGTCTATGTATAACTATATAAATCCTGTTTGCTGTTCAGTTCAGATAGCTTACATTTTGGTAACTTTGACATATGTACATAGTTGTGCAAACATAAGGATAATCAAGATGATGACTATATCTTGTGTCCTTAAATAACCCTTCCCTCTGTTGTTTTCCAGTACTCATTCCCCAGGTAACCACTGATCTGTCTTCTTTTACTGTAGACTAGTTTGTATTTTTTCAATGATGGAGTTATATTGTATGTACTTTTTTCTGTCGTTTCTATCCCTCAGTGTATTTTGAGATGCATCCATGTTGCATGTAGAAGTTATTAATTCTTTTAAATTATAAGTAGTATCCCATTACAGTTTAGTTTCAGTGATTTATGTCTTTCAAGCAATTTGTCACCTATATCATTGATTTATAGGTAGGACATTATTTAAAATGCTCTTTTTTTATCTTTTGAGTTAGCTGTAGAATCTGTGATGATGCCATCTCTTTCATTCTTGATATTGGTGATTTGTATCTGTGCTTACTTTTTCCGAATCATTCTGGCTAGAGGTTAATTAATTGTGTTATCTTCTTAAAGAACTTGACTGTTTTCCTACTTTACTTATTTCAGGTTCATCTTTATAATAATTTTCCTTTCTTGCTTACTTTGGGGTTAATTTTCTCTTTTTTCTTGTTCATTTGATTTTTCAGTACTGGGGGCTTTAACCTGTGGGTGCTAGATCTTTTGACCATTTTAATTTTGTTGGTTTCATTTTGTTTGAGACAGGGTGCCACTATGCATTTCAGGGTGGTCTTGAACTCTGAGAGCTTCACCTGCCTCTGCCATCTGAGTGGCATTCCAGGTGTGCACCACCATGCTTAGCTTTTAGTTTTTGATATTGGCCCTTGCTAAATTGCCCATGCTGGCCTCAAACTTGTAATCCTCCTGCCTCAGTCTCCCAAGTAGCTGGGATTACTAGTCCCAGAACCCAGCTTATTTTACTAGTTTCCTAAAATGGAAACTGAAGTCTCCAATTTGAGACTTTTCTAATTTAGGTATTTACTGCTACACATTTCCTCCTAAATTCTGTTTCAGTAGCATCCTACAAATTTTGATATTTTACATTTTCATTTAGTTCCTCCTTCCCTCTCACTTTCCTTCCTTTTCATTCATCCCTGCCTCTTTAACTGACTTCCTTTCTTCATTTCTTCATTTGTTTTTCGGTGCTGGAATTAAATCCAGAGCCTTCAATCTGGGCTACATCCCTACCCCTTTTCAAAATTATTTAAGGATAGAGTTTTGCTAAGTTAACTGAGCTGGGTTCAAACTTATGATCTTCCTGGTTTGACCTCCCAGAGTGCTTTCATACCTGCTTTATTCAGTTTATTTCTAAATGGCAGGTATTTAAACCAGTGTAGCCTTACTTAAAGAGAATAATATTTGTATTATTCCTGTATTACACGAAAGGGGAGAACTAAAGGACTATATGAAATTTAAGTTCTTTTATTTAAAGAGTATCTTTCTCTTCATGCATCTTTATTGTTTGTTAGATTATGAAAGTAATATTTTTACAAATGTCATACCTTTCAATGAGGTGCAATAGTGTATGCCTGTAGTTCTAGCACTCAGGAGGCTGAGGCAGAATCATAAGTTTCAAGCTGGTCTGGGCTACCTAGAAAATTCAAGACCATCCTGGGCTATATAGAGAGAACCTGGCTCAAAAAAGAAACAAACAAATCAAACATGTAAGTAAAAAGTGGATTTTTAATGGTTAGTTTTTGAAAGAAAACTTTTAGTTTAAAATATGAAATTTTTCTTCTTCAGAAATGAAGACTGATCTGAATTTATTATTGGAGTGTCTGAAGTACCAAATGGACAACGCTTTATCACAAAAGGAAGCTTTGGTCACTATTTATTCAATTTGCCAACAAAACAGTAAGACATCATAGTAAATTTTTACTCATGGGTCTAGTATTTTAGCTCTATGACAGGTTAATTATGCAGAACTCTCATTTACTCTGTTATATTTTTCTTCTTTTTTTTTTTCAGAATAGCCTACACACACATCACCCACACACAATTTCTATTTTGTTTCATCTCTCCACCCTACAGGTGATGCAAGTATTTATTTTCGGGAAATTGGTGGTTTGATGTTTATAAAGAATCTTGCAAAGTCAAGTGAGCACAGCATGGTAAAAGAAGCAGCCTTATTCACTTTAGGAGCTATTGCAGAAAAAAATGGTAAAATACAAATTTTGTTATCCTTCAAGTATATGTTATATTTTACTCAAAAATAAGATTTTTGTTGTTTTTTGAGACAGTTTTACTATGTAGCCCAGGCTGGTCTTGAACTTGCAGCAGTCTTCCTGACTCAGCCTCCTAAGGACTGGGATTATAGGTATATGCCATCACACCTGGCTAATTTTAGAATTTAATTTCTTTTTTATGTATTTGATACTTTATCCAGATACTTACATCGAAGGATAAAGATAATGCACGATCAACTTACATATTTTGGGTACAAAAATTCATGTTGACAAGAACACTTTTCTACAATATACCTGAAATGAGGGTGAATTTAAACCATCAGTTTGTCCAACTAACTTTATATCTTTATAATTTCCTTAATTAAATATGTCTTCATCAACTTTTGAGGATCAAATTCTGACTAAGAATTGAGGGTACAAGGAAAAATAATCTAGACCTTCCCTTTGATATAGGAAGTGGAGAAAATGCTCCTTATAATACTGTCTTCAAATTATTATTTTTATTTTTCAGTGCTGGGATTGAACCCAGGGCCTAAGATATGTAAAAATGTGCTCTTCCATTGAGCTATACTCCAAATTATTTTTGTAAAATGTTGCCTATGTATCACATACACCAAAAAACTCAACTGTTGTGTAGGTATTATTATTTTTATTTTAGAAAGAAATTTGTCTTTGTCTCTCTCTGTCAGTCTCTCATTTGTTTTAAGATCTCACTGTGATACCCAGGAAGACCTCAAACTTGTAGTCTTTCTGCCTCAGCCTGTCAGTTAGTATTACAGGCATGTGCCACGGTACCTGGCTGAAATGCATTTTATTGCTTTAAAAAAGTAAAAAATATCACAAGTATTCTTTGTTCCTGTGTTTCTCAAAGCAGGTCCCTGAATTTTATTTATTTATTTATTTATTTGTTGTGTTTTCTTGCTCATCCTTTTGAAATTTTTTGTCTGATTTTATTTTTCACTGGAAATTTTAGGCAATCTTAATACATACTTTGCAGCCTAGATAAGTACTTTTGATTAAAATACCGCTGCTTTGGTCTGCTACTTAAGCATGTATCAGTTCATTACAAATTTTGTTGTATTTCTGGTGTATGTCAGTTAAATGAAATCTGATGGAGACCTATCCTTAGTTTGGCAACAATGCATTTTATTCACCATATTTTAAAATGTTTGTGCTAATGCTTTGAAATTAAAATTACATTTTATATTTCAGTTTACTGTCAGCAAAGTTTGTGTACTTCAGAGTTATTTGAAGAATTAACTTTGCTCTTATCTAATGATGATTCAAACACAAATTTGAAAAGAATGTCTGTCTATGTTATTTTGGTTCTGGTTTCAAATAATCGTAAGTACATTTTCTTATGAATGTTTAAAGTAATTTTAAATAGTAAATTGGAATATTCATTATGAAACCTTTTTTTCTAGTCTTTGTATCAGTGTCTTTTTTTTCAAATCTCATTAACTTCTTAGAAATAGTAGTTTTAGAAGAGGAATTAATAGCATACATTTAATCATTTGATGTTTACTTCAAAAAATAGTGAAGTGATTTACTTTTGGGGTTTGGGGTAATTTTAGATTTGCAGAAAAATTGTCACTGTAGTGTAGAATGTTCCCATATACCTCCTACCCAGAATAAAGTTACTTTTAAAAATTTTATAGCAAGGCATGGTGGTGCATACCTATAATCCTAGCACTTGGGAGGCTGAGGCAGGAGGATCATTGCAAGTTCAAGACCAGCCTGGGCTACAAAGTGAGCTCAAGGCCAGGTTGAACTACATAGTGAGACCCTGTCTCAAAAAAGACAAAAAAAATTTATTGGTATGTTTTACATATACGTAATGATAACATTCATCATAGAGATTTTGTACTTTTACATGATATATCTTGCTTCTTCTTTCCCCATTCCCCTCCCCTCCTTTCAATTCCCCCTCCTGATTCATAAAAACTTGGTTTCCATTTTTTTGTGTTCTCTTTTTTTCCCTTGTCCCTTTCTTCCTTTACTCCTCCTCCGTCCCTTTTTCTCTTTCCCACTTGAATATTTTCTTCTCATTTCCCAGTTTTACACTTTCAGTTTTTCTCATTGCTAAATCTTGGAAACTTCCCAAATCTCCATCAAATGATGAATGGATATTATTTTTTAACATTACTTTAGTTAAGTTGCTAGGCATTTAATTGCTTCTAAATTTACTTCTGCTATTTTGGAAAAACTAGAAAATACTGTATTTATTTTTCCCCTTGAGAGCATATTTTGATATTGTAATAGAGAATCATGATGCAAAATAATTGTTTCATAATTTTTATAGGAAAGTGCAAGATTGTTTTCTGTAATAATCTTGATTACAAATTTTTATGTCCTATAATTGTGTTATGGTTTCTAATACTTTTACATGGTTTAAAAGATAATTATTTATTAAAATACTACTTAAACGTTGCTTTACATTTCTTCAACACTATTGCAAAGTCATATGTAATTTATTGCTTTTTTAAGGAACTGGACAAACACTTGTGAGAGAAACAGGTTGTATTACAGTTTTGTCACAGTTGTTCAGGTAAGCAAATATAAATACCTTCTTGTTAATTACTCATTATTTAAGATCTTAATACATTTATATTAACTTTTCTTTTTAACCTAATAGGACAGTTTTTTCAAACTATGAGTTCAATTTGTCAGATAAAACTGTTTTCCAGAGGTATCAGTTGTGGTCTTCAGTATGTAGTACTCTATGTGTCTCTGTCAACAACCCTCAAAATGGTAATTATCTCAAATATTTAAATACAAAAATAAAAACAAGTGAAAACTGGTACTTTCAAAATGTCAAATTTAACATGATATACTTTAATCTCCTTGCAGATGAGAATCAAATGTTTTGCTGTTCACTTTTTCCACATGCTAATGAGTGGCTAATAAATTGCATGAAACCTGAGATAATTCGCCCTATTTGCTCATTTATTGGACTTACTCTTGCAAATAACAGTAAGTACTTACACTCTAGGAGGTAATACTTGAAATGCATTTTAAAGATAAATGAAAAGTATTTAATGAACTAATTGAATTAATAAGTTAATTTTATTCTAATTTGCTCAATTGAGATGCAATTATACTTTTTTTTTCTTTTTTTAATTGGTACCAGGGATTGAATTCACAACTGCCTGCTTGCAAGGCAGGCTCTTATGCCGCTGAGCTAAATCTCCAGCCCCGCATTTATACTTTTGAAGATAGGAAAACCTTAAGAATGAGTATTATTGGGAGGATGTTGGAAGATAGTGAAAGCAACATAGCTTTTTAATTTTCCCACGTAGCCTCAAAAGTAGAGCAACTAGATAGCAAAAGTAAAAAGTCACAGAGTGTGTGCTGTAACCACAGAAATTAATTTAGAAATAAGTAAAAATAACTAAAAGTCCTCAAATAACTGATAAAGACCAAAATTAGCAATATCAATATAAGCTCTGACATCACCATAGATCTTAACAGATACTAAAAGGATAATGAAATAGAAATAATATACTACAAAATTTAGCACTTTACATGAATTGGACAAATGCTTTGCAGAATATGAATTACCAAAGTTCACTCAAAAGATGCTCAAGTTACATGTATTTGCATTAAGGAAATATACATTTTATCTCTTTTTTTTCAATTTTGTTTTAAAGAGGGTAAAATTAAACACAACAAAACAGAACACAAGAAAGCAATGTGAGAGATGTAGATTTCAAAGCAAGACAACCAGAGATCTTCACTATCATATTGTCTCTTGTTTTCTTCCAAATAGTTGTCCATATCTTCATATACAGTGAATTCATACAAAACAACATAGAATAAAACTGATCCAAACAGAATGATGAAAGCATTTTAGGTCTTCAATGTCAGACAATAAGGAAATCAACAATGCTGTCATAGTGTCTCTCATTCTCTTCAAAATAGGTGTCCATACTTTCACATATGTTGAAATTAAACAAAACAAAACAGACTAAAATCACTCTGAACAAAGAATAATAGTATTGCTGGATTTCACATCATGACATTGCAGAATCAGCACTGGGTACCTTAGTGTCTTTTTCTTCAAAGTAGTTGTGCATTTCATCATGCATTATATAATCAGTTCTCATAAACTGTTTATAAGTTCTACGCATGCATGAGTCTCTACATGTATATCTATCCTTCTCTGTATAACAGAACAAATTCCTAGAAAATAGAACAAATTCCTAGAAAAAATGAAATGAAAAAGTCATAAAACCGCAATACAAGGTGACCTACAATGGTTACTATGTCTCTTGTTATCTTCCGTAGAATTGTCTATATCATCAGGCATAGTATAATTGAATATAGTAATACATACCAATATTAATAAAAACAAAACATTGGAGACATTACAAGACTTCAAAAGCAGGTAAAAATCAAACCAGAGTGAGTATCGTAGTGAATCTTGTCATCTTCTGTGTAGTTGCCTATGCTCTCAGACTTGATACTATCAGTCATAACAGATTCAAATAAAATCAATCAATACAAAACAGCAATCTAACAATCTAACATTTAAAAAAGATCAGTCATAATAAGACAGTGTAAGTTATACAGGACTTCAGATTAAGTTAATAGGAAAGTAAGGATGATTACCGTAATATATTCTGCTATTTTTGGGTTAGTTGTCTATGCCCTCAAATCTAGTACAAGTACACAAACTGGAACAGAATATAATCTGTATATTCAGAGTGGTGAGAATAATGTGGATTTTAAATCCACTATTTTTATTATTTTTTATTATGTGGATTTTAAATACACTATTAACAATATCCTCTGCCTTCCTTTTTAGACAATTCCTCCCCTTTTCATTCCCACAGGGTATACTGCGCATTTTGGGTCCCACCAACTCCCTCTGTTTTTAGATTAGGGGGGCAACCTTCTATTTACCTAAGTGGTTCCGAACCTTCTCACTCCTGGGTTTGATCTCAAGTTGTATTCCTTTATCTACAAAAGCCTCAAGGTTTTACTTCGTTATAGCTGAGTAGTTCTATATTGCACAAAAGTATCATGTCTTTTCCACCCTATCTGCAGGTGCTGGTTGAGTTGCCTCTATTTCTCCCTGGTTTCCTGTAACAGCATTGTCTTCTCATATTTGACTTTCAGTCCGTAAACCCTCTTTCAGGTTAATTGTATTTCCTATACAGAGCATCTCAATGGACCCCATCTCCTGGTCTACTCTGCCTGTGTTTCTTTTTTGTTAGTGTATCAGGGCCATCTGTGTTAGAGATTATAGCCAACCTTCTTTGCCTCATTTTTGCTATGCTATTTTTCTGCCATTGGTTGTCTACTTTTCTCCTTCATTCCACTGTTGCCCTGTTCATTGAAGCCTCTCTGCCACTGTTCCTGAAATCCTGGTATTTTTTTTCTCTCTCTCTAGAATGTTCTTCAGTCTTTTTTGTAGGGTTGGATTGGTGGTCATGAACTCTCCCAGTTCCTCTTTGTCATGGAGGCATCTTGTTTCTTCATTAATTTTGAGAGACAGTTTTGCAGGCTACATCAGTCTGGGCTGTTTCTTTCAAGGCTTGGAATACTTCACTCCAAGCTCTTCTTGATTTGATGGTTTGTGTCGAGAAGTCTGTCGTGATTTTGATGGGTTTTCCTTTATAGGTGATCTGTTTCTTTTCTCTGACAGCTTTTAATATTCTGTTCTTATGTTGAATTTCTGGGATCTTGATTATTGTATGTCTGAGTGTAGCTCTGTTTTGGTTGTAGGTGGCTGGAATTCTGTATGCCTCATTTATCTGAATATCATTTCTTTTTCCTATGCTTGGGAACTTTTCCTTAATTATTTCTGTGAATAGCCTTTGTATTTCATTTGTGTTTATGCTTCTTCACGCACATTTTTTATTCTTAAGTTATAGATCCTCTTGTCATCTTCTAGCCTTTGTATTGTTGCTGCCTGTTTCCTTTTTTTTTTTTTGGTAAGAGAACTTTCCTTTCATGATCATACGTTGCAAACCTATCTTCAAGTTTTGTTAATCTATCTCTAGTTTCTGTCAGGCAATTTTTCCAGCTTTCGATGGAGTTTTTAATTTCCTGGTAATCTCTTAGAATCTGTTTTATGTATTATAGATTTTCTTTATATTCACTGAATGTTTCTCTTCTTGTTTTGTGTTCCTCCATTCTTCCATCTGTGTCTTCTTGAGAGGTTCTTAGCATTTCTTTTACTAATCTTCTTATATCTTGCTTTACTTGAATTAATATTTGTTTTGAGCTCGTCTGTGATGTCACAAAGATATCTCTTTATGTCAGCTGATGCCATGTCTGACATTGCATGTTTGCTGCCCTCAATCTCTTCTGTATTTACCTCTCCTGGATCAACATTCACTGAGTTGGGGGCTGGGAGCTTTTTCTTATTTCTTTCTCTTGTTGTTTCCATACAGGTGTATAGTGGAGGTCCTAGCCCCTTTTCTTGTTGGCTATGGTTCTTTAGAAGCACGCTCGCTAGGGAGTTTGCTATTGGTCATTGAGGTGCAAGCAGGGGCACTGTATGCTGTCCCCTCCCCTCTGAGCCAGTCCACCAGTGGGGGCCTTCACCACTTTAGTGTGTGCTGTGTACAGAACCAGTTCTGGACATGTTCAGGGACAATTTTGGGTCCCGGCTAGGGGTATGACCCAGTCCAAGCAGATCCCACCAGTCTGCTCTGGGCAAGGAGCAACCAACTGAAGTCACTGCTGTTCCTTGTTTGTGCCTGTCCTGCCCAATTCCAGTATGTCGTCCAGTTGGTCACCCCTTTTCCGTGGGAGGGTCATTCTGAGCACTCACAGCGGGTTAGTGCAGGTTTCCACACTGGCTCTGTTCTCTGTTGGGCTCACCGACCCCCCAACTTCAGCGCAACTGGGGCTCCATTGGCCATCGCACCACGATCTCGAGTCTGGGCAGCTGTAGCAAGAGTGTTGTGGCCATGAATCTGGGCAGCTCTGATGGTTTCTCTACAACCAAGAGTTTGACTGGTTCCTTTCCCTTTAGTTTCTTCCTGGATCAAGAGGATCCATTTTCCTCCGTCTGGTCTTCTCCAGTATGTTTTATTCAGGCATCTGAACTATTTCTCTCAGGGAAGCTCTGTATTTTACTGCTTACTGATCTGCCATCTTTAACCCTCACTTCATTTTTATACATTGTGTCTCAATACACAGGGAATTCTAGGCCCTATTGATTTTTACTGGTGAATTCTACAAAAAAGTCTTAGAAAAAAAATAAATAGTTATATGTAAATTGTTTGTAGAAATAAAAATGGAAGAAACACTTCCCATCACATTCTATAGTGCATTATGTGCTATACCTAAACCAGATCCCAAAAAAAGACATTGTAAGAAGACTACAAGCAATTATCCCTTATGGACATAGAAATAAAAATTCTTAATGAGTATTAACCTTGGTTATGTAGGAAGTTCAAAACCAGTGTGGGCTACATGTGAGACCTTGTCTCAACAACAAAAACAACAAAAAAAGTGCTTAGTGAAATATTAACAAATTGAGTCTAACAATACAGAGAAAGGATAATACATTATGACCAAGTAGCATCTATCCTAGGAGTACAAGATTAAAAATTAAATTAGAAATTAAAATGAGAAAAGTCACCACCTTCACAAACTAAAAAAAAAAAAAAAAAAAAAAAGAACTATATATTATCTCAATAAATGCAGGAAAAGTGTTTAAAAATTCAAAATACACTTATGATAAGAACTCCTGTCAACTTAGAAGGGAACTTCCCTAACATGATGAAGGGCCTCTATACAATACTACAGTTTATATAATTGATGATGAAAGACCTAGTCCTTTTACATAAGACTGGGAAAAATGGAATGCTACTCTCACTACTTTAACATTTTACTGGGTGTCCAGTATAAAACAAGAAAATGAAGTTAAGTTGAACAGAAAGAAGAAATAATTATTTTTTCATAAGTGACATGATTGCCTAGGTAGAAAATCTAAAACTATTAGAACTAGTAGTTTCATAAGGTTATAGCAGTTTATACAAAGTCAGTTACTTCTGAATACTGCAACAAATAATTAGAAATATAAATAATCTTTTACAATAAAAACAAAAAGGTAAATACTTAGGGATAGAAGTATTTAATGAAGTATTTGCAATTCCTGTGTTGTATTTTTTCTGTGTTCTCCAAAGGTTCACTGAAGTCTTCAGTATGTGGCACTATTTGAAAGTAATACAACTTTTAAGGGATGGGTCTAGTGGAAGGAAGTTACATCTTTGGTGGTCTGCCTTTGAAGTGGATATTGGGACCCATGCCCCTTCTTTTCTCTCTGTGTGCCTCCCAGTTGTCAGTTTCCTCTGCCATACGTTTGCATCATGATTACACTGCTTTGCTGCAGTAGTGGAGCCACCTGATCATGGAGCTAACTGATCATGATCTGAGATTTCTGAAACTGAGCCAAAACATCAACCTTGCCTCCATGAGTTTTTATCTTAGGTATTTTGTTACAGTGAATGATGCAACTGTGTGTTCTGAAAACCGCAAAATATTACTGAAATAAAGAATATCAGGCTAGGGATAACTCAGCAAGCGTGAGGTTATAAATTTGATTCCTGCTACCAAAAAAAAAAAATCAAAAGGAAGCCAGATGTGGTGGCATATACTAGTAATCCCAGCACACAGGAGGTTGAAGTGGGAAGATAGCTGTGAGTTCAAGGCTAGCCTAGGCTACAACATGAGTTCAAGGTCAGTCTGAACTGCATAGTGAAATTGTCTCAAAAATAATAAATAAGTAAAGAGAGATATATAATGCTCATGAATTTTTGAGACTCAGCATTGTAAGAATGACACTTCTCAAATTGATCTCTAGCTTTCTGGCATTTTGCAATCAGAATCCCAGCAGGCTTTTCTGGTGTGGTGATTCTAAAAGTTACATGGAAATGCAATGAACATAAAATAATAAACTGTTTTTGAAAAAAGACAAAATGGTAGAACTTTTTTTTTTTTTTTTGTCTTTTTCCTTTTTATCGGTACCAGGGATTGAACTCACGACTGCCTGCTTGCAAGGCAGGTGCTTATGCCACTGAGCTAAATCCCCAGCCCCTAAAATGGTAGAACTTCTATTACCCGATTTCAGTAATAATCTATAATCAGAAAATTTTGGTGTAGATATAAACATTTAGATCAACGAAATAATGTAGCCCAGAAATAGGCTCATAAATACAATATATGGTTACTGATTTTTTACAAGAGTGTTGTATTAAGGTCAATTTAAAGAAGGAAAGATTTATTTTGGCTCACAGTTTCAGAGGCTTCTGTCCAGGTCACTTGGTCCCGTTGTTTCTAGGCTTGTGATAAGGTACTACGTCACGGCAGGGACCATGAAGTAGAGCACAGCTGCCCATCTCGTGATATCTGGGAGGCAGAAAGAGGGAACTTCTTTTATAATCAGTCCTTCCCCTAAAACCCAATGAGCTATGAATCTGTGAATAGATTCATCCTTCCAAAGGCCTGGCACCTGAAAACTTCTACACTGAGGACCAACCTTTCCATACATGAACTTTTGAGGTGCATTTAAGATCCAAACCATTGGGCCGGGATTTAGCTCAGCAGCTCAAGCACTTGCCTTGTAAGCTTCAGGCCATGAGTCGGTTTCCTAGTACCAAAAAAAAAAAAAAAAAAATCCGAACCATTACAGGTGTCATGGGAATTCTGTGGGGGGAAAGATAGTATTTTCAACTAATAGGTTAGAAAAAAAATAATATATGCGAAATATGAATTTCAACCCTTATGTCACATAATATGAAAAATATTATTTAAAATGACTTAGAGGCTTAAATATAAGAATAAAAAATATAAAACCAGATAAAAAACATAGAAAATCCTCACAACTTGGTATTGATAAATATTTCTTCAACACAAAAAGCATGATAAATGTAACTTCTCTGAAATTAAGATCTTTTGATCTTTAAAAGATACTATTAAAATGAGTCAAGCCATAGACTGGGAGGAAATATTTGAGAAATGTATATCTGATTAATAACTTGAACACAGAATATGTAAAGAGCTCTTGAAAACAACTATCAGATAAAAACAGCCTAATGATTAAAATGTGGGCCGCAGGCTCAGGGTGTAGCTCAATAGCAAAGCCCTTTAGCTAACAGTTTAAAAATGTGCAGTGGGCTGAGGGTATGGCTCAGTGAGCGAGCCTTTGCCTCACATATACAGGGGTATGGGTTTGATCCTCAGCACAACAAAATAAAAGTAGGCAAAATACTTGAACAGATACTGTGCAAAGAAAATGTGAATATAAATAAACACTTGAAAAATGCTTAAAAGCATTGTCATCAGAAAAATTCAAGCTAAAATGCTTCTGAGACACTACAACCCACCTACTAGCATAAGTAAAAGTAAAAAAGACTGATAATGTTAAATGAGGCAAAGATATGTACCAATTGGAACTTTGGTACATTGCTGATTTATATCTGTATTCAGGTATTTAAAACAAATACTCAGGTTTTACATGCAGAATATTATATCTCTGAAATTCTAATAATTGGGATCTATTTGCATAATATCTTGACATTTCCTGTTTTTCTAAATGACAACTCAGTTGAGGAATAATCACAGGATTTCATTATTCTCAGCAAGCTGGTATAAAATACAAATTAGAAGAAATCTGAAATCTTTAATATACCAATATGAACTAGAATATTTTGCTTATAAGCCTGAAATTTTGTTGCTTAGGCTGTAACCAAGGATCTTTATAATCCAGGGCGATTGTCACCTAAGCACTTAAAAACACATACTTTTTGTGGGGCTAAGAGTATAGCACAGTGATAGAGCTCTTCTGTACCATACGTAAGACTGAGTTTGAGCCCATACTCTCCAAAACAAACTCCTTCTTTATTTTTATCTTATTTATGTATATATTTATTTGTTTGGGGATGGGTACTGGAAATTGAACTCAGGATCTTGCACTTGCCAAACTCCTTTATTTTTATTTTATTTATATATTTATTTGTTTGGGGATGGGTACTAGAAATTGAACTCAGGATCTTGCACTTGCCATAAAATACATTTTAGTAAAGAAGCTGTTTTGGAGTCTCTGTAATATTGGAAATGTTTGCTTATCCTTAAATAATGTTTCCTTACAGTTTTTCAGGTGTATAAAATTTGTGATGTGATATTTGTAGATTATTAATATCTTTGTTTTGTTGAGCAATATGCAAATTAATTCTTGCCTTTTTGTGTATGATCTTGGGGATTAATCTGGGAGTTCTCTAATATGAACTATTTCCCCAGACTTTATTTTAGCCTCTTGCTAAATTTCCCAGGCTGCCATTGAATTTTTCAGTTCCCTTGCCTTTGCTTTCCTAGTAGCTGAGATTATAGATGTGTGGCTCTGTGCCTGGATGATTTTTGCTTTTAAATCATCTTGGCTTTAATTTGTAGAACTAGGCTAACCTGGAAAAACAGATTTGTGGCAGAATTATAACTAGACCACATATTTATTTTATATAATCTGATTTCTATGATAAGGGCTATGAAGACTATTAACTATAGACCTGTGGAATATTTCCCCATCAGAATCATTTCAACAAGGAACAAAGGCTTTAGACTTGAAAAACATGTGTCTGTCACTGGACCTGTGCTTAAAATATTGCTCAGTAATAATCTTCTTAAAGTAGAAAGAATTACATGTAAATAGAACAGTGAGATATGTGGTTTTAAAACAGTTAATAATTTGCCCTTTTGTAGATTTTAGCAATCCACGGAATAAGTTATGCTGGAATTCAGAAAATCAACAGTTTGTTAATTTCAGTGCCAAGCAGCCAACCATGGTGGCACATAGCTGTAATTCTGCACTCAGGAGGCTGAGATAGGAATGTAGTGACAAGTTCAAAGCCAGCCTGGGGGACATGCTGAGTTTAAGGCCAGCCTGAACTGTATAGTGAGACCTTGTCTGAAAAAAGCAACAACAAAAAATTAATACTAACCTACATGAATGAATCTATTCTTTAAAACTATATTAATGCACAGATAAAGATTAGATTTTTTAATTCTTTAATTTTGGGACTTTTAGTAAGTATTTGAAAAGTCTAGTTAATGGTATATTTGGTGCACATTAATTGAATGAAATCATATGCTGGCCTTGTTTGACACTAATAGTTCTGCTATTTTATTCCCTAAGCTTATGTTCAGAAATACTTTATATCTGTGGGTGGACTGGATATATTGTCTCAAGTTCTTGTACAGCTGGAATCTGATTCACACAAGACTCCTTCCAGTGCTAAGCTTGCAGTGATGGTTACAAAGACAATGGATGCATGTATTGCTGATAATCGTGAGTGAAAAATTCTTGTTAGTTTTTTAAAACTGAATTTTGTTTGCGTTCAGCATGGTGAGTGTTGAAAAGATAGATTAAACACTACGATAAATTAGACTTTAAGCTTCTCATCAAGTGGAAAGGAACTTTAGAAATTTCTTTCCCCACATCATGGAAGTTATAATTTTCCTATGAGTTCATATCTAGGCCTTCTGACTCCAAGTCTAACTTGATAATCTGTAAATCTTTATAATACAAGACTCTATTGGCAATCACAAATAACTGAAAAAGTAGTTTAAAAAAAGTAGTGATGGAGTGCCTGTTATGTGCTTAGCTCCAGAGAGAAAATTTATCAAGGCAAAATCCTTTAAGGAATCCACAAACCTATTCTTGGCACCAATATTGTTAGACTCTGGGTGAACTCTAGTAAAAGTCCTATGAGGCGAAGATGGCTTAAAATAATGGAATTCTTAAATTGGGCGTGGTGGCTCAGGCCTATAATCCCAGCACTCCAGTGGCTGAGGTGGGAGGATCTTTGCGAGTTTGAGACCAGCCTGGGCTACTAAGTGAGCTCAAGGCCAGCCTGAATTACATAGGGAGACCCCAGTTAATTATGTTTGATTGTATCTTTAACATTAGCACAAGTTGAACATGATGGCTCATGCCTATAATCTTAGCACTTGGGTGTCCTGAGACAGAAGGATTACCTCGAGTTCAGGCCAGCCTGACAAGACCCTGTCTCAAAAAAAAAAAAACCAACATCAGCAGAACCATGATCAGTTAAGAGACTATTTTAATATTAGGCAGGATTTGATTATGTAGATAGGTCTTTGCTATTAGTATCCAATGTGGATAAGAAGAGATGTGTAAGATAAAAGTGAATATACTCAGCTTTTAAGAAGATGGTATTACTTTGCATTTACATCATTGTACAGAACCAAAAACTTGCTTTGGGGCCAGAGATTTAGTTGAGCAGACCCAGCACTTGCCTAGTAAGTGCAAAGATGTGAGTTTGATTACTGGTACCAAAAAAAAAAAATCGCTTTGGGGGGATTATTATAGTAAGCCATCTTATTACAATGAGTTTATATTAACACATATGTGCTCATATATATTAGATATTATATATGTGTATTAGATATTATATATTTAATACTCTTTCTGGATAAGGGCTGAAAAACATATGTATATTTATAAGTTTTAAATTGTACTTACTATTTTTTCTGTTTTATACTAATAGCTACTTTTGGAGTGGTATTGTCCAAGTACTGCATTGTTTCAAAACTTCTGGCGTTACTGCCTCATGAAAGTCTGGATTCAACAGAAAAATTTAGCATCATTCTTGCTCTTGGTCATTGCACAGAGGATTGTGGTTAAGTATGGGTTTATGTAGTGTGCTTATTAAAACAGTAGTAAAATATATGTTTGGTTTTTTTCCCTGTGGTTATATGAAAGTATGACTTAGTCATTAAAGTATTTCTTTCTCCCAGGCATTTAGGACCCAACGAGTTATTTTAATTCTGCATCCTCCTTCATTCATTGTATTCAGTTGGTCGTTAAGAATTATGGTTCTACTCCTTTTGTCCTTTTTTATCACTTTCTATCCATTGCCTGTGTTACCCTCTTAATTTAGGCACTCAACTCTGGGCACTTTCACCAAGATTACTGTAATAGCTACCTCCCTATGCTCTGTGCTTGTTTCCTCATCCTCCTACTCCTTTTTTTTGCTTTTTGGTTTTTTGAGACAGAGTCTCACTCTGTAGTACAGGCTGCCCTTTAACTCACTATGTAGCCCAGGCTGGTCTTGTGCTCAGCAGCAGTCCTCCTGCCTCAGTGTCTCAAGTGGTGTGATTATAGGCATGTACCACCACATATGATTGTTGTACCTTTTTTCAAACCAAGTAAGGGCAGTTTGTTCACTTTTTTTTTTTTTTGTACTGGGAATTGAACTCAAGACCTCATGCTTGCCAGGCAGGCACTGTGCTGCTGACCTATCTCCCTAGCCCTAGTTTGGTTATTCTTAGTGACGCATGGTTAAGAGTAATCTGTGGGGCTGGGGATTTAGCTCAGTGGCATAAGCACCTGCCTTGCAAGCATGCGGTTGTGAGTTTGATCCCCGGTACCAATAAAAAAAAAAAAAAAGAGTAATTTGGCTACATCTCAGAAATTATTACTTATTTCTCTATTTTTAAAAAATTAAAACTATGTGATTATCCCGAAGATTATTGCCTCATAGTTTACAATGAAATAGTTGTCTTCTATTTTAACTTTACATATATTTTCCAGAGGAAAATCAGTATGACCTTTTTAAAAACAATGGTCTTCCACTCATGATACAAGCTTTAACTGAATCTCAGAATGAGGAACTAAACAAAGCTGCCACTTTTGTGCTTCACAACTGCAAAAAAATTAGTAAGTTTACTTTTATATAAGAAAATGGCAACTATAGTTTATAAAAAGAATTTATATCTGTTCCAATAAGCCAGGTCCTGTTAGCCTCCAGGTTCTTCTTATACTTGAAAAACAGAGTATATAATTTAGATATAAAATCTGGGGTACTTTCAGCATGTACAAATAGCAACAGTAGAGAGAATTCACTTATTTTGTGCCATGTGGCCAGATTTAGTTTTTAGGATATAAGAATTGAGAGTAATTTATTACTAAATCATAATATATAAGACATTCACATATTTATTTAAAATATGCTAAAATGTTATGTGGTAGGCAGTGTGCTGGGCATTGGGAATACAGTTATAAAAACATGTACTCAGCTTAGTTTAACTACATAAATATACACCAATATAAAATTTTTAGAATGAGGTTATATATTACTATAAATTGACTTGAGGGAAGCCAGGATGCTAGGGCACACATGTAATCCCAGCACATGGAGGCTGAGTCAGAAGAATCAAAAAAGTTCACGTATAGGGGGCTGGGGATTTAGCTCAGTGGCATAAGCACCTGCCTTGCAAGCAGGCAGTCATGAGTTGGATCCCCGGTACCGATAAAAAAGAAAAAGACAAAAAAAAAAAAAAAAAAAAAAAAAAAAAAGTTCACGTACATCCAGAGCTACATAGCAGATTCAAGGCTTACTTGGACCAGAGTGAGAGCCTATCTCAAAAAGTCAGAACATTTGAATCTTTGGATGAGGAAAAAAAAAAATCAGAACAAACAACAACAAAAAGACACAGGGTTATGAAGAGATGGGCTACGGTGATTGAGAGTTTATAACAAAGGAATCAGACCTAGACTTAGAAATGTCTTTGGAAGAAAGTAAAAAGGCAAAAGAAGGCTATTTATTATGGGTGAGTGATGAGCCTGAGCAGCAGTGAGGAGCAAAGGCTGGTGACAGGAAGGAGCTGGGTGCATTCAGGGAATTGATGACTAATGTGGCAGAAGCACAGAGGGTGTAGCCATTATGAAGATTGTTTTTGTGGAATACAAATTTGGGCAATATATTTTTTAAAACATTTAAAAGATACAGGAAAGAACCACTTCATGAATACTGTTTTTAAAAATAATTACTTTGTAGCTGAAGATGTTACTGAGTGATAGAGCACATGCTTACCATGTGTGAGTGCCTGGCTTCAATCTCTTGCATTAAAAACAACAAAATACCCTACGTTAAACCAATATCCATATTCCTAAAGGTATTTGTGTGTCCAGAGTAACATTTTCATGTTGTTCTTTTTTCTTGTAATTCTGAAAAGTCTTAATTTATGACTTTTGAGTCCCTGGCCTCTCATTCCTTTGTATTTAGTATACTTAACCTAGATGAATGAAATTTAGACAAGAGGTGAGGTGGGGCAGAGATTGTCCTTAAAATGTTACATTTCTAGTAATGTAAAAACCCATCCTTTTCCCTTCATATTATAAAGCCGAGAAACTGTCTCTAAGTCTAGGAGAGTACTCTTTTGATGAAAATGAAGCAGAACAATTAAAGGATATAAATTTAGCAGAAAAGAATCTTAAAGAGCACCGGAAGACTGCAAAGGAAATCCTGCACAGAATAGACCTGCTTGAAAGAGAAGAAAATAAGGTTGGCTTCTTTGTTTCAAAGAATATAGAACTTTTTTCAGATACTGTTAACATTAGAGGTTAGGGTATAAAATATTTTCTTCTTCCCAAGTTATTTTTTAAAAATGTTTTTAAATGTAAATTTTAGTAGTAATACATGAGAAAACATCTTGGACATAGACAAAAAATATTTGTAAAGCAAAAATTATGAATGAAATGATGTGAAATATAAGAGCTATGAGATCTAGCACTCCCCCTGTCAACCCAACCTCAGATATACACACCCAATAAATACTTGCAGGCATAATCATATGTCACTTGACAGATACATCCTAAGAAATGCATCCACACAACAGCTTCATCATTGTGAGAACAGCAGAATGTCAGTACACCTATACAGTTACTTGATTTGGCCTCTTGATGCAATCAAGACACACAGTAGAGCCAGTTGTGGTGGCGCACACCTATAATTCCAGCACTGGGAGGCTGAGGCAAGAGCACTGCAAGTTAGAGCTCAGCCTGAGTAACCTAGTGAGACCCTGTGAGAATAAAAAATTTAAAAGGGCTGTGGTTGTAGTCAGTGCAAAGGCTCTACATTCAGTGGCCACCCTGAAGAAGAAAAAGGGATGCAGTAAAAAGATGTGTGAGGATGCTGCTGATCTAAAACACCACACTGTTTTATAGTGAATTTGGTTTTTTTAATGAATAGAATATATTCTAAAATTGTCAGAATATGTAAACCAGTGACACAGTCATTTGTTATTATCAAGTACTACATATTACACATAATTGTACCTGCTGTACTTTTTATCTAGCAATACAGTTGGTTCGTTTATGGTGGCATCACTACAAAAACATGAGTAATACATTGCGTTATGATGGGTACAGTGTTACTAGGTAATAGCAATATTTCAACTCATTTATGGAACCACTGTCATATGTAGTCTGTTGTTGACTGAAACATCATTGTGTGGCTCATAACTCTGTGTGTGTGTGTGTGTGTGTGTGTGTGTGTGTGTGTATCTCCATGTGGAGCAGTGGTTACCAGAGGCTGGGGCTAATGGTTGCACAAGGTTGTGAGTGTCCTTAAAGCTACAAAATTGCATATTTAAAAATAGTTAAAATTTTCATGTTATATATATTTTACATCATTGATACTGGTTCAACATATAGTCAATATTGCATTCAACATAACAATTGAACACTGGATTAAAAACTAAGTATTAACCAGTATTTTAGATGTGCTATAAACCAGTACTTTTTATTGATGGATATTTAGGTTATATTTAATATTTAGGTAAGTAGGCTAACCTATTTAGCCTATTTAATATATTTAATACTAGTATAAGCAACTCTAAATTCTTGCTATATGTATATATACTTATGAATATATATGTGAATATATACATTTTGGTAGTGGCTTTATTGAAATATAATTCATATTCCATACCACTTAAAATATATGACTCACTGGTTTTAGTATGCTTAGAAAATTATGCAGCTATCACTGCAATGAGTTTTAGAAATATTCACCACCCCAAGAAACTGCCCTTTTAGCAGTCATCTTCTGTATGCCCCTGGCAATCATTGATCTGTTTCCTGTCTATAAGATTACCTGCTCAGAATTTTTCATAAAAATGGAATCATGTAATATGTGGTCTTTTGTGAGTGACTTTTTCCAGTGTTTTCAAGGTTTGCTGAATTGTATATATTACTACTTCATTCTTTTTTTAAACTAGCACCATTGAGATGTAATTCATATATCATATAATTCACCCACTAGTGGTGTACAATTAAGTGTGTTTAGCAAACTATTTTATGATTCATTTAAATTCTGATATATACATCTATATATATATAAAACATAAAATTTTCCATTTTAACTATTTTTAAATATGCAACTCCATGGCACTAAGAACATTCACAGTATCATGCAACCATTTAACCCTACTCCCTGGCAACCACTAGTCTACTTTTGTTTCTAAATATTTGGAAACAAATATGGAAACAAAATGGAATCAGAACGTACGTAGCGCTGCCAGGCACGTTGGTGCATTCCTGTAATTCCAATACTTTGAAAGGCTGAGGTGGGAGCATGACAAGTTCCAGCCCAGCCCAGGCCACTTAGTGAGAGCCTGTCAAATAAATAAATATATGCGTACATACATACAATTAATTTTTTTTTTTTTTGGTACTGGGTATTGAACTCACAACCTTGCACTTACCAGGCAAGTGCTTGAGTCACTGAGCTAAATTCCCAGCCCACAATTAATTTTTAAAAAGAAAAAAATTTTAAAAGATCTGAGGATGCAGCTCAGTGTGGAGACCTAGAGTTCAGTCCTCAAGGTTGGGGAAAAAACAGTAGCTTTTGGATTTGACTTTTTTTCACTTAGCATAATGTTTTCAATGTTCATCCATGTTGTAGCATGTATCAGAACTTCATTCCTTTTTAAAAAATGGTAAAAATATGTATAAACTTGATCATTTTAACCATGTTTGAATGTATAATCCAATGTTATTAGGGATACTTAAGTATGTGTAAGTCACCCGAACTTTTTGGTCATTCCAAACTGAAACTCTGCACTCACTAAACAGTAACTTCCTATTATCCCTTTCCTTTAATCCCTGTTAACTACTCTTCCACTTTCTGTCTCTACAAATTTGATATTTTAGGGCCTTCCTATAAGTAGTGGTGTAACTTGTCTCTTTGTGTATAGCTTATTTTATTTAGCATAATGTCTTCAAGTTTCATCCTTGTCATAGCAGGTGTGCACAGTTTTTCTGAACCAGCAATCTATCTCTGCCACTGCTAAGATGTTTAAATTCTGAAATTAACTCCTGGAGTTAGCAAAGAACCTCACAGGTTAGGTAGGGCTCAGTCTTACAAGACTGCCCTAACTTTAGTAGTACGTATCAGCAGCCATTTGTATTTCTGACTGATTATAAATTTGGGAGGTCCTCCCTCAACCTCCCTCCCAAGTGCTGGGATTACAGCCCTGCACTACCGTACCCACTTTCAGTCTTTGTTTCTTGTATAGCATTCTGACATCTTTGCTTGGAGTCCTGCAGGGCAGAGACTGTATCAAGGCTGGACTGGCGCCTCCAGCCTTGGGAAGGAAGTACAAGAGGGAGGTCCCTCTGATACCATTTAACTGACTGTTAAGTGAGTTTACATGGAGAATGAGATCTAGTAATCCAGCTGCTTATGAAAGACTTTATTCCAGTCTTGGTCTTACCTACAGCTTCACCCTACCTTCTAGAGCAGTGATGGTGAACTGTTAAAGACAAAGTGCCAAATTACTACCCAAACCCACTTACTTATCACAGTGTGCCAGCGCTGCTATTAAACCTGAACACTGAGGTTGTAGTTTAGAAGAAACAATTCTACATTAACATCTTTTGTCATAAACACACAATAAAAAGCATGCCATAGGTTTCCCAATGCTGTTTTAGAGTTTCTTTGTAACTCCAATTCTTAAACCTTTTGAAGATTTCACAGTGTATTTTAGATAGTTTCTTGTATTCTCCCACTGCCAGCTTTGGATCCACTTTGCCAAATCTAACTAGATTATCATTTACCTCTTTGATTTCCAGTTTTGAAATTTTTGTTGCCTGTATTTTGTCTTCCATTGTTTCTTGTTTTTATGGCTCATGTCCTTTTAAAAGTGTTGATTTAATGGGTTTTATTGAGAGAACCACAATCAGATATGTTTAATTTTTTTTGAGGTGGGGCCTCACTATATAGTTCAACCAGGCCTTTGAAGTCACTGTGTAGCCTAGGCCAGCCTCAAACTCATAATGATCCTATTGCCTCAGCCTCCTGAGTGCTTGGATTACAGGCATGTGCCACCACACCTGCTTGTTTAATTCATTTTTACCTAGAAACTCACCTTTTTATTTCTCAGAGTATTCTGATAGATGTATATACTGGCAGTCTTTCTGATAAATGTTATTTTCAACTTTTAGCCATTAAAGTATTAGTTGATAATGTTAATATCATACACATTTAAAAGTAATCTGTAGGTTTTTTTATAGATGTGCAGTTTTTTTATGAAAGCTACTGTCATATTGTTTCTTCATAGAGATGATACCAATATATACTCTTAACAGCAACATTCATGAATATCTGTTACCTTACTCCCTATTTCTGCCAGTGGGGTATCTGAGAAAGATATCTCTAGGTAGCTTTAATATTAATTTCTTTTATTACATGTATGATAGAGGATTTTTTTTTCACTTAAGAGCTATGTGTATTTCTGTTTTATGAACTGTTTTTTCATCTTGTTGCTCACTTTTCTGTGGTAAAACTTATCCGTAGCCTTATTATTTCATGGTGTTTTGATACCCATTGGTTTTGCTCTTCTCCTTTCTTCCCACTGAGTGAGTCTGTCGTGGTCTCCCAGAGAGATTTTGAAATTGTGTGTTTGTTGGTACATGTGTGCACATGCACTAAGGATTGGACCTAGAGTACTGCGCGTGCTAGGCAAGCTCTTGCTCTTTACTCTTTTTTTTTTTGGTCTTTTTTGAGACAGGGTCTTGCTATGCTTTTCAGACTGGCCTTGAGCATACTTTGTAGCCCAAGCTGGTCTCAAACTCCCAAAGATCCTTCTGCTTTATTTTGCCAAGGGCTGGGATTACAGGCACACTCCACAGCCTGGCTAAGAATTCTACTCTTGAACCACATCCCTTTATTATTTTTATTTTAAGACACAGTTGTGCTAAATTGCCCAGACTGGCCTTGAACTTATATTCTTCGCTCTCAGTCTCCTGAGTTGCTAGGATTACAGGCCCATGCCACCATACCCAGTTCAAAAAAAATGTTTACATGATTAAGTAGTTTTCTTTTATGATTTATTGATTTTAGGTAATATTTGGAAAAGTTTTCCATCTCTTGAGAATATTAAAATATGGTTCCTTTAGAATATATATTTTAAAAATTAAATATTTTGATCTTTTTTCTCATTCATCAACTTAATTTTGATCTTATTTTTATGTAATTATGAGATGCCTACAATATTTTCCCAGATGGCTTCCCACCTGTGCAAACACTATTTATTGAATAAACTCCTTTTTATTCCTAAAGTGTCCTCTTATTAAATGTATCTATCAATGATCATAAGCTTTTTGTATGGTTTTTTTTTTTTTTTTGTCTTTTTCTTTTTTATCGGTACCAGGGATCGAACTCACAACTGCCTGCTTGCAAGGCAGGCACTTATGCCACTGAGCTAAATCCCCAGCCTTTGTATGTTATTTAAAAGAAATATGCTGGGCATTGTAGTGCACGCCTGTAATCCTAGCACTCAGGCAGGAGAGTTGCCATTTGAGGCCAGCCTGGGCTACACAGTGAGTTGTAGGCCAGTTTGAAAATAGTAAGACTGTTTCAGTAAGATACACACAAAAAAATGTAATGTAGATTATAATGAAATGAATTATATTTAAATAATGTATCATTTTTAATTATAGGAAAATATACAAAGAGAAAAATACAAGAATATTTCATCCATGAAAATAAATGTTCAGGATACACTGAAACATCCTGCAGACAATATTGGAGGTACCGCAGCAGAAGAAGATAAAGTTAAAAGCCAGCCTAGACAACTCCGGAGCTCTAAGTCCCATGAAGTCATTTCTAAAGCTTGTGCAAATGATGACCAAGCCAAGACACTGTTAAAGAATACAAATCTAGTCAATGTGTGTCATGCTGACAGTGGACAAAATAAAACTTTGCATAAAGTCACTTCAAGTTGTGATCAAAACCTACATGAAGAAATGACTTTTAACAAAAAGAATTCTGTTTCTCAATCAAGGTGTAGTTTAATACTTGTACATTTATTTACTTATCAAGCACTGTATGCTACTGTATGTGACACTATTAACCACTGAAGATATAAAATGATAAAATTTGGTTTGAGGGGTAGTATAAAGTAGGAAATATTGGCAAAAGAATTTAGATGAGTATATATGGACAAGTTCATCAGGGACCTTGCATATCCTACTCAGGATTTTTGGTTTTAACTCACAGGATAAGGGGAGCCATTGAGTATTTTAAGTTAAAGGACATAATCAAATTTGAGTTTTAGAAAGAACACTCAAAAAAGAAAACCTAAGTGAAGCCCTTTGATCTTGATGGTAATTTTAACTTGATTTTTCAGGGAATTGTATAACAGAGGTATACTTTTGCTACAGCCTTCTTCCCCTGTGGTCTAAGCCTTCTATCCATTACTTCCTCTTCCGTTACAGTTGTTCATACTTCTACCTGTGACAGTTAGGCGTATTTGTCAATTTGATTGGCTTTGAAGCCACCTAGGGGATTAGTGAAGCATACTTTGAGTGTGTCTGTGTGAGTTATGGAAGTGACTTCGGAGTCTATGTCTGGTCCCTGGATCCTTCCCACTTTGGCACTGACCTCTGCTCTGTTTCCTGGCCATCATGAACTAAGCAGCTTCCCTCCTGCACACCCTTCTGTCAGGATACCTCTGCCTTGGAGCTAACTTGACTATTGATTGAATCCCCTGAAACTATGAGCAAAAGTAAACTTCACCTCTTTTAAAGTATGAAAGTTGAATATTTTGTCCCAGAAATAGAAAATCTGACTAATATACTACTTCAACTGTGTTTTTAGTATTATTTTTATCAACTGAGTTGTTGGTACTTACATTTTTAAATGCTTTTTCCTCTGATGGTAGTACCTTCTATAAATAAATATAAAAATGCCTTCTATAAACACAGCTATTGCTTTGTCTATTTTCCAGTGTACAGCTCTTCTTACTGTGTTATCTGTTACTGTGATAGTAATCAAAACTTACATTTATTGATTAAGGATTTATTCATCAGACACAAAAATATATTGGCAATCGTTTTATTTTTTGAAATGTCTTGCTGTGTTGCCTAGATTGGTCTTAAACTTATGGGCTCAGGCAGTTCTCCTGCCTCCTGCTTCCTGAGACTACAGGTCTTTATGCATTACCAGTTGGCCAGCTTAGGAAGGGTTCTTTTTCTTCCCATGGTACTAGATAATGAAGCCAAGGCCCTCACACTGAGCTATAGCCTCAACCCTTTTTATTTTTTATTTTGAGACAGGATCTTGCTAAGTTGCTAAATTGCCCAGGATGGGCTCAAACTTAAGATCTTTCTCTGCCTCAGCCTCCTAGAGAGCTGGGATTACAGATGTATCCCACACCTACTTCAAGATTTTTTAAATGTAGATCCTAAATGATTATCATTAATACTTTGCTTTCCTACCCCTGCATGCTTTTTTTTCTCCCACTGATTTTGTTTCCTTTTTTTCTTTCATTCCTTCTTCCTTCCTTCCTTTTTCTGTTTTGTTTTGTTTTTGGGGATTCAAACTCATGACTTTGTGATTATCAGGCAAGTGCTTGAGCTGCTGAGCTAAATCCCTGGCCTCTTTCTTTCGTCTTTTTATAATGCTTTTCTTCCATGTTTCTACCGGTATCATTACTATTGTTCCTGGAAAATTTATATAACTCCAATTCTAGGAACAAGGCTTTAACTGTTGCAGACCCTACTTTGGAAGAATTTCATAGATGTATTAGCTTTATGTCATTACAGTAAAGATATTTGAGGCAAAATATAGTAGAGGGAATGAGGTGCCATTGCTCTTGGGCCTCTGACAACAGCAGTATATCTTGATGTGAGCACACTACTTGCTTCATGGCCAAGAAACTAGAGGAAAATTGGCCAGGATCTCCTTCAAGGGCACATACCTAGTGACCTAAGGACCTCCTAGAAGATCCCACCTTCTAAAAGCTCACAGACTTTTCCCAAAAGTGCCAACTTGGGGACAAAACCTTTTATATGTGGACTTTTGAGGGATGGTCAACACATCCAAACTATTGCAGTGAATTTTGGGAGAACTTGCTTCCAAGTTCTCTTACCTACCAAGCACCAGAATCACACTGCTTATATAAACAGTTACGCATGCACAGACACACGGCTGTTTTATCTAATACTGAAGATTGAACCTAAGGCTTCACAAGCCACGCAAGTATGCTACCGCTGAGCTACTTGCAAAGTTTCCCAGGCTGTCTTCAAACTTTAGATCCTCCTACCTCAGCTTCTCAAGTAGGAGAAATTACAGGGCTATGCCACCACACCTAGTCCTAAACAGTTTATCTTTACTTTTAGTAATTTGCTGTCTTTTTTAATTGTGATGTTGTTTGTTTCATTTTTTAGTGACCATGCTTTTAAACGTCCAGCTCACATTGTCCAGAATAAAAAGGAGCAGTTACCAGAAATAGGTATAATTCAACATATTCTTTTTTTGTTCTTCAAGAAAACAGGTATTTAGGTGACCAATAAAGCTAAAAGTATACATTGATGTATCTACTCTCTACAGTGTAAGCTCTTTCTGTTGTAAATGGCTCTAGCACTTTTTACTGATGTTCAGAATCTTTGTGTTTTTCTACCAAGATGATCAGATGTGTAGTAATAAGCTAAAATGTATGAAAATATTGAAAGTTAATAAATTTTGTAAATGTTAAGACCATTCTCATTAATGAAAAATTTCACGTTTTCCAATTTTTTTCCAGATCCATTTACATTATGTTCGGACATAATCAATAAAGAAGTTGTCAGTTTTCAATCAACTAACAACTGTTCCAAAATGTTGAATTATAGATGCTCAGGTAAATATTTTTAAGTTGTAATTGTTTTGTAATCAAGGCTTTATATGTTTAGCTAGTATTTTTTTTCTTTTTGTTAGTACATAATTGCATACATCATGGGGAGTTAGTTCATGTATATAATAGGTCTTAATCCTTTTTACTAGAATTAACAGAAGTTCTACCTTTATCACTTAAACTTTATTCTTTTGGAGAAATGACAATCTGGAGCATGAAAGCATTAAAATTAATACCATCTACCTGCATTATATCAAACTCCCAACATTTGTTTACATAATATAGTTAATACCCATTTATCACTTTGTACTGCTGTTAAGTCACAATTAGTGCAATCTGTAGATTTAACTTCACTGAGCAAAATAAACATCTTTCATGTTTTTAGAGATCAAGTAAATAGATACGTATTTATGCTCCAAACAGGCATTAAGTATTAATATCTATTTTTATCTTTATAATAAATGTTTATAATGTTCCATGCCCTATAGTGTTCTACAGTACTTATTCCATCTCTTTTCTTCTTTTATACCCCAGTATTTCTTCTTTGTTAATGTTTACTGGGTTGGGTTTTTTCCTGGTTTTTTAAACTGGGCCTCACTATGTTGCCCAGTCTGGCCTTGAACTCTTCATGAAGCTAAGGCTGGACTGGATGGAACATTGGTACTGCTATCCCAACCTCCTGAGTGCTGGGTTTGCAGGAACCACACACACACACACATACACACACACACACACACACACACACACACACACACACACACATATTTAGCTTGCTCATGCTTACTGTTGCACTCTACTGAGAAAATTAAAGGAACTCCCTCCACATTTAGCTCAGACTATCACTGTTCTTAGCCAGATCTGGTGGCACATGCATATTCCTAGCACTCTGGGAGGCTGAGGCAGGAAGATCATAATTTCTGGCCCAGGGTGAGTAACTTAAAGCAATTTATTGAGATACTTGTTTTAAAATGAAAAGCAATTTTAAAAGGCTAGGCATGTAGCTCAGTTCAAAGACTCTGGAGTGAATCTCCAGTTCTGCCAAAAATAAATAAAAAATAAATAGAAATGAGTATCACTATTTTTCCATTTTTAATTTTTTATTTCATTATTACATGTATGCACTTTATGTAGTTTACAGTCATCTTGGGGAGTAATTACATGTGTTTACCACAGGTTTTTTTTTAAAATCTCCTTGCTTTCCCTTCCTATCCCCTATCCCATTTTTCATTCTTGTTGATATTACTAATCTGAGCACATGTTACGGCATATAATGTTTACATTAATTGAGGTTCCTATACATGGCCTATGTTTATTCTACTTATTTGCCCTTCTCTTACTCCTTACCCCTCATACTTTCCCCTTGGACCACATCCCTAGTGCAAGAGATCTATCTCCTTTTGCCCTTCTATCTATTCTTTAGTTTTTTTTGTTTGTACTTTACTCAAATGAGGGATACCATACAGTATTTAAGCGTCTGTGTCTGGTTTATTTCACTCAACATTATATTTTCCAGGTTCAACCATTTTCCTACCAAATGTGTCATTCTTTATAGCAGAGTGGTATTCCATTATATACAAATACCACATTTTGTTTATCCAGTCATCTGTTGATGGGTATACAGGCTGTCTCCAGGATTTATTTATTATGAGTTGTATTACTATAAACATTGTATCACATTGTATCATGTATCACTATAGTATAATGTCTTAAGCTCTTTAGCGAAGATATGTAGCAGGGAGATTCCTGGGCCATACAAAATTTCTAATTTCAATTCCTTGAGAAATCTTCATACAGATTTCCATAATGGTTGTTCTAGTTTACATTCCCACCAACAAAGAAAAAAGGTTCTTTTTTCACCACAACCTTGCCAGCATTTATTATTGTTTGATTTCTTAATGATTGCCATTTCTTTCTGGGGTAAGATGTTTTAGTTTGTATTTCTCTGATGGCCAGAGATGTTGATTTTTTTCATATATTTGTTGACCATTTGTATTTCTTCACTATGAAGTGTGTTTATTTCTTTCACCTGTTTCTTGCCTGAATCTTTAATTTATGTGGTTTAAGTTTCTTCTGCGTTTTTTGTATATTCTGTGTATTAGTCCTCTGTTTGAAGAGTAGCTGGCAAAAATTTTTCCCATTTTGGAAGTTGTCTCTTTACTGAGTCTTCTTTTCCTGTACAGAAGCTTTTAGTCTGGTATCCCCTGTGTTGGATATAATCTTCCTATTATTTTTTGGGCAATTGGAGTTTTGTTTAGAAAATCTTTTCCTATACTTATGCCATCAAGTGTTTTACTTATTTTATCCTCCAGTAGATACAGTGTTTCTATTTTAATGTTTAGATCATTGATCCATTTTAATTTTAATTTAGCATACGGTATGAGATGAAAGTTCGGTTTCATTCTTGTGCACATAGATAAGCAGTTTTCTAACCCTATTGGCTCTCTTTCCTCTAACATACATTTTTTGCTTTTTTTTTTTGTTACTGGGAATCAAACTCACAACCTCATGCTTGCCAGGCAGGCGCTTACGCCACTGAGCTAAATCCCCAGGCCTATTTTTGGCTCTTTTGTCAAAGATCAAATGACTGATATGTCTAAGTGGAGTTTATTTATCTTTAGTTCTGTTTGATTCATCCATGTATCTGTTCTTATTCCAATATCATGCCATTTTTATTGCTATTGCTTGTAGTATAGCTTGAAATCAGGTATCCCTGTGCCTTTTGTTGCCCAAAATTACTTCACTCTTCTGGGTCTCTTCTGGCTCCATGCTATTTAACCTTAAAGGTTTGTGAAGTGTGATGGCACATACCTTTCATCCCAGTATTCAGAGGCCCAAGGCAGGAGAATCACTGTGAGTTCCAGAGCAGCTAATGCTATGTAGTGAATGCAAGGCCAACCTGAACTATATAGTGAGACTATTTCAAATAAATAAATAAACCAACAAAATAAAAGTCAGTCATTACCAAATTGTTTTTCTTTCTAAAACCAATGATTTTTAAAAAATTCTTACTAGGTCTGGTAGTGCACACCTATAAGCCCAGCACTAAGGAACTCTAGACTGGGAGATTGTGATTTTGAGGGCAGCCTGCACTACATAGGCAGACAGTGAGTTTGAGCCAGCATGGAATACATAGAACAACCTCGTATGGGGGAAAAAAAAAACCTTAGCACTTTAGCATCTCTGTGTCTGTATTGTTGACTACCATTCCTTTGAACTCTTTCTTTCTTGAATCTAAAGCCACAATTTCCAAATAGATCACCCACACCTCAGAGCTCTGCAATGAATTCACAAGGGTACTAAATAGTATTTTAAGTTAAAGAAAATAAATACAACAGTAATGACCATCTTTCAGATAGCACATGAACTCAAGATAGTTCATCATTTCAACATTAGATTATAACACATTCCTCTGAATGCCATGTCTTTTTTTAATTTTTTTGGTACCAGGGATCGAACTCACAGCTTCACATTTATCAAGTAGGAGCTTATGCTGCTGAGCTAAATCCCTGGCTGTCTTTTTTAAATTTTTGATAGACAGGATCTTCTTATATTACCAAGGGTGCCCTTAAACTCCTGAGTCAAGTGATCCTCTGGTTCTTTAGTCTCCAGGGTAGGTAGGACTACAGCCATGTGCCACTGCACCTACCACAATGATGCTGTGTCTTTATAAAGCTGAATTTTTTAGTGATTGTTGCAATAAAAAGCAAGAACTATATACAAATCATTGTGAAACAGAAACGAGGTAGCAGCATCCACTTTCATTCCCAATTTAGAGAAATCATACTGTTTTCAATTCGTGTATAGTGTGTCTGACATTACCCAACTCTACTGATCTATTTTGACATTAAAAAAAAGATGAATGCCTCTTAATATGATGCAGTGAAAAGCACACAGTACTACTTGTGAGGCATTATAGCAGAAACACTTGAACATGAATCTGATCATTCATGCAGATTTAATTACCAGTTTACAGAGTACACACCTCAAGGACTGAGGAAGCAACCGAGTGGTAAAGTACATACTTAATGTATATGAATCTCTGAGTTTAATCACCAGTACTATACACAAGTAAAAAATAAAAACAAAAGAGATATCAACTACACAGGTAATGATGAACTTTGGGTCATGATTTAACCAACCAACTGTAAAAAGAAATTTTGAATTGATGGGGAAATTTGAACACTGAATATTAGATTACACTGATACCTTAATGCAAGCATTTCAGTGTATATATAGTATAGTCAAAATTTGATTAACTATATTATATTAGTTAATAATTAGTGGAGCTGGGAGATGGATATATGGTGGTTTGCATGTTCTGCCCTTTATTCTTATTGTTTACAATTTTCCATTTAAAAATGCTTAAAACCCTATATCTTGTACTCTGAGTAACTAATTTAAATAACAATAACAATACATAATGTATTAGCCATTGTTACTCTTTTATCTTGTTTTGAAATCGTTTTTTAATACAATTTTTAAAAATGCTTAAGCATTAAGATGTGTTATGATGTATACTAATGTGCTATGATTAATGTAAATATTATATACTGTAAATGTGTACTAATTAAAAAATGCTTAAATGATAAAAGATGATTGGCTTTTGTGTGTGTGTGATGCTTAGGGATTGAATCCAGGAACACTCTACCGCTGAGTTATATTCCCACCTTTTTTATTTTGAAACAAGGTCTTGCTTTGATCTTAAGATCCTCCTGCCTCTGTCTCCAGAATAGCTGAAATAACAGGTGTGCAACACTGCACCCAGTTTAGTTACTGTTTTTCTTTATACTATTGCTGTCTGTTCACACCTGTATTCCAGTGTTTGTATTACTATAATGTATTTGTTTTTTTCACTCTTTTGCATGACTTTGAATTTTGTGCAATTTTTATAGTTAAGTTCGTGACTTCAGTTACTATCATGTAGATATTTGTTTTCATAGATTTGTTAGTAGATAATTTATTTTGTAAAATCTATGCATTATTTTAATTTGTTTTCTTTTAGGTTGCATAACATTAGGAAAACCCCTGAATAGCCGAAATTTTACCAAGCTCTTACACTCTTGCCCATACCAGTGTGATCGTCACAAAGTCATTGTGGAAGCTGAAGACAGATATAAAAATGAACTAAGGAAGTCACTTATTTGTAGCAAAAGTAATTAATTCTGCACCTTTAAAACTATAATTATGTCTATAGATCAGTATTAAGTATATTAAAAAATAGTGGTTAAAATAATGTGGAAAGAAAACCTGTCTCTAAGCAACCATTTTAAAATGTACCTAGGAAGCAGATTCAGTCTATGGTGGTTTAAAATTCTTTCCATTTCACCTAAGGCTGCCTAGTTGTGGGGGGTGGGGAGTATTAGACTCATGTAATTGATACACTAATACTTATATTGTTAAATGTTTTCCATATTTTTCAGAAATTCTGCTGACCCCACGTAGAAGACAACTCACTAATAAATCTATCCATGGAGGAATAAGTGAATATACTTAATTTTTAAATAAATTTAAATTTCATACCCCTAAGAAAGAAGACAAGAGCTGAGTGGTTGTTCCCAGTCTCATTTTAATGGATCTTAAAAGAGAACCTATTGTTCTGATAAGGGTTTTCCCTGCTATGTGTAAAGGCACCGTGCCCTTCCCTTCTTCGTTGTGTTTGCTCATCTAGTGCCTACCAGCTAGGGAAGGAACAGGAGAAAACTAACATTAATAAGCACCTGCTACGTGTTAATTGTTTATAGATAGTATTTCCTTTCAGTCTTGTAATAGTAAATATCAGCACCTTAGTTTCAAGTGTGATGAGTCCTTCTCCAAAAGCCTTTGTTCTATCCTTTGGGTCACATTTCTATTTTAAGAATAGAATTATTCTCCTGTGTACAATTGCCTCAGAGAGACTTTGCAGAAGGCTTTTGTTCATAACTCTAGCATTTCACAAGTCAAACTTGATGAGACAAATAGTATAAATCTTAATAACATACCCTGCTTAAAATTCAGAATGCTGCTTTAAAAATTAATTTATGGAAATTTTAGTTTCACTGCAGGGTTAATTAATATTTCTGGTTTGTTTCCATTCCAAATTTATCAAAGAGATATATAGAACATTATTATTTTCTTCAATTCACATCTAGTTAATACCTGCAGGTTAAGATTAAACTGTTGAGTACATTATGTGTCCAAGTATCCCAGAGATTGGTAACATCAGTAGAACCTCTATATTATTTCTTACAGAGACATATGGACTTGGTACATCTAAGAAACATTTTGCCTTATGTAATACTTACTTGGCTATTTTCACTGCCAAAAACTTGAAAGAAATGTCCAATTTACTTTATATATCTGAATCTTTTTCGGGGTTAAAATTTCTACATGTAAATTAAATACAGCACCACTGTGGAGGAGTTCAGGTTTTGAAGTACTATTTCCTGTAGAAGCTACTAGAAATTTTCTTCCATAGAGACATGCTGCACTTTGAAATCTTGTTCTTGAGAAAGACTTGAAATCAAATGAGTATGAGATTTTTTTTCACCATGTCCTCAAAGCAAATATATAACTACTAAAAATATTCTATGTCCATTTACATATCAAAATTTAGAGCCCCATTAAATGGGCATAATTATGGTTAAAGAGCATAATTATGGTTATACATTGATTATGAGTGATCTTAATACTATTAATATTTAGCTTATGAATATCATACATCTAATTTATAGGTTAGAGTTACTTTGGCTACAACCAAATAGTTAATAATTTGACCTGCTTTTTTAGAATTTACAAAGGCATCCTGAAAAAATATAGTCAATGTATAAATTATCCCATTTCATGAAGCTCTGAAGATGATTTTACTATGTAAGTCAATATAGGATTTTTTAGTTGTGTATTTCCTTTCTTGGTCTTAAATATCTTCACAACACACCTCTATTATTTGGCATTTTGCTATTTTTTTCTCTTCATAAATTTCTGTTTTGTGGTTTTACCAGTATTCATTTATTACAGCCTACACTCAAAGTGAGTCCTGGACCACTGCAATGTCCAGGGCTCCTCCTCAGAGCTCTCTGTCAGGGTGGATTGGTAGCTTGAGAGGATTTTTTTGTTTTGTTGTTGTTTTGAGCATCTTAGTATGTGGTGCAGACTGACAGTGAACTCACTTGTGTAACCCAGGCTGCCTTTGAACTCCAGCGGTCCTCCTGCCTCCCAAGTGCTAATTAGGCATACACCACCATGCCTGGCCTTTTGAAAGGATTTGAAAGTAAGAATTTCTGGAATTAGCCGGGCGTGGTGGCTCACGCCTGTAATCCCAGCACTCGGGAGACTGAAGTGGGAGGATTGTTGCGAGTTCGAGACCAGCCTGGGCTACAAAGTGAGCTCAAGGCCAGCCTGAACTGCATAGCGAGACCCCGTCTCAAAAAAAGGACAAAAAATAAATAGAATTTCTGGAATTGAACCCTCCTGTCCATTTTTACTTGCTCTCCCTAATATATACGTTCAATATTCCGAGCAGTAAAGAAGCTAAGGCTTAGCATGCACAGCCATTTCCTTCTTCCAGCCTGCCCAGTACACTGGTGTAGAAGACTTTAAGGATTTGGGCACAGATACAAAATACAGGAATCATAGAGATGGCAGCTAGAATGGAAAAGAATGACTACATGAACAATTCCAGGCCCTTAATACCCCCCCACACACATTTTAGCCTATCTACTCCTGATTATACTGAATTCAAATCATTTAGCAAATGAGGCTAAAAACTATTTCTTGGATAACCTCAGTTTTCTAGTAACCTCAAAAATATCAAGTACTGATGAGTTTTGAGAGAATTTAATCAATAATACAGCAGCACATTGATTAATGAACTTAATTTTTCCTGTGATTCTGGGGAAGATGGCTGTAGTCATGTTCATCACTCAATGCAGGGTTCAGAGTTTGCAAACAGAAGCAAAATTTTGCTGAATGCTTCTTTTTGTGAACCAGATTGTTCACAAATGGAAGCTTTCATGCACTGGAGTATGTATTGCTGTAATTTTTTTCCTCTACAAATATTTAGTGATCACTTCCTTTGAGATACTAATCAAGGTACTGGGAATACAGCAATTAACAAATTAGACCCAAGTTCCTGCCCTCATAGAGCTGGCTTTTGAGTAATACTGTTAAGTAATGATATTTACATTATTTTCCCAGTTTTCTGTTGGTAAGATTTTCTTTTCTATTTTAGAAGGTCTAAACTGTGGCTCTTATATTAGACAGGTGAACAAATAATAGTTCTGGCTTTCAAGGGCAAGATTTTCTGAGAGTGACCAAGGACAACTGTATCCAGTCCTAAAGTAAATAGAACCCTGAAGTGAAAATACAAATTACTACTCCAGCATCTATCTGCAGTGATTTTATGAGTCAACAAGTGAAAAAAAATAAACCTACAGTTTTTCCTAGTAATTATCATCATAAATATTTGCTTATTAACTGGTGTAATCTTTCAAGAAAGTATTGCTCAAAAGCCAGGAAGTCAACCTGGATATAATGGAACATACCTGAAATACCATCACTCTGTAAAGCTGAGGCAGGAGAATCTCAAGTTCAAGCCTGCCTGGGTAATTTAGCAACTTAGTGAGACCCTATCTCAAAATTTAAGAAATTAAAAAAACTGGTAAGAGTGAATGCCCTAGGTTCTATTCCAAATAATTAATATGCACACACACACAAACCCAGATAAACAAAAAATTTTCTTCATCATGTTCCCTGTTTTTTTCTTTTAATCAAACTGAGCACCTATATAGGTAGTGATTGTGTTTTTTAACTTTCAAAAGATCCTTCTTAAAAGTATTAAACCTAATTCTTAGAATAACAAGTGTTAGTATTCTATCTTACGAAGTTAATGGAGCTCTTTGGAAGACTGAATCTGTTAGGTAAGTATTTACAAGAATTTTACATTAACTATGAAATGTTTATAACTTTGTTTCTTGGTTGAAATGTATTAAGGATATCATTATGGTAGGTTAGGTTACAATTTTTTTAAGTTACAATTATTGAAGTCACTTGGTAGCACCTAAATTAATATTAGGTGTTTGCTTTTAAAACTGAAATGGATATGATCAGTATCCCAGCCGTGAAGGTTTCTTACTTTGTAGTTTCTAGTTAGCACTTACTTGGGTCTCACGAACACTTTTCTTCTCTTTTTTTTTAGCAAGTACTAATGTATTCTACAATTTTTATTAATTGCAGAAAACAGAAGAGTTCGTGGGGCTGGGAATTTAACTCAGCGGCATAAGCGCCTGCCTTTCAAGTGTGTGGTCGTGAGTTCAGTCCCTGGTACTGATAAAAAAGAAAAAGACCAAAAAAAAAAAAGAAGAGTTCGTAAAAACTTTACAGAAGAAGAAGTAAATTATCTTTTCCATGGAGTTAACAAAATGGGAAATCATTGGAATTCAATTTTGTGGTCTTTTCCCTTTCAGCAAGGACGGACGGCTGTGGATCTTGCACACAAATACCACAACCTGGTCAAACGCCCGACGTGTGCAGTTCTTTGATTGAAAGAGGCTATCAGTTTTTAGTTTGAGTTCTTAAAAATACAATACCTTGAGCTGAATGTGGTGGCCTGTAATCCAAGCACTCTGGGAGGCTGAGGCAGGAGTTTAGTAATCCAGTAAGACTGTTTCAAAAAAAAAATTTTTTTTTAAAGAAAAGCTAAAAAGGGTTGGGCATGTATCTCAGTAAGAATGCCTTGGATTCAAGCCTCAGTATCACACACACAGAAGTGCTTTGAAAGATAATACATTAATTCTGTATTCTTCTAAGCCCTCATAGGACAGTGACTCTAGAAACAGGAATAATTTCAATTAAATAATTTTTGTGAACTTGGAACTCTTTAAATTATAATAATTTCTAAAAGAATACACTTTAAGCAGATTAGCAAAATTTTCTCTGTAAGGTCAAATATTTAGTAATATTTATTCTTTAAGCTCAGAACATATCTTAGAAGAAAAAATATTCTCAATTTTATTTGGCATTATATTGCAAATGAATATTGTGTGAGCCATTTGGGTATTAATATTTTTGCCTAGTGACAAAGTTCCTCCCGAGGACTCACAATAGTTCCAAGCTGTTCAGCTAAGATCCCCACCCACTAAATCAATGTTTGACATTGTTAATTAAAATATCTCCTCTTCTGAAGGTTAAACGTGAAGTTGCTTTGAATACATCCATATTCTAAGGTCAGTTTTCCTTCTTTTTGGTATAAGCTTTAGCTTTTTACGTGTGTATTATATCTTTCATCCTTCATGCTGATGACTTCTGGTGATTTCAGATTGTAATAGGACAGTGTCATGTACTGGCCACTGTACATACCTGTTTATAAAATGTGTCCAAAGAAAAATATGATCCTAAGACATGGGTCCTCCATATGGGTCAGCTTCTTTGCTAGGTCCAAAGAGAGTTTGTAGACCTAAGACACTTCTTGGCATTCTACATGATTATCGCTAATACAGATACAAGTCTTCTATTTTTCTTTTCAAATGATTCTTACCCTAATTTCATGGGTTTGATTTTTTTTGTTAAGCCCTATTAACAGGGCTTAATGGTCTTTGTTAAGTTTCATTGTGTTAGATTTAGTCTGTATTCAGTCTGCCATCCAGGTATTTTATGCAGCTTTTCTGCTTCAGGTCATCCATAGCCTTTGTGCATGAGCTGCTGCATTCTCATCCAATCACTGTTGGCACCCTGAACTAGCCAGGGACAGGTCCCTAGAAGCCCTTGCTGGCACTCCTTGCCACTTAGCAGTCCTTTACTGACAAGCTTCAGTCTGGCCTGCATCGTCTTTTAGTCTGTTGTGAGTTGCCACATACCCTGTTGAAGCCTGCATTTGTTGTCTGTAGCAGCCTCATACCTGGTATTCTTTCCAGAAAAGAAAGATACTGTGTAAACCTGTTACTATCTTTTCCCTTTCAGTGGACCAGTTTTTTTTCTTCTGGTGCTTTTTAAGCTCATGGACTTAATTTTCAGCTCCATCTTGTATCCTGTGAGAGTTCACTGATTATTCTTTTATGACCTCAAACAAGTAATGAGTGTGTTAGTTACTTTCTTGCTGCTGGACAAAATACCTGACATCTACAAGGAAGAAAGGTTTTAGCTCACAGTTGGTAGAGGTTTAAGCTCATAGTTTGTAGATGTTAGCTCCAAGGCAGCTGGGCATGGCAGAGAAATCTCACAAAGGAAAAACAGTCCATGGCTTGTAGACAGGAAGCAGCACACAGACAGCCTGCCTTCTTTCCCTTTATAATAAAACCCATTAGTGCCACCCACACCCAAGTTGGGGTTTCCCATCATCCACATCCAGAACTATGCTAAACCAATCCAGTTTTGCCTAGAACCCATATTCGCCCTAGATCCAACCACTTTGGAAAAGCCCCACCTATGAGTGCATGAGGTTTGGAGGGACATCTAGACACAACCAGCCATAATGGCTGGTTTTTACTAGCTGCCTTTCATAAAACATCCAAGTTGACAAGTGATACACCTGTTTGTTTGGTCCTGTATGCTGCTAATTTTTTGGCAGAGCTAGGACCACTACTCACCTGAAAGCGACTTACGTGGTTGCTTTTCTGCCATATCCCATTTCCTTGTGATACTTAACAATGCCTTATGAAGTCAGCTTGCTTATAAAATACCCCTTAGGGCCTACAACTAGTTACCCTTGGTGAGTGTGATATATTTTTATTTCCTTTTCTTTCAATGCCATATCCTCTTTTCTCTCCTGCCCATCCTCTTCTCACATTCCCCCTGAAAGGAAATTGAATTTTTTTTGAGGTAGGTATCATTATGCAGTTCAGCCTGGCCACAAACTCTTGGCAATCCTCTTGTCTCAGCCTCCTTGAATGCTGAAATTATCGTGCCACCGCATATCATTTTTTACAACCATTAATAAAGCAAACTAAGTATTTCTTAGTGTAGTAAAAGTCATTACTTCATAATCATAATAGGGTCTTAGAGAAAAGGTGAATACCAGGATAGTATGAGGATTTGGGGACCCATCCTTCAATGCAGGGTTTGATGAGGTCAGCCCAAACTCAACAAGTTTAATGAATAGAAAGGGAAGCGCCAAGATGCTACCTTCTATCATTGGGTTCCTGAACAGTTTCGTTAAAACTTTATGAGATTCACTCTCCTCATCTGTTTAAAAGATAAGATTCAGTAAGAGTGTGCATGACTCTGGCCCACAGTGAGCACCAGATAAATGGCGCTGTCTTGCTTGAGTCTCGTGGACTTGCCGCATCAGTTCACCCACTCACCAAGCAGCTGGAGTGGCTAAACCCTGGGTGTGGTGGGAGAGGCGCCGCGTGGCGTTGCTCCCCTCGACCGCTAGAGGCCGCCAGCGCGTCCTGGCTCCCGGCGGCCCCGCCCCGCATCCCCACACAGGGCTGCCCAGGCGACTGCCTGACCGTGCAGCTTCTCGCCACTGCAGCGGCCTCGCGACCCGTAACAGCCCGCAGACGTCGCTGGGTCGGGAAGGTTCGTCAGGCGGCACTGCCCTTCCGGCGTGGACGTCGAGGCACGGCGCGTGGGTGGCCCGGCGGGGTCCTCGCGGTCCTCGGCGGGCCCGGGGGAGGGCCCTCTTTGTGGCTGCAGTTGGCAAGATGGCGCCAGTGGGGGTAGAGAAAAAGCTGCTGCTGGGTCCCAATGGGCCCGCGGTAGCTGCAGCCGGTGACTTAACCAGTGAAGAGGAGGAGGGCCAGAGCCTGTGGTGAGGCTGCGGGCAGAGCCTGGGTGGGTAAGGCCGGGCCGGGCCGGGCCGGGCTGGGCTGGGGCGGGCCTGGGGCTGACCGCCTTACCATTGTTGCCGAAGGTCTTCGATCCTGAGCGAAGTGTCCACCCGCGCCAGGTCCAAGCTGCCGTCCGGCAAGAACATCCTTGTCTTCGGTGAGCGGCGGGCGCTCCCTGGGGCACTGGGGTGGGCGAGGCGGTGCCCCTCCCAGAGGTCCCAGCCTTCCGCTTCCCCCTTACCGCTGCCTGTCCCTGGCCGGCCCGGGCTGGGGAGTCTTGGCAAGTCCGCCAGAGTGTCGCCAAGCCCACCTCACCTGACGCTGGGATGCTTCTCCTTTTGGACAACCCATTGGTACTGCCTCGGGTTGTTGGCACATTCTTTGAGTCACCTGGGCGCGACATGAGCTTTGACTCCTTGCGCCCCTGGCATTCTTCTTTCACCAAGTTCATGATGTGGAGAAAGGAGAGAGCTGATGAGAAGGCTGGGTGGAGAAGACTGGTAATGGAGATGGCTGGGCTCGGAGCTTGACCATGAGAGCTTTTCTTAGCGCAGCTCAGATGTCTTAACTCTTGAAAGAACAGCAAGCCTGGGAGTCAGCACCGAGGACTTTCTTCTATTATTTTTGTCCTTACTGGCTGAATTCATGAGTCAGGTCCCTTAGGCTCTGTGGTCTCTGGGTGTATTCACACAATAGACCCGTTTGTGAAATGGGACCTGTGAGCTGGGCACTAGGACAGCATAGACAACCTTTAGTAATAGCAGTCTCATTTTAACAGATACATATGTGTTGATGATTGCACCGTATTGAGCATGGGCAAATCGTTGTGGGAGGATCACATTGCTACGTGCTGTTGCAAGGGAAATTTTGGGGTTGTGTGTTTTCTTGAAGAGTAAATGTCAATAGGCAAGAACACAGAGTTGACCATATACTGTATTGTGTTGGATATAGTTAGAAGCCACTTGTGGTAGATGCCCACTAAGGGACATTGTGAGCGGATTATGAAAGACTGAGGAGTTAATGGTCTTTCTTGCAGGCTCCAGATTTTCACAGGCCTTTTTTCTTACCTCCATCACCAGGCCTTATGGGAATTGGTACTTTGGTGGTTTTCCTACTATTTCTGAAGGGACCAGATGGTCTTCAGACTGGTGATAGGCTGTGGTATATCTTAGAGATCTTCAAAAAATGAGGAGTCAGGATCACTAGGTCTTGTGTTTTAGGAAAGTAACTTTGGCTGCAGAGTGAGAAGAGGCACAGAATGAACTTGTATTGAAGTTAGGCTTAGAAGTACTCACCATGGTCCAGATGGACTGTGGAGAGCCTGAAAAAGGTATGGCCTTGTGTATGAACAGGTGATCTTTGATTGTGGTTTACCTTTTGCCTTTCATGACTGTAATTCTATGTAATTAAATCTCAAGAATATCTAGTGATCTTTGTTGATGGTGGTTCTACTTGATGTTTAGCTGGGATTTTGGGGGGGTGTTACTCATTGGTGAGAGGGAAATAAAGAAATGCCTCATAATTACTGAGATTGTGCTTCAGAGTTTTGCTTAGGTCTATAATTATTTTCTTTAGTTTCCCAGCCTTCAGAATGCTTATGAAGGAGATGTACTGAAATTAAACATAAATAATAACTTCTGTTCTTCATGACTGTGAGGAAAAATCAGGTTTTTAAATCAGAGTGTTCAGACTTTGAGGTTAATTTTGTTTTGAAACTTTTTTTCATGTGGTAAAATTTTATTTTGTGAGAAATCAGTGCTACCTTTTACTTTTCCAAATGGATGTTAGATATCATAAGTAGGGCCTGTTGACTTACCTTTCCCCTTCCTTTGTGAAATAAGAAAAATTGAATAGGATGTCATTTTAGATGCTGGAATTTGCAGCGTTTACCCTGGCCCCTCTCCAGGGACTCTTAAGAGCAAAGTCTGCGTTCTTTGTGAAAGCAGATGAGATCTTAGTTGGGGCTTTGCGTGAGATTCTTAGTTGTTCCTTGTTATATGAATGTCATGACTTGCCATCTTTTTTTTTGGTCTTTTTCCTTTTTATCGGTACCGGGGATCGAACTCACGACTGCCTGCTTGCAAGGCAGGCGCTTATGCCGCTGAGCTAAATCCCCAGCCCCATGACTTACCATCTTTGTCCAGAATAAATAGTACCCCTTTGTCTTCTTGGAAATATCATTCATAGGTGAAGATGGTTCTGGTAAAACAACGCTCATGACTAAACTACAAGGAGCAGAGCATGGCAAAAAAGGAAGAGGCCTAGAGTATCTCTACCTCAGTGTCCATGATGAGGATCGAGATGGTAAGTGAAGCATTGATCCATGGTAAAGGGCACACCGGGACTCCAACTTCTACAATATATCTAGGCATTCTCAGCTTTCTCTTTGATTTATAGAGAATTACTCAAGATTAGATGAAATGTGGGTCATTTGTAAGATTTTACCACTTTATATTACAGACCATGTTAGCAAAAAACAAAGAATGGGACTGTCAGGTGCTTATGTCTACATGTAAAGGAAATCAATTAAGATAAAGTTTGACATGCACATAAAGGTAGTAAGAAAGATTTTTTAAAGCTTTGGAGTTTTCTGTGAAAGAAACGTGAAATGCTTAGTACACTAATCTAGCACCACTGTTACTTGCCTAGTTCTTCTGGAGAATCTTAAAGTTCACATGCATTCATGGATAGTTTTCTGAGTCTTTGTGACTGTTCAGAAATGCTGAGTGCTGGAGGTGGAGGGAGTAGAGGTTCAGGGATGATAATTGAATTCCCTTATTTCCTTGAAGTGTAGATAGTAGCTGGGCTTATAGTCTATGCCTGTAATCCCAGTACTGTGAAAGGCTAAGGTAGAAGGATCATAAGTTTGAACCCAGTCTGGGCAACTTAGCAAGACTCTATCTCAAAATAAAAAATAAAATGATCTGGGTATGTAGCTCAGTGGAAGGTTCTAGGTTCAGTCTCCAGTACTGCAAGCAAACAAGCAAGCAAGCAAGCAAGCAAACAAAATATAGATAGTAATAGTTTCTATCTGCACGGTAGTTAGGGTGATTAAAGGCACACGGTAAACATTCTAACAAAGATTAGTTATTATTTTGGAACTTTTCTTATAATTAGGAAATGTATGAGTTAGCAAATTTTGTTTACAACTACTCTGTAAAAGTCTGTAAAATCTCTTAGGATTAGAGTTCGATTTTTTTTTTTAATGCTGTAAAATAAGGTATTGGGGGCCAGGGATATACACTTGTGTCACAGAGCCTGCCTGGCAAATGCAACTGAGTTCAATTCCTAATACCAAAAAAAAAAAAAAAGAAGGCACAATAACCCTACTGGCTCAAAATAAGTTTTTGGTACCAAGAGGGTATTTTGTTTTGTTTTATACAGAAGTTATCATTGTAGCCTAAAGGTGAAATGTATTGATTAAATTACATTTATTATATTTGCTTTTACCCATTTAAACAGTAAGACTCATGATGTAAGAGAAACCAGTCCTCCCACTTCTGGGCTTCCATTTGCTTGTTGCTAAACAAAGGAAACTGAAGCAGAGTTTTTAACTGAACCAGCTAAACAGAGGAAACTGGTCCTTTCTAGCACTGTAATTCTCCTGTCTCCAAGAGCTGTTTAGTAGAGAGCATGAGTGAGAGTCTCTTGTTGAAGCTTGGAAATCTACATTGTGTGAATGCTAATTTAGTGGTCATTGTAGAACCCCTGGGATTTTTTATTTTTGTCTGCTCCCTTCCCCTGACTTCTTTTGTCTTACTGAACATTCCCTGAAGGACTTGAAAGGAAGACAGGAGGTGGGCATGGTGCCAGTGGCTCTGTCTTATGTCAGAAGGACAGGTATCAGGTATACCTTTAGGCTCACTGGAGTTCATGGTTATAGGGCTGGGACTCAAGGGCCGCTGAGTCAGGCCTAGAGGACCTTGCATGTCTGTATCTTTTGCTTCCTATCTTTGTAGGGCACCATGGTTATTGTGGAAAGAACTTGGGCTTTGGAGCCCGGTGGATCTGGTTCAAGATGCTACTCCTGTAGTCAGCAGTTGTGTAGCCTCAGGTAATTGATTTAACCACCTACACCTGAGATTTCTTGTGTGTAGAATGGACGATGGTGTCTGTTTTGCAGGTTGATAGAATAAGAGAGTATGTGTGGAGTGTAATGGAATCCTGGGTACGTGATAGCTCTAGTATCATTTTGTCTTGTTTCTGTTTAGTTTTTGTCTGTTTTGGTTTTGAGACAGGCTCTCACTGTAGCCCCAGTTGGCTTCAAACTAGTGATCCTCCTGCCTCAGCCTTCAGAGTGCCATTATGTCCAGCTGTCTTGTTTTTTTGAAAACACAAAGTAGTGTTTCTGTTCTGAATCTGTACCCTCGTCTATATTAAGCCAGCAGAAAGCATGTTTCAGGCCAAGATATAACGTTAGTTGTATTTTACTTGCCTTTGAGTTATAAAGTATAAAGTAACTTTTATTTTACATTCCTTTAAGATTACCTTAAAAACTTTGGTTTCTGCATTTATGTGATACTTTTTAGATTACTTACTTGTGAGTACTTGTTTGGTGGAAACATTGCCCTTACTTATGGTTAATAATATATCTTTAAGTCCTAGTCTTTTTTTTATTGTGTGGCATGACTAGATTATAAACACATTTTACAGGCAGTCACCCACGTGGGAAAAGTCTCTTGACTTGTACCTCTGCCTTCAGGGTTGAGGGATCTAATGCTATATGGGATTCATGGTCTCCAAGCATGTGGGCAAGTTACATGTGAAGGGCAGTGGTAAAGGAGGCTGGAAAAAGGAACCATGCCTGCTGAAGGATAGGCATTCAAACTCATAGATTTCAGGTACAGAGCATTGTTTTTGTTCTTGTTCTATTTTTTAATCCTGGTAATTGAAGCCAAGGCCTTGGGCGTAGTAGGACTGACACCTTTAGCATCCAGAAGAATATTTTTTAAGACATTCACAGAAACCCAAACTAAAGCCACTATCTAAAGTGCGTTAAGAATTTGAAATACAAGCCGGCATGGTGGCACATAGTTGTAAACCCAACATTTGGGAAGCTGAGGCAAGAGGATCACTTCCAAGTTTGAGACCAGCCTGGGATACTAAATAATGAGTTCAAGATGAGCCCTAACAACATAGAGACAGACTGTCTCAGGAAACCAAAAAAAAGAGAAAGAGAAAGAATGAGTTTGAAAATATAGCTAGATTTAGATAGTGTGTACTATATACTGTTGAAATAGTCATGAATATACATTTTTATAGCATATTAATGAATTGATTATACCAAAAGGCACCTAATGGGAGATGGGTTTTAAAAGTGTATGTTGGACGTTATTGAAAGAAAAAAGTTAATAAACTATTTCAGAAACTATCAAGGTTCTTATTTTTAAAAATGGTTCTTAAGGGGCTGGGGATTTAGCTCAGCGGCATAAGCACCTGCCTTGCAAGCAGACAGTCGTGAGTTCGATCCCCGGTACCGCTAAAAAGGAAAAAGACAAAAAAAAAAAAGTTCTTAAGCCAGGGGTATAGCTTCGTAGCATGGCACCATCCTAAAAAGTGCTGAGTTTGATTCCCAGTACCAAAAAAAAAAAAAAAAAAAAAAATAGTTCTTAAGAAAATTTTCTAAAACTATCAGTCGGGAGAATTGACTTCTATAGTTTGTTCATCCAGTTATAATTTGGGGACTTCATTAATGTCAGCACTTAACTTATTTTTTAATATATGTATTTATTCAGACATATTATCGAAGAAAACAAAATATAAGAGACAAGGATCATGAACCACAGTGTACATTCACCTGCTTTCAGCAATTAACTTGTTTTTGATTAATTTTATTTCAGTTTTATCTCATCTTCACTCCATGTGGGATTATTTTGAAGGAAATTTCAGACATTATATTATCTAGGAATATTTCCTTATAGTATATCTAAAAGTAACAATTTTTAGAAAATATAACCATGTTGTTTTTATAAAAAGAGCTGTAATTCCTTATTATCATCAGGTATCCAGCAATTTGTATCTCAACTTATAGAAGTAATGATTTTATCTTGGCATTTAAAGCCAAAGGTATTTTCTTCGAAAACCTCTCTGGTATGTGCCCTGCTTACTATAGCTAACACGAAAAGGAATTGTTTAACCACAGCCTCCTAGGAACTGCTATCCACCTCACAGATTGCTACCCTTAGGACAGTGGATTGTTTAGACTATGGCACAGTTGATCATTGAACATCAGCATCTCTGAGTTCTTATTGAAAACTAATTACTTTTACCCTGCTCCTTAGATATTGCTGAAAATTTTTTTTCACTTGTAGATACTTTCTGTATGTGAAGGCTGTCCTTCAACTTACTATGTGGCCTTGGCTGGCCTCAAACTCATGGTAATTCTCCTGCCTTAGCTCCTGAGTGCTGGGATTGTAGGTGTGTGCTGCCATGTCCCGTGTGGTAGATACTTCTTATGGTAGTTTAAACATTTTAAAATCTGTACAGCTCATGAGGCACTAGACTAGGACTTGCTCTTCCTTGAACATTTGGAACCTTTTCAGTTAGGATTTCTGTCTATATTCTGTGTAGAGTTCATCTTTATAAGGCTACTTTTCTGATAGCTGTGCTGACGATCATTGTCCAGTTGTAATATAACTTCATTCATTTCTTAGATCATACACGCTGCAATGTGTGGATTCTGGATGGAGACCTCTACCACAAAGGACTGCTGAAGTTTGCAGTTTCTGCTGAATCCTTGCCAGAAACCCTGGTCATTTTTGTTGTGGACATGTCTAGGCCTTGGACTATAATGGAGTCACTACAGAAGTGGGCAAGTGTTTTACGGGAACACATTGATAAAATGAAAATTCCACCAGAAGAAATGAGAGAGCTGGAACGAAAGTGTAAGTGCAGTTTTTTTAAAATGGAAATTTTAGTAGACATTGGACAGTCAGAACCATCTTCTTTTTTAGTCAGGAGACTTCACTTGGATAGAGTTGTGTTTTGTTGCACCATTAACTTCTGACTTGCTCCTACAAATGCAGCTATCAAGAATACTTCAAAAAAGTATTCAGAGCAGTGTATTTCACATTACAGTTGAAGATAATGGATCAATAGTCCATATTGTCTTTGTTGATTGTGTTTCAGTAGAAGAGTTTTTTCCTTGCTTCCCAAAATGTGATCAGTTCGGTGGTTCTCCAGGAGTTTCTACCGTTCTGATTCTGGGTTAGCAGCAGGATATGGAGATTTGTTGTGGTTTCTACAGATTGAACCCTAGCTCTGGAACTCTGTGAATGTTCTGTCTACCCTCTTGTTGGTAGGTTTAGTGGAAGTATTAAAAAAGGTAATCTTTTGGGATCTAACAAATCCAATTTTTTATAGGAATAAGGTTATTTTGGGGTGTCGTTAAAGTGAAAAACTATTTTAAGACTAAGGATATCCAAGTTCTTTTGAGAACAAAAAACTTTCATATTAAAGGGAGTTTATTTGTCCCTCTGATCCCCCGCAATGTGGTTTAGAAGCTTATTTTTTCTTTCCCTTGCTTCTGTGCAGTTACATCAGCTTCTGTCTCCTTGCCAGAGAAGTGGGAGGGGCCAGGACGGGAGCAGCCGTCTTGGGCAGGACAGGCTTGGCCCAGCCTGGCTTAGTTCCACAGGATGACATCATTCCCTTTAGTGAATTGATGAGGGCGGAAGGCATGACACAAGATCTTCACACTTAACTGCCAGAAGGGTCTAAAAATTTGATGTGCTTTTCAAATTATGTTTAATGTTCTATGTCTTATTATCCCATGCTGCATCTTGCCTCTGTCCCACATTAGTTAAAATAGGGAATTGAACATCTTATTCTTTGATTTGCTGCCAGTGTGATACATGGATCACCACATGTGTGCTGTACTGATTGTTATGCAGCTCAGCTCATCTGTCTTCAACCACTGACCTTTCTAGATAATGGCTCTTTTTCCCCTGAAATAGAGACCTTAATGATAACTTCACAGAATAGTTCTGAGGCTGAATAGCAGTTTTCTGTCCTTTGCACATACAGCTTCTTATCCAAACTAGTAAATGAATACACTAGAGATTTCAGTTCTCTAACCTGTTTTCTTAGAGTGATAACATTGTAAAGATTTGTTAAAATAGAAAAAAAGAGAGAGGCCAGGGATTGCTGTTCTTTCCGTGAAAGGGAAAGTGTCTGCTTAGTACAAGGTACTGTTTTAGGCACTGGAATACAACAGACAAGCTCCATTCCTAGGCAGCTTCAGGTGAAACACTGAATTTATTTTATATTCTTAGTCAGTGATGTCTGTTGTTAGAGTTAGATTCATTTGCATATGGCATAACCTGAGAGGATGGTGTCCTAAATTTTTCTCTCCTGAAAATGAAATCTAGAAGTAGGTAGTTTAGAACTGGGGAGCCAAGGGCTCACAGACCCGGGCTTTTTTTGTGCTTATGGCTTTGTCATTTCTCTTCTTCCTGTGGTCTTCTTCATAACAAAGAGAGCTCTGCCCTTCACATCAGTGTTCCAGGGAGCAGGATGGAGGAAGAGGAAAGATGAGCTGAAGGGACATGTCTGTCCTCATTAAAGGAGGCTTTAAAGGGCTGGGGATTTAGCTCAGCGGCGGAATAAGCACCTGCCTTGCAAGCAGGCGGTCGTGAGTTTGATCCCCAGTACCAATAAAATGAAAAAAAAAAAAAAAGGAGGCTTTAGTCTGTGTGTCCATGTATTGTGGACCTCAGAGTTCTGTTCAGTTACATGGAGATGAGAGAGGACAGTGGAGGGCAGCTATCAATTGGTGGAACCATGTGTGTATCTCCTGACTGGTTAAGCTGCCAAGGCCCTTGCTTTCATCATCCTTTGTCTGAGTTGTTGGAATTGCCGTTGTCTTTGTACTGCATATTAAAGGATCACCTTGGTTAGTGCAGGTTTTAGATGACATTTTAATAAAGTAGTTGACTATATCATGCTCCGGGACTCTGTTTCCCAAATTAATTGGACTTAACTAATACACTGAATGAGTGAAGTGCTCTTATCCACCTGGACTTCCAATCCAACCACTGTCCAGTCTGCCATTTTTGGAAAGCTGCTCTATGGCCAGCCAGTCTCTTTCAGGGTTAGGGTCGTCTGTGGCAGCTGTTTGACCGTAAGAACCATCTGAGCCAGAGGAAAAGCACTCATGGAGCCAACATGTAGGTTAGTCTTTGTTGCTTGTGTTGACCTGTGAAGTCTTCTCACAATTGTAGATACAGTGGGTGTCAGTAAGGTAAGAGGGGAAAATGAGAGGCAGAAGCAGCAAAAGTATTTTGTGAGCTTTTTTTTTTTCTTGGTTCTGGGAATCAAACTCAGGACCTTACACCCTAGCTGAGCTATTTCCCTGGCCCTGTGACCTCTTATACAGTGCTTTCTGGTCTTAAAGGGGAGCTCCACGTGGGTTGGTGGCCCTTGCTATAAAATACTCGCCATTCACTTTTTAGAGGGAAATTGTTAACTTACACTCTGTGTATCACTTAAGGAAAATAGATATTTTATTATCTAAATTACATAGTCTTCAATTTTTTTTATGTTTTCAACAGATAAGTTTATTTTTTAAGCAGTTTCAACATTTTTTCTTTATTTTACTTTATTAGTATATGTGTGTAGTGTTTACATTCATTGTAGGAATTTGGTACATGTGCATAGCATAACTTTATTCCTTTTTTTTCATTCCATTTCCCTTTGCTTTTTCTCTTCTCCCTCGATCTCAATCCTGTATCCTTTGAAAACCACCACTCTTCCTTCCATCCTGTGATCTTTTATTTTCCCCTTTATTTTTTACTTGGTTTCTCATACAAAAGAAACCATGTAATATATTCAGTACTTTTTAATCTTTCAGTTTTCATTTTTTTGTTTTGAGACATGGTCTCGCTGCCTGGCATCTTCTGTTTTCTTTACCTTTATGTTATACACATTTGCTCTGTCTTCCAATTTGTTTTCTAAAATGCTAAGTTAGCTAAAAAATTGTAAATTTCCTATGCTTACCGGAGAGCCACAATTAAAGTCATTTGTTTACAGTATGACTAGTCTTATCCAGGGCTTGTGGGCCATTTCCTTGTGGAGGAATTGCCGAGTTTGGGCAACACCATAGGTAATAGAGGATCCTGGAGTAGGCTGCCTGAGCCACTGCACCCCACCTTACTTTTACTGCAGCTCAGCTCACCTTTCTCCTGCTGCAGGCTCTGCCCTGCTCACTTTCTAGGAAGACTCAGCCAGGTGCCTCCCATATCTGGAATAGTTAGATCTTACCCAGGTAAAGCTTTGCATTCTTTGATTTGAAGTTTTGTTAATGTGTTTTCAAAGAAACTATGAAAATAATTTGTTCTTTTAAGCTCCTTCAACAACCACCTCAAGTTCTTGTTTTTGTCCAAAAATGTTATGTGCATAGCTGAAAGAAAAGTTTAGAGGTGAAATATTAGCACATCTGCACTTGAAAGCTTACTCAGCTTTTAGTTTGCCTATATTACTTGAAAGACAATTTCACTTTGTACTCTTATTAGCTAAAATCTCTGTAAATAAATACTCATTGTTTTAAAATGTTTAAGACCTGTTCTGTGGATGAAATGGAGAATGTGCACATTTCTCTAGGTCCTCTGTAGTGCTATTTGCATTTACTTAGTGATCTTGTTGTTGATGAGAATAAAGGATCCTAGGGTCCTTAGTCCTCCTGGGTATATTAGAAGAGAAGAGCTAGCTGCCTAGTGGCTTCTCTATCTTGACATAGCTTTAACCATCCTGTCTTTATTTTCTGGTCTGACATATAAGTCTTAAAATGCCTACATCCAGGTGCAGGTCTGTGTCACTTGGTTTAACTGAAACCATTGGCCATTCAGCATAGAGACCCTTCTTAGGCAGAGTAGTGATTGTATGTGCCAAGAAATGTTCCCTGGTGCTGACCCTCATTGTGCTAGGCAGGGACAGCCCCTAAAGATGAGACCGAGTTCCCAAGAGTGAGGCCGAGGAGGAAGTATGCAGTTGGTGCTAAGCAGGTACAGCCTCAGTAGATAAGGTAAGCAGGTACAGCCTCAGTAGATAAGGCAGCAGTGTGGGAAAAGAATTTTTTTTGTGGGATTTAATGTTTCAGCCAACATTTCTTGGAGGACTTGGGCAGTTTTTGTTAGTTACAGCAATATCTAATGGTCACCTATGTGAAAGTAACAGTTCAACTGTTCTACTGGTATTTTTAAGTGATTTTATTTGTTTGTTTGCTTCATAGCAGAAACTAGTAAAGTGTTAGAATTTTTACAAATCTGTTTAGGAGTTAGATGCAATTGAAGATGCCTGGAGGATTTTTTGGTTTTGGGGTGTTTTTTCGTTTGTTTTTGTTTTCTGCTCTGAATTTACAAAGCTCAGACTGAATATGTCAGAATGGACATTTTGTGTCACCATCTCCAAATCCCTAATATAGGAGTCCAGTGCAACTTGGTTTGTCACGCAACTGCTCATGTTTTGTTGGTTGTTACTGTCATTTTCTGTTTTCTGAAACTAATATGTATTTTTATTTGATGTCTGTATAATTTTTTTTTCTCTTCCTCTATAGTTGTAAAAGATTTTCAAGACTATATTGAGCCTGAAGAAGGTTGTCAGGGTTCCCCACAGAGAAGAGGGCCTCTGACCTCAGGCTCTGATGAAGAAAACATTGCCCTGCCTCTGGGTGACAATGTACTGACTCATAACCTGGGGATCCCGGTGTTGGTGGTGTGCACAAAGGTGTGTCCAGGGAATTGTTTGGTGGGTTTGGCCAGTGAACAGTCACCATCTGAAAGAAAGTTTGAGAAGCTTTGGTGAATTTTTTCCCAAGGGAGAATTAGGCTTAAGATTCACTAAGGTACCAAGATTCACTAAGGTACATCAAATTTGTCAGGATGGACCATATTGACATTGAACTGCTAGAAACATGACATCTCTTAGTTCATGTATGCTCTAGGTTAATCCCCAGAAAGTACTGAGTTTATGGGCAATCTCAACTAAAAACTGTTTTCTTAAGGCTTTATAAACTAGGTCATGTGGTCTGTACATATGGTAAAAAAATAGAATGATGAGATGGAAATAGAACTTAAATTGAATTATAGAGAAATAAAGTGTGTCTCTTACATAAAAAAGTAGCTTTAAAAATGTTTTCAGTTTCAAAAGTACAGAAAGATGACTGTTTGGTCTCCCCTACAGTGTGATGCAGTAAGCATCCTGGAGAAGGAGCATGATTACAGGGACGAGCACTTGGACTTCATCCAGTCACATCTGCGGAGGTTCTGCCTCCAGTGTATCCTTGGGGTTGCTGTGTCGGGCCCAGAGGGTGTGGGCTTCCCTCCAAATGGGACATCTTCAAGGCCACACCTAAGCTCAGAGTAATCTTCTCCCTGTGTATATTGTTTTAGTAATTTTATATTGTATTGTGTTGAAATTTGAAACTATTTATCTTAGACCTATCTTTGGTCAATTTTTATTTTTAGGCTGTACATTTGGTAGGCTTTGTGTTAAGAAGCTGAAGTTGGGTGTGGTAATATGTCCTCCTGTAATCTTGTCACACAGGGAGGCTCAAATAGGAGGATGGCAAGTTTGAGGCTAGACTGGGCAACTTTGTGAGACTGTCCCAAGAGAAAGAAAAAACAGTCTCTATACCCTAAGCGCGCGCGTGCACACACACACGCTTGCATGCTCACACACACCCATGCACACACAAGGAAAAGCTGACATGACTTCATTTTATTATCAAATTATTTTTGTCATGCTTGGAAATCTTAAACTTTGCTTTTATTCTGAAAGAAGCAGTTAGCAGTCTGGTTGTTGTTATAGGTGCTACTAGTATTTCCCTTGTGTTTGTTTCATTTTACTCATGAAAGAGCTGTCCTGTCATCTGTCTTTCTGTGAAAAGCCAGTAGCCCCCTTGCTCAACAGACAGGGTGATGGATGCATTCCTGCTGCCTCCTTTGAGCCCATTTTGGGAAATGTATGCTTAAAGGTAGACTTGCTCATGTATGAGCATCTGCCTACAGAAAGATCTGAACCTCAATATGCTGAGGGTGCTTACCCTAGAGCCACTAACTTTGTTTTTTAGAAGCAGCCCAGAGGATTAAGGTAACAGTTTATGTGTTAAGTCAGCTACACAGCCTGCTAACATTAGCATGTTTTATGCTCACGATGGTTCATCTGCTACCATTCCCTTTTCTGCTTTTTTAATTATAATACTTTTCAATTGTCAAAAACTGGTCAAATTGTGTGCAGTATTTTAAGATCAGTGAGATTAATTTTGTCTCCTCCCACAGTGAATTGGTTTTCCTAAGCAGATTGATTAGATGGAGCTGCCTTGATTTACACATCAGTGAAAGAAGAGAAAAACCTCGACTTGTTATATAAATACATTGTTCATAAAACATACGGATTCCACTTTACCACACCTGCCTTAGTTGTGGAAAAGGATGCAGTTTTTATGTGAGTTCTGGAGAGGTGATGCTTTTGACCCCTTCTTTTTATAGCATATTTACTACTTAACATTTTACCCTTTTAAGTACCATGCCTCTGTCTGTGTCTTTATGCAAGCAGCTGTCTTGCTGCTGTGAGGAAAGTATGTGGACTGGACTTCAGACTTTCCATCTTTGCTCCTCCTGAGTTAGGAGGCATTCTGCCTGAGGGGAATGAGTGATATGGTCAGAGCTACTGCCTTTCTTTATTGAAAGCAAGTTTCCAAACAAGCTGTTTTTTTTGACCATTTGCTGTCAGCTGGTAAAGTCCTGGCTGGGGAAGAGAGATGAAGTATAGGGATTTCACTTTAGGGATTCTGGTTTGGGGTAGGGTGTTGTTTTACTTTAAGGATTCTAAATGTCTCCTCTTAGAGCATCTAGTTAATTCCTCTGCCAATTGGCAAAGATGATAGTAAAAGTTCTCCTTGGCCCTGTCCTATGGCTTTAACTGTTCTGAGTGCTTATTTTATTTTCAGAATTTCAGCATTTATTTCTAACCAAAGGGATTGATTGTCCTGCCAAAAGAGTTAGATACCTATTTTCCTGAGTTTCTTTCTCTCACTAGACAATCATGTTGCTGGATGCATAAATAAATAATGAAACCATAGTTTTTGAGAGCACTTGTATTAGCAAATTGATATTGAGGCTTAGCTGGCTTCTTAGTTTAAAAGTTCTATTTGTCTATTCAGCAAGCCTTACTCAGCACCTCTTGGGTGCCCAGGTTTTCTGCTGGGGACACAGAAATGAATGAGATGGGGTTCCTGCTACAGTGCTGAAACACAGCGGAAGAGGAAAACACTAATGGAGGAAGTGTAGCAGGGAGGGCAGAGGGGGTGATGCTGGGAGATGCCCATACCCCAGTCAGCCACAGCAGAGGTGGGTGCAGTCTGAGAGGCTGGAGCTGTGAGCCCCAGGTTGACCCAGGAACTGAATAGATTACCTCTAGCACATTTAAGAGAGCCTTCCGAGGGCTGCTGGCAGACAGCATAACTGCTTTTAGAAAAGCATCCCAAGCAATCAGCCACCAAAGGTGCAAACCTAGTGAGCAGTGTTTTTTTGGAATTACTTAGTGCCCAAATCAATTGATCTCAAGAAGCGGGGAGGCTGGTTAGGTTTAGGACTGGCCTGGGATAGAAAAGCATCTTGTGGCTGTTGAAGGCTGCTTGGGGCATAGCAGTGTCTCAGTCCTGCCCTATGCCTTTGTACCTTTGGGTCTATTGACAGTTGCTTATATGGGGATTGGTAAGTTAGCAAGGCCATTTGGGGGACTCTGGCTATTCCCTCTTGTTTATAGAGGGTCTGGGCCAGGAGTTGGAGAGAGAATTAGAGTCTTGTAAGAATAATAGTTGCTATCTTTCAAAACTTCTTACGTTCAGAAGTGTGGTGTGCTATGTTTATGAGAGTTGGATGGGGATAACAGGCTTCGTCATAGCCCAGCAGAAGCCAGGTCTCACTCTGCCCTATGATGTCAAGCTGCATAGCACCCAGCAGGAGCCCTGATGGTTTGGACCCCAGGATGGATGCAGACCCTGTTTGTCCTTTGGCTCATGGGTATGTCTTTCTACACCAGCAAAGTCAATGAGCCAGTCTACAAGATAACTGTTAAAAAGAGTTCCCAGAGAGAAAGAGACCAAAAGAGGGGAGCCTCCATACCAAAGCCCAAGAGAAATGGTCCTTTCCTAGGCTATGACCTCTGTGCTGCCTCCTGCATTCTCCTATGTTGAGCCAGGACTTCACTGTGCTACTACACTTTTGGCATTGTGCCGTAGCTCTGAACTGACTCATAGGGGCCACACATGGTTGGTCAGTTCTTACACTGGGGCTCCCGAAGCTCTGCAGAACAGGGCCTGCCCTGCTGATCTGATGGGGTGTCCCTGCTAATGGATTTTACTTTATGTGTGCAAAGTTGCAAGCCACCCAGATACTGTGCGGGTACACACACAATTTTGTAGGGAAGAACCTCACCCAGGAATCCTTTCTAACCCAAAATGTGCTCCCAGTATTGCCGTAAGCAGTCTCAAGAAAAGATAGCCAATACCTGTCTCTTTGCCTTTAGACCTGCAGGCTGGGACAATGAAAAGAAAATAGCTATTTTACATGAAAATTTTACAACTGTGAAACCAGAAGATACATATGAAGATTTTATTGTGAAACCTCCTGTAAGAAAGGTACCCAAATCAATCACTTTGAGAGTTCAGGTGTTTTTTTAATGGGGGTTGGGGAGGACCTGTAAAGAAACATCTTACAGTGTATCATTTTGAAAACAAATAATCCAAGGGTCATTTTCTTCGTCTTTAAAGGAGGTCTTTCTGTTTTGTGAATGGGTAGGATGTAAGTGATGGTATACCCACATGGAGCTCAGTGGCATTTACCTTGAAGTCCCAACAGTGCTTTTGCTATCTCTGTATTACTGTTGTTAGATTCTCTCTCCTGAGAGCTACTGAAGCTTCTGATCAGGAGATGTTGTTTAGGACCTACGAGACTTGAAAATGTCAGTTAGCTACCTGCTGTAGTGAGTTTTGGAAGGAGATCTATGCCAGACTGGAAAAAGAGCACCTACTGTCTCAGGGATCCTTCAGACACATGTAGAAGCCTGAGCAAAGATTTTTCTTTGCAGCTTGAATTTTTACAGTCACTTGGTTGTTTTGGCCTGTGGCCACAAATTTGTGTGTTGTTTTACAGCTGGTCCATGACAAAGAGTTGGCAGCAGAGGATGAGCAGGTGTTCCTAATGAAGCAACAGGTAAGAAGGTAGTGATATTTGGACTGAGACCTTCTTAAGCGTGCAATGCCAGTTCCCAAGGAGGGTTGGGGCTGCCTGCCTGTGAGGAATCAAGTGGGCCAAGCTGCAAGGATTAAGACTAGAAATCCCAGCTCCTTCATCTTTCTAGAATTGTTAGGGCTTGGACCACCTGCCTTAGATTGTCTCCGTGCCAATGTCTTGCAGATTCTCTCACAGGGCTAGGCTTAGTAAACCTATGGTGCATGTGCCACAGTGGGCTGTTCATAACATTGAAAGCTCTAGAAGATTTTCCATCACTAGTTTAGTGTCTTTTAAAGTGCCATTTCTATGAAAAGTTAGATATTCTGGCATACTTCCTGAGTTACCAAGTTTTACCAAGTGACCTGGCCACACTTCTTTATTGGTCTCCCACAGCCTGGTGCACAAACAGTTAATGCCCATTTCGTAGGTGAGGCAGTAACTTTCAAACTGACAATGTAAAAATATAAACCCAGTCTAATGTTTGTCTTTCACTCAGAGTTTTAGACATGTCATGAATTTCATTGAGGGTACAGGCAGGTCTCAGCAGGATTTGACAATGCCTTTTCCAACTCTTCTAACTTTCTGTGCCCTACTTGCTTCCTTACCTTCAAATGGTTACCAGAATCACCTTTTCACCCTGTACCAAATTGCTCTATAAACTAGGTTTTTTGACTTGTTAATGGCACCCTCTAGTGGAATGCTAGTAGTTAAGTTTTTCTCCAGACCTCAGTGCACTTTGCAGTCCTTGGCTAATGGCCATTTTGTCCCTCTCTTTGCAGTCAGTCCTTGCCAAGCAGCCGGCCACACCCACAAGAGCCTCTGTGAGTATCTCATACCAAACAGTCATGGCCTAAACGTTGATGTTCTGGGTATCTCTGGACTTTATACTGTTATTTGTGAGAACTTAAATTTATGTAGGCTTACATGTTTTCAAAGAGTTGGTCCTCCTAAAGGCCCACATCCAGGAACATGGTAGAATCCTAGGAAATGCTTGGTGAAATACAGCCATCGTGAATCAGTGAGTTGGTTTTATCACCTTTTGTTACATTTTCTCTTAGAAGAAATAGATCTAATAAGGGACTAAGCTGGACTCCTACTTCTGTAACTTGAGTTGGAAAATGTTCTGCAGAAGCATGTCTTCATTTTTGGAATTTGTATTTTCTGTTATTACACTTCTATGCATACTTGTATATGATCTGGGCTGTTTTTGGAATTAGGAATCCCCTGCAAGAGGACCGTCTGGCTCTCCAAGGACCCAGGGCCGGGGAGGGCCAGCCAGTGTGCCTAGCCCCTCCCCGGGCACATCAGTAAAGAAGCCAGACCCAAACATCAAAAGTATGTATCCTATCTGTGGAGAGTGGTTTAGTCCTAGGTCTGAGTCCTACAGGGACTGTGCTGAGGCCTGTGCTCTTCCCTGAGAAAGGCTACTTTCTACCTTCTCCCTCCCCAAGAGTGGGGATACAGAGGCACAGATCAGGCCCTGTTGGAATTAATAGTCTAGCAACCTAGCATTGTGTAAGACCTCACCAAGAGTCTACAGATGTCTTCAGAAGGGAATACAAAATTGGAAGTGATTTTTTTTTTTTCTCGGTACCGGGGATCGAACTCACGACTGCCTGCTTGCAAGGCAGGTACTTATGCCACTGAGCTTAATCCCCAGCCCCTTTGGAAGTGATTTTTTTTTTTCTTTTTCCTTTTTATCGGTACTGGGGATCGAACTCACAACTGCCTGCTTGCAAGGCAGGTGCTTATGCCACTGAGCTAAATCCCCAGCCCTGGAAATGATTTTAAAATACATATTTTGAGATAAGACATGATTTTATTTTTTTTTTTTTCCCTCACTACGCAGTCGCAGTTCAGGCTGGCCTTGGGCTTACTTTGTAGCTCAGACTGGTCTTGAACTTGCAGCAATCCTCCTGCCTTAGTCTCCTGAGTGCTGGGTTACAGAAATGTGCCACCAAGCCTGGCAGGAAGTGGTTTTTAAAATAGATATTACAAAAAAAAAAATAAAATAGATAATATGAATTCTAGTGTTATTTCTCATTATCTTATTACTATTTTGAATTGTGGGATTTTGTTTCTCCTTTACTGCTTTTGTCAATCTGAATTATTAGTTCAGGCAGCTATTATCCCAATGGCTTGATCCCCATAGATACTGACTCCAATAAAACCATCAAACAGAATTCCACTTAGTACTTTAAATGTTCGGTGAGCACCTTCTACTTAGGATATGAGTTGTTCTTAGCATGCTAGAAGTGCGGAGGGCTTAAGAAACTTTGAAAAACAAAGAAGGACATCTCCTTGAGGATAGCAAGAAATATGGAGCACAAGTTAACCTTACCCTCAAACAGATTGGAAGTGTAAACATATTTCGCTTTAGTAATTATGCTAACACATAATTAACAGTGGTGATGTGTAAGGAATGTAGTAAATGAATGGGATCAGTGTTCCAGGAAGGTGATAGCTACAGGTATCTAATTCTGAGATGAGAACTACTTTTGTTTTAATTCGTCCAGTTTGTGTAATGTTCTTTTTTCTGTTTCCTTAGATAATGCAGCAAGTGAAGGGGTGTTGGCCAGCTTCTTCAATAGTCTTTTGAGTAAAAAAACAGGTTCTCCTGGAAGTCCTGGTGCTGGTGGTGTGCAGAACACAGCTAAGAAGTCAGGTACAGAGGGGCCTTCTGATCTTTGTGGCTGAGCAGTGCTGAAAGGAAAGGTAGACAGGAGCATGCCTTTACCTGACCTGTAGTCTGAACTACTATGCACAGAATTATATCTGTACTTCTCACTGGGCAGGTTGCCATGCTTTTAGTGGGATTGTCTCATTATGCAGCTTTCCTTGACACATTTAGCATGTTCCCAGTGGCTTGTACCACCTTATAGGACTCTGGCATGCTGCCTGATGGGATAGTCATGCATCTACCACCAGTGGTTCAAAGCCACTCAGCAAGCAAGACAAACTTAATCCACTCATTGTGAATGTGTTAAATTCAGGTTTCTGTTTGTTCATGTTGTTGGGTGAGTTGAGGTATAGTCTAAACTATACTTATGAACTTGATGTAGTTGTCTAGAAACCATAGTCAAGCAGGTGTGTCCAACTTACGCCTACCTTAATTATGCCCTCATATTTTTAAATGTTATGAGTAAAGAATATTTTTAAAAAGAAAGTTATTGCTTATATACATTAACTATATTACATATTTTATTTGTGGCCCAAGATAGTTCTTGATTCAAAAAAGTGAGACCACAGAAAAGATGGGCTGCAGGTTGAACATGCCATGTATATTTTCTGGGATGCTTTAAAAAGACTTTCGTTTGTTCCACTGCCATCTGGTTAGCCTGTGACTGAGCCCTCACTGTCTCACTGAGGCGGTCCTTATCTCTACCTTTCTGAACACTTGGTGGCTCATTGACCTGACCTTGTATGTAGGCTGGTATGGGGCAAGTCTGTCTTGGAGATCTCTGAAAGAAAAGAACCAGTTCCTTTTGAATTACATATAATCTCAGGAAGTTGGAAGATTTGATTTGATAATGCTGGGAATCAGACCCAGGGTCTCACTCATGCTAGGCATGCAGTAGTGAACATTTTAAAAGGTTCTTCTGATTTTAATTTTCCGTTGGTATAAGATACCTTAGTGGAGTGTTTTTCCTGACTGATATTTTTAAAACAGAGAAGATCCTTAGATCATTCTATCCTTAGGGAATTCTAGCTTCCAGACTATTAAAGAGACTCAATCTTGTCTGGTGGTATTGGCTGTGGTCTAATATTATTCTTTTACCAGAGTTAGGGTCATTTTTCAAATCCCGGTTAATGTTTGGCAGTAGAAAAAATAGGAGCAACAAAGTGCAACTGACCAACTGAACTTCCTAGCTTTGGTCTTTATCTTATTGAAACATGGTATTAGCAGGCTGTCCTTGAAAGTCAGTCTAGACTAGAGTGAACAAAACCTGATTACTTGTCAAGGACAAAGAAAATACTCTGCTGCATGCCAGAAACTAGTGTCCACCTCTAACAAGATGGCAGAGTGCACAGGGGTTAGAATTGGAGAGTGAGAGGGGTTTTGAGAAAGGCCCCTTTGTTTGCCACAAAGGCATCCCTTACCAAGGGCAGCCACACAGCTGGGGAAATTTAGCCCTGTGACATTGGGAATAATTAATTGAGGTCTGTCTTAGGCTCCTTGGGAAAAAAGGTTACTGTCATCACAAATGTTACCACAAATGTTTACAGAAGTCTGTATAATTTTAAATGTTTCATTTTAAAAATCATTTTTTGTTTTCACATTGTTGCTTTGCTTTTTCTCCTCCTTCCTTAAGGACAAAAGACTGTGTTGTCAAATGTTCAGGAAGAACTGGATAGAATGACTCGAAAACCAGACTCCATGGTAACAAACTCTTCAACAGAAAATGAAGCCTGATCCTCCTTAAAAATGCACATGTCATATGACCAAATAACTATGTATATTGATCTGCTAAGACCACGATTTTTCTGATATGGCACATGCTATCGGTTTTTTGGGGTAGGGGAGATGAACTTTAAAAAAATACTTCATTGGCTTGTCCCAAGTGTGAAGTGCACATTTAAGAAGGTTACGTGTCAGGCCCCTTGTTAGGGATAACGCTCTTCGGGCTTGTGGCTGTTGTGTGGAAAGAGCACAGCCAGGCTTGTAGAGCAGAGAATGGGAACCCACTTTCCATCAGGGCAGAGCAGACGAGACCAGGAAATCATTGATCAGATGGTGGCTAGTCCAACCAGTTGCGTATCGGCAAATTCACTTGTTCTTGGGAAGCAGATTAAATAGCAGAAAGTTCAAGAAGGAAAAGACTGAAAAGAGGAATGAGAGAAGTGATGGTGGGGAAGCTGAATGTTGAGGGAGGTGGAAGAAGGAGTTAAGCAGTGTTAGTAAGTACTGTGCTCAGTAGAGTCAAATAATCATTGTTTAAGACTTAAAATTAGAAGCATTTCCAAACTAAACACTAAACAAAATGGGAATTAGACTTGTTGTAAAGGCATCTTTTTAACCTACAGAAGATGTGTTAAATGTGGGGTGCCGAGTCAGGTTGGACTGACACGGGTTTGGAGGATGGCAGCTGCCTAGGACCCACATGCTTGGCCTATGCCATGAGCCCAGGGAAATCCTGGACTCCATGCATGTGCATTGTGAGGCAGGCAGTCACTGTGGGCTGTGTTCAAAGTCAGCAGATACAATATGAGTTTACTTTGAATTATGTTTTCTAAATAGCTACTGCTTTGTTTTTTAATTAAATTTTTGGGTTTTGTTACTTTGTTTTTTTACTACCACAGGCTAGCCTACTAAAAGAAAATGGGTGATCAACCTCTCATTTTACCATATTACAGTGTGGTACAGAAAGTTTGGGGGAAGTTGTCAGCATTGTACTCTAGTTAATTAGCTTGCAGAACTCTGCCTTATAGTCTGTGGAAGCCTTCATGGAGTTCCACACATGTAAGAGGATCTTGTCCTAGTACTCTGGTCTGATCAGTGCTATCAGATGGAGGACAAATAAGTGAATGTTTTATATTGAAAATGAAACACTTATTTTGTGTTTTTCATAATATGTAGCTTTTTTTTTTTCTTTCTTTATTTCCAGAAATGAGAGTTTCAGATGTCTCCCCATTTAGGGCAAATTTATCCACATTGTCATGTTACACCATCATTCTGGAAATGATTTCTGTGGATTTGAAGTGGCACTTTTATATATGACACAGCATTTAAATGCAACACTATGAATTTCATGTATAAGACATGTTTTCAAACCAAGGGAAAAACCACAGTTCGCTTAAGTGGAGTTTACTTTTTTATAAGAATGTTGTACTGTGTCTCAGTCTAACTTTCCTAATGTGTCATTACTTTTACATACCAGATTTGACTGACCACTAACAATACTGGGCATAATTTATATCCTGTGTTATACAACTAAACTCTTCAGTCTTGAATTGTCTTGAATTGCTTTTGTAAGCAAAGGTCTGAACACTGTTAAGGAGAAAGTTCTATATTTACTTGCCTTTCTGATAAAAAGATGTTTATTGTGCCAGTTTTATTGGTGAAATATATTATTTTTTCCCTTTTTTAGTTCAGCTTTTTTTTTTAATATATTGTGATTTCCAATTACCAAGTTGTCTAGGTGATGACAGTAAACTGACTGGAACGATAGTTGTGTAATAACCAGTAGATGCCAAACAGTTTATTGCCACACAAAAGGTGGGGGTCTCTTAATCTCTCTGTAGCAGCTGGGGCAGAATGAGTGATCACAGAAACAAGAAGGAATTTTTGGAAAGGCACATGTCTAAGAGAGAAACTGCAAAATTCAAATTTGTATCATTTGAACTGATAGCACTTTTTGGATCAGTGTGAAATACTAAAACCAGCAAAATAATAAGATGCCAGGCTAGTGAAGGAAAGTTTCTTGGAGACCGCTTTTATGCTCATGACAAGTGGACATTTCTAGTATCAGGAGAAAACTGATGCAGTGTAGTGGTTGCCAAAGTCTACCAACTTTGGAGAGCTTCAGGGTTCGTTTGGGAGAGTGAGAGGGAGATGATTTTTATTTATAGAGTTTTCAAGCATTGGAACCAAAGGCCAAATAGTGAGCAGCCTTTACTTTTTAAAGTAAAATTCATTATTTGCTGAATACACTTGTATGTAAACTGTTAATTTATATACATTATAGTGGTTATATCTGCTGTTGTCTTTAAAATGGAAAAATAAGCCCATCGTAGAAGATACGGCCCAGATAAGGGCCATGGATTGGTCTTCTAAAAATGCAACAGGTATGCTGCTAGATTATTATTTTGTTTGCACTTTGTTTTTTGGGGATTGGCATTTTAAAATCAGTAAACTGAAGAAATTGTTGTGTTTTATTTAACCAAGTTGAAAGTGACTGCTCTGTACATCATGACCTTAACAATGTTGATGCTGTAAGTGAAGTTCACTGTTGTCTCTATGCTAAGTTCATTGGTGTTTCTAATTTAAGATTAGGACTGCAGATTATCCCCAACTAGCTTAGTCCAAGGTGTGGCTCTATCCAGGTTCGGTATGCAGTCATGTGGAACCTTGCTTTCTAGCAGTGGAAAAAAAAGATGTCTCTACTGGCTTCAATAAACACGAATCCAGACTGCTTACAATTTTGGATGACTTTTCTTTTTTGATAAATCATCCCACTGAAAATCTGTTGTCTACTAGTACAGGGTATCTGGTTGTGTAGTTAAAATTATGTTCCTCCTTAAAATTATTAGAACTTCTGGTAAGGGGAAAAGCATTTTAAACTCACACATTGAAGTGACAAAGTCAGAGCTCTGTAATGCAGCAGGATTTGGGAGTTGTCCAGCATGTTCTGCCTCTTGAATAAACGTTTCATTGTCTGAATTGAGCTAAGTGATTTTCCCTTTATTTAGAAGAATTAAGGAGTTACAGAGAAATTTCAGAGCAACTACTATATACCATAATGCTTTTCATTAACATGGGGCACAGTAAAATCTGTTCAGGAAAAATTGAGAACTGCATTTCTTAGTGTTGCACTCAGATTTTCTCAACTTTTTATTGTGAAAAATTGCAATGCTGTAGAAACCTACAAGGCTATAGAAATGTATTGAGCATCCATATTTCACACAGATTCACCTGGTTAAGGTGGTGTCTTTTGACTTTCAAGCAATCTGTGGGGTGATTTGGGGATTATTTCATTTGATGAAAGTAGCAGTAATAGCAGATACTTGTATTAGAGATTGCTATATACTAGTCACTCTTCTAAGGGCTGGGAGTGTAGCTTAGTGGTGGCATAAGTACCTGCCTGGCAAGCGCAGGATTGTGAGTTCCATCCCCAGTGCCCAAAAAGAGGAAACTAGTCACTCTTCTAGACGTTTCATGCAAATTGATTTATATTCACAACAACTGAGGCAAGCATTGCTTTCTTCATCTTAGTTTCCAGACAGGCACACAAAGACAGGTGCAGGCTAAGTAACTACTAAGATCGAAGTCTAAACCTGAGCCCCAGCAGTCTAGCTGAGTTTGGGGTCATTGCTGTACTCTGCTGGCACTTGTGTTTACACAGAGCATGGCAAAGGCACTAATTGAAAGCGCTTTTCTATCTGTGGTCCTCCATAACTGTGCTGCTGTTTCACCTCTTCCCCTTAATACCGTGGATGCAGGAACTACCCTTGATAGGTGGACAAAAAGCAAATGGAGAATATAAGTAGTGCACCCCTGCAAAGGGGATGGCGGCTGCAATCATAATTATCTTGCTGGGAAAGGCAGGTTGAGATGCATGTCATTCATTATATAGAAAAGACTTGTTAGGCACAAAGAACTTTAGTGCTCATCTATGGCGAGGGTCCATGTTAGGCCCCAAGACAGCTCTTCACTGGTGGGAATGTCCTTAAGTGTGCATGTGAGGATCGAAGGAGGGCCGGCTTGCTGGGTTATCTGCTTAGGGGCCTTCCCACTATTCACCCACTGGATTCTCTGCCTTGGGAGGGCACGAGCTCTAATGGATTCCAGTCCTACAGTCCTAGTACCTTCTTTCATTACTTTCAAGTCAAGCAGGCACAATATAGATAAGAAATAAGACAACCAAAATTGGGAACCTTTGTAAATGGGAATGAAATTTCTTTCTAGCTCTGAACCTTAGAAATATATGTGGGGGGCTGGGATTTAGCTCAGCGGCATAAGCGCCTGCCTTGCAAGCCGGCAGTCGTGAGTTCAATCCCTGGTACCGATAAAAACGAAAAAGACAAAAAAAATATATGTGGTAGGTGTTTGGTTAATTATTAGTAAAGGGCCAGGGATTTGGCTTAGTGGCATAGGTGCCTGCCTGGCAAGTGTGAGGTTGTGAGTTCAGTCCCTGGTAACAAAAACAAACAGCAATTGTTAGTAGGTTGTATGTGTGGCATATATTGCAGGTGTTCTGTGTAATTGTTGATCCTAAATACTCCCGGTTTGCATCTTAAATATCTCCTCTAAGGAATATAGGTTAGAGGGATAGGTATACTGTGATCATGAGTCTTGGTACAGTTTCACAGAACGCCACAAAACTGAGGTCTGGATTCTGGAAGCAGGGTGTGATAATTTGATGTTGCATTCTTTAACCTGCAAGACCTGCAGACAGCTAACAGGATGCAAAGTGCTGTCTTGATGCTGTTCTGTGACTGCTTGATGAGGCCCAGATGGTATGTTCCCACTGGGGCACAGGTGACAGGCCGGCAGCAGTAGGGCTGAAAAAAAGGATACACCGAAACTCCCACCAAGATGAATAGTGCACCGTGCTGGCTTGCAATGAGCAGAGCCTCTAGCATCTCTGGGCACCGAGGCTGAAGGAATCTGAGGATCTGATGGAAGAAGAGCTAGACATTTGTGCTCTGAGAGGTTAGCAAGGCCAGGAATGGTTGGGGATAGGAATCCAGAGCAGTGGGCACTGGGATGTGTGTAGGGCAAGAAGTTTTCCCCCACTCCTGGGTGGTATTTTTCTAGTCTTGGTAGGAAGTTCATATGGAGCCCTGTGCTTATATTTCCAGCTTCTAGGAGGCTGAAGCAGGAGGATCTCAAGTTTGAGGCCAACATAGTTTAAAAGACCCTGTCTCAAAAATGAAAGGGCTGGGAATGTAGCTCAGTGGTGGAGTGCTTACCTAGCTTACACATGCCCCTGGGGTTGATCTTTAGTGCTGAAAAAAAAAAAAAAAATTTAGAGGGGCTGGGGATTTAGCTCAGCGTCATAAGCACCTACCTTGCAAGCAGGCAGTCGTGAGTCCAATCCCTGGTACTGATAAAAACGAAAAAGACAAAAAAAATTTTTTTAAAGATTCCTGTGAGTAGAGCTGCAGTTTTTTGCAGTTCTGTTAACATTTAACTTTGCATTCCATCTTGATTGTTGTCCTCACCTAACTCAAGATAAACGGCAACAATAGTAAGATAGCTACTTGGGTGTTTTTCTGTGACATTTAATGGAACCTATTTTTGCACAGTGCTGAATTAACATTCCTAAGTGATCATCAGTCTTCTCCATTTTTCCCACTGGCCTCCCCCCAAACCTAGTCACCCCATCCGTGTCTCCAGAGAACTAAAGTTCTGCTAGAAAAGGCCAACATAGTGTGAAACATTTAAATTTTTGTTTTGGGAAGAATTCAACAGTGTAAAACTATGTTCTTTTTTAAGGCTATAATTTAAGGAACTGGAAAAAAATAGTTGGGGGGCCTTGGTGTATCAGCAGCCTGTGTCATGTTCTATCTATCCTTAATATTTAGAGTACTTAGCACTATTTTACAGTGCATCTATTTCTGACCCACTCAGACATGTAACAGATACTAGCCCAGATTAAAACTTGAATGCATAGAGAAAACTTAAACACTGTAATTGTTTAAAAATTATGTATTTAGAAAATGTGCACATGTTGAGAAAGGACTTGAAAAGTTCTCGTTCTTGGCAGGTAATTTTGTACTCTGAGGGAATACATGATCTCCGGCTTGCCGGAGATCATGAGAGGCTAGCCGGTCACAAGCCTCTGAGATTGTTCTGGTATAGGCCCTGCCCCTAATGGGCTGCCTTGCTTGTAACAGTGCTTTGCCCATTTCTAAAAGCCTAAGTCTTGGTGTCCCAGACCATGTTCTGGAAGATATTATCTAATAGGCGATCAAGCAGGTTTAGAAGACTGAAGGTTAAACAACATTAAACATTTTGTTTTGATATGTTTTATGAAAACTTGTAGGTGTGACTCCTCAGAAGCACCCAGGTGTGGAGTTTTCCCTCCAGCCTTGTGGGCATCCTCCAGCTTCTAAAAAATGCCCTGAGAAGTTCATGTATAGGGTGCTGAGCCTCCCTCAAGGTCTGTTTTTTTATGAACCTTAGAATTTAGACTTGGGCGATAGTATCTTATGGCCTATTTCCTGTCTCCTACCTTTCATTTCTGTTGCCTTAAAGAAAAAGGAACATCGGGGCTGGGGATTTAGCTCAGCGGCATAAGCGCCTGCCTTGCAAGCAGGCAGTCGTGAGTTCAATCCCTGGTACCGATAAAAATGAAAAAGACAAAAAAAAAAAAAAAAAAAGGAACATCTATAAGTTGGTGAGTTTGTTGTAACTAGTATACCCTTAAGAGTTTTTAGTCCCTGAGAGTAAGTTTCTCCATGATGCTGACTGGCAGGCAGCACTCTCCCAGGCACAAAGAGAAAGTTAAGCAAATATTTCCCTTGCATTTGGTAGCAAGTCCTGCTTTTCTTTGGTTTGGTGTTTTTTAATTTTGGTTTGGTTTGGTTTGGTTTGGTTTGGTTTGGTTTGGTTTTGGTACCAGGGATTGAACTCACAATCTTGAGCCTGCCAGGCAGGCACTTATGCCACTGATTTAAACCCCCAACTGTTGCGTTTTGTTTTTGAGACAGGGTCTTGTTATGCAATTCAGGCTGGCGGTGTACTCTTAGCAGTCCCCCTACTTCAGCCTCCTGAATGCTGGAATTACAGGCAGATGCCACCACACCTGGCCATCCAGCTCTTTCTTGGAATCATCAGCAAACCCTCAGTCCTCCACTTTATCAGATGGTTTTCCTTGCAATTTAAATCATAAGTGTTTGGCACTCAGCTCCTCTGACATAAAAATAAAACTAACTCGCAGTCAGAGCTGTCTCAGCTAGGATCCTGAGGTCAGGTAGACTTGGCCTGTGTGTCAGTGGAAAAGTCCCTTAGCTTCTCAAGATGTCTGTGAGCGCCTCTGAAGTGGCAAGAAGCATGTCACCTACTCCCAGGGAGTCGGGTGCCCTGAGATGTGTGCTTAGCACGGGACCTAACTTGCAGAAGATGTCCAGAAATAGAGCCAGTCCCAAACTAATATGTGATGGACAAAGCTTAGTTCATGAAAAGCCCTCAGGAATCGCTGCCTTAGAGACGAGAAGTTGGGCCACGGAAGGAACTCAATGCCAGTATCACACAGAAAGGAGCAGAATAGGGTATGCAGATCCCTGTGTCACTGCTGCTGCTGCCTTCTCCCAGTCCACACACTTTTCTCCAGGTCAGTAGTGCTAAACACCAGCTCTTAAATCTGAAGATACAAACTGCTGGTTTAGGCTCTGCAAGAGAGCTATTTTAGGGCAAGCCAGTCCCAACACAATAAATTCCATCACCTGGGCAACTGCATGCTTTCTTGGGCCAG